TTCAAGCAAGTGTGCCGTGGCCCAACACCCAAGGTGTTATATACCCCGACAGCTCTACTCGTATCACATAAACGATTACTTTGATATTGAAATTTCGGTCTATGTTATCTGCCCTAGGCTGTCAAAGTTGACTTCACAAATGCTGGTGGTAATAGAACAGTATCAGTATTGCCTAACAAGAGGTTATTTTAATTACAGTTTTAGATGATGGTCAAAAACCTGCGCCAGCTGGTAACAAAATATTAATCAAGAGAACAAGGGCCGTGGCGGACATACCCGCCAAATTTATCTATACACACCAACGGTAGTACAGGAGAAAAAGGTTTCTTAACATGATAATAATTCATATTAAACAAGATGTCGGTTATACTGTACAAATATTCTGAGATAAACATTTTGTTTGAACATTTGTACGAACATTTAAACAGAAACACACATACACACAGTTACACACAAAGGTACGTATCTATTATACATATGAATTTGGCAAGGTTCTTGATTTCTTTTACATTTCTGGTACTTAACAATTTTTTGTATTTTATTATATTCGTGAATTGCGTATATTTTTTTAGATAAGTTTAGATCTAGATTCACGGAACGCTTCACATTTAAACAGGTTGTGGAATTCATCGGCTACAGCTGGCGACATACACAGTTCACATGTCCTAAATTCTCTATCTATATCAAGCTATGCTTCGACAGGTAGATTATGGTTACAGGTTCTATGTTTTAGAATAGGATAATAAATTTGTTTAGATAGGAGAAGAAAGTTTTCAAATGACGAGATATCTTTTAATTATTTATAATAATACCCTTTTGAAATTCTCTCGACGTCAGATCTCCTATTTTGACAAAACTGATCTTTTAAAAAGAATTCTATCTGCGCAGTTAGCCACTGGCTGGAAACGCTTTGTGGGTCATAAAATACATAGGACAGACCACACTTATTTGCCTCACATTTCTTATCCAGGCATTTTGTTCATTATTAGATAAATAATGTAAATGTGCAAACCTATAGATAATTTGCGATAGTTTCGGTGCAGGTCCGGGTTTACACAGTTTATGCCGAAAATTAACTACCCGTTTAGCTGCATAAATCGATAAAGGTATTCTACCTCGTTCTCCATAGACCATGAAATCTGGAGTTCTAAGACTACAGACTAGTTTAAGGAATTTTAGATGGGTCCTTTCAATTATGTTCATATTTTCGTGTGCCCAGATTCCACAGCCATATGATAACATTGGTAGTATCATTACACCAACAGCCTTAAGTAGACAATCCAGAGGAATGTTATAATTTCTTGACTTTTTTAGAAGACAGAACATGGCTTTAGATGCACTCTCCTCTAAACATTTTATTGCTGGCTTGAAATTTCTGTTTCTACTTAACATAACACCTAAGTACGTACAATTGTCTACGACATCAATTTCCGTATTCTCCAAATAAAAAGATAACCTACTACTTTTTGTACGGCCCGCTTCCAAAGATCAAAACTTTAGGTTTTTTCAGGTTTACGTCTAATTTCTAGATATTGCAATAAATTTTAAGTCTAATGTATTCTGGAGTTCAGTTGTGGAATCAGCAAAGAGGACAGTGTCATCAGCATACAGAAGGGTTAGGAAACAGATACATACATGTACATGTAAGTCGTTCACATCGCCAAGTATCACACTCGTGCATCCGTCTTTCATAAGAAATGTTTCAAGATCATTGATAAGGAGACAAAATAGAAGAGGTGACAAATTTTCTCCTTGCCGCACGCCCGAATAACATGGGAAATAATCTGATACAACACCATTTACAGACACACATGATCTTATATTTGCATACATATTTTGGTCTAACTGGAAGAATTTACTCTTAATACCATATTTTAGTACTTTATACCATAGTCCAACTCTCCATACATTATCGGACGCTTTTGAAAAATCAATAAAAGCGCAGAATCATTTTTTTTATATTTTGTTTAAGAATAAGAATGAGCATATCCAGTACAAAGATGTTATCATTTGTCGAGTAGTCCTTTCTAAATCCGGCCTGTGCTGGGGATAAGACATTATATATCTCCAGGAAACTATGTAATCTATTATTGACAACAGTGGTGAAAAGATTTCCAAAACAAGTACTGTAGTAGGTCTGTAAGCGTTAAAGACAGATTTGGTACATTTCCCCTTGTAGATGGGACGTATAGGGCCAGAGAGCCATGGCTCAGGTAATATTCCTGAAGATAATATCAAATTAAAATAATCGACGAATATATTACCAAAAAGTTCAAACGAGTCAATAAGGTAGTCATTCTCAATTTGGTTTGTCCCTGGGGCTTTGTTACGTTTAAGACTCTTAATGGACTGAGATATTTCATTAAAGGTATTGTTCAAAACATAATGTAAAACTTCATTTTCGTCATTTATTTCTGAATCACCAATATGGTGTTCACCATTAATGTATTTAAAATGTTTAAAAAATTCAGTGATATCGGGTGTTTCCGAATTTTGGTTTCTATTACTCTTATTGAGGATTTTCCAGAACTCTTTTGGTGAATATTTAGCTTTTTCTCTTATCACTGTACTAAATTCAGCTCTGTACTTTTTATTATGTTTATTAAGGCACTTCTTATATTCTTTTGAACATTGTCGATAATAAAGTTTATTATTTTCTGACTTATCTTTAAAGCATCGGCGTAATGCGTTTATTGCGACTTTCTCTCCCAAACCAGGGTTTATTATTTTTAAATTTTCTCGGGTTTGGGCGGGCTGGTCGCCTTTACCCAAACGTCGCACGTGCTGCATCAGTGAGCAATCGCTTCAGCAAATTCATCAATAGTACGTGCTGGCTCGCCATGACCTTTTGTTGATTTCAATAACTGGGTCAATTTTAGGATAGCTTCTGTGTTGGTATTATTTACAAAGGCATTTGCTTTATCCTTTTCATAATGTTTTGGTTTTGCATCGTGATCTTTTAGGGGGATGTTTGAAATTATATTTTGCTTACTTGCAGTACTCACTATGGTTGTATTACTACTATTTAAAGTTAGTGAAAAGATAATTAGGCAATGAATATGAGTATATATGAGTACAGATGGGAAAATTCAGAAATATCAAATTCACTAAAAGCTGGAAGATGGAACACATACATGAAGATAGGACATACTCAACTAAACTGCACTCTTACCAAGTTACTTTACCAACTCCTTTGTCTTTATCTAGCCTGCCCTTACATATAAACATATTGGTATTCTTATATAATTCTACTAACTTAAATCCTGAGATATTGACTCTTCCCTGATCTTGATTACTTCTTGTAGTTGGTAAAGATAAGGAGTGCAGTACATTATCAGGTTCATATATATCATACATATCTTCAATGTCTATATCAAGTTTTTCAATGGTGGGTTTATCTACAGTGCAGTCATCTTTCAGTGTTCTAGTCCTTGCATTAAAATCGCCAATAAGTAAAATATAATCACTCTCCGTTTGCATGTGCAAAATAGATTGTTCTACAGGGAAATACATGTCATCTTTGGAATATTTAGAACCTTCTGGGGGTAGATACAGTATTCCTAGATACAGGTCATTGTCAAAATTAAATAATGACTTGGATATATAGAACTATTTAACATATTCACAAGGGTAATCAACAAGAGAGATATAGTCAGAGTATATATTTCTTACTGCTAGACCGAGGCCACCAGACTTCCTTTGGAAACAGGTTCTATGATGTAAGTACGGCTGATAACCTTCAATGTCAAGCTCATCAAGTGAATCTGTTTTTGTTTCTTGCAAACCGATTATATCAGCTTTATCAATTAAAGAGGTAAATTCAGGATATTCTAATTTCCTTCTAAGTCCACACACATTGGGACTAATAACCTTAAGTGTATTTGCAGTATTGGGAGAATAAAGATCATAAGACTTTTCCGTGTTGTTTATTACCTCATGTGTCATGCTAGAGCCATGCCGTGGTAGAGTATATTGGTTAATGACAGTAGATGTATTATCAAGATTATAGTTCTGATTATGTGTCCCAGAGCAACAGGTACAATCGTTAACAACATGTGTAGTTAAACTTTGCAAATCATTGATATGAGTAGGATTTGTTTATGGAGATTGTAAAGTCTCTGTATTTGCATTTCCATCACAAATCCTATTTTTATATACAATATTCGAGGTTGAATCATGGACAGTGTTACTAATATCGATGCTATTTACAATATTTACATTAGCTACCTTAGCAGCAGTAGGGCTGCTCTGGTAACGGCAGCTCAGAGTTCTCTTCCTCATCTACATGTACAACATTATGTACATCTACAGTGCACAAGTCCTCAAGACTACCGTCGTGTCCCTATGGTCTAGAGTTAGATGTAGTGTTAGACCTGGTGCTGGGGACTCTGTATGGGGGTGGCACGGGAACATTCTGGAATTTGTTCTCAATGTACAGTTTATCTTCTGTTGTGGTTCTCTCTCCTAGCCACAGGCACAAGAACATCCTTCCTATAGCTGCTCACCTCCTCTGGGAACTGCTCGAATATGCCATATGCCATAGTTCCCTCCCAACAACATCTCTTTCCACGGTATAGATAAACTTGGCTATCATAGGGCGTGGTCTAGCTTGGTGTTGAGGTTTCCTGTATCGCCCAAGTCGGTGGACACGTTAAAACTTGATGTACACTATATCTTAAATAAACAGATATCACAAGGATGTCCCTACCACGTTCTGGACATAACACATTAGTGTAGAACAGTTTCATCATTGTGATCAAACCCAGGTATGCTCAATAACACAACAAGCAAACACAGCAATATCGAACCACCTAAACCAGGTCAATTTTCCCACTAGTAGCTGGATCAGCCTGTAAAATTAACCAAGGAACATGTAACTATAACAATAGTTTTAAACTATATTTTATTTTATTTTTGTGTCCTTGTTTGTTGTGCTACCTAGTAACCACGCCACTGACTCAAGGAATGTCTAATCATAAAAACGAGTAAACATATCCTACCTGAAACGATGTGATCCGAACATATATTCTTGTATGTTTAGATGTAGTCAAATTCTCCCTCAGTATATTTCTAAGTCACTGAGATCGTCTATTCTCGGAAAGGTGTAATGTCGCCTTGATTTGCGACCTCTGCTGGAGGTGAATGATACGACTCTGGTCTCTGTTTAACGAGTGTGCCCAGCTAAACACAGCACAGCAATTCACAATTGTGACGGCACCCGGTAAATTCCTTTTGAAATTCAGTGCCTGCTACCACGCTATTCTATACCCATGCAGCTCCTCTTGACAACATGTGGTGATCACAATCAAGTATGCCTAATATGAAAGCCCCTGCCTTGTCACCCACACTACAAAGCTGGACAATGTCAGCACCAGTGCCTGCCACTCGCCATAAGGCCGTGAAGTTTATATTGATGCAGTTGATCAGCACAGTGGCTCAGTGCGTGTTGTTTGATCTTTTAAAACGGACCCGTGAAGATCCGGGGTAGAATAGGTCTTCAGCAACCCATGCTTGACGTAAAAGGCAAACATGCTTGTCGTAAGAGGCGACTAACGGGATCGGATGGTCAGGCTTGCTGACTTGGTTGAGGCAATTGAGGCAGTGACAATAACAAGAAAAAAGTGAACTTACTGAAGGATATCTTGAAAGAGAAAGATAGTGAATCATGGTGTAAACAAGTGTGGGATGATGAGAACAAACCAAATGGTAACAAGCTAAGGACTTTCAGACTTTTCAAAATTTGATGTGAATGTGAGCCACTATGTGAGATGTGTGAAGCGAAGGGATTATCGAAGAGTTTTATCTAAGTTTAGGTGTGGTAACCTCCCTCTATTAGTCGAAACAGGCCGCTATTCCAAGCCACCTATTCCTTTAAATGATAGAATATGTAAATTTTGTGCAGAAAAATGTATAGAAGGAGAGTGCATCTCTTCTAGTCTTAACATTGTATATAATATTTTTATTTTGTGTTTTATATTTAATAATGTTATATGTTTTAAATGCTTTTAGAGTGTCTCATAAGCCCTAGAGGCTGGATATTGTACTTTTAATGGCAACTTGCTTTTGTCTAAAATGGGTTTTATGTACAATATGTGACACTTAAATAAACATTTCTTCTTCTTCTTCTTGTACTCTAAGTACCGTACTATATTACTTTGCGGAGACACTGAGTATAATTTTTGAGTTGGCATTGTATGCTGTCTGAATGACTTTACCCCAATCCCTGCATCCAATGGACCCGTGAAGATCTTCAACAACCCATGCTTGACGTAAAAGGCAAACATGCTTGTCGTAAGAGGCGACTCACGGGATCGGATGGTCAAACTTGCTGACTTGGTTGAGGCAATTGCGTGGATCGGTCATCATGATCTCAATCACTGCATCGTCTGGTCCAGACTCGATTATTTACACACCGCCGTCATATAGCCGGAATATTGCTGAGTGCAGCGTTAAACAACAAACAAACAAAACACAATGGTAGCCTTATAGGGGATTGTGGCATAAACAGTTACATGAAAGATTGCAGTTGCTCTTACATGGATATAAATGATGCGCTGAAGCATATCAAGAAAGACAAACACATCTTTTAAAACGAAGTGAGACAAAAGAAGGGTAGTATAGGATATATTCACAAATTGAATGACATGTAAAAAGTTTAAAATGTCTATGAACAGTACACTCATATTAGTTATATGTTCTATCCTGCGCTAAGTGTTTTGAATATATGTTTCATATAAGTTGCATATCTATTCATTCTATTTCATATAAGAGATTTTCATTGCATACTTGCATTTGGCCTCGGACTATAGAGCGGAATAGGTGAAAGCTGAAAAGAATACAAATACGCCGAGCTTCTTTAGTTGGATCAATTCCTTTTGAAAATCAATTATGCATATCTGATACCACGCTATAAATAGGCGAAAGCTGAAAGGAATATGAGCCCACCGCAAGCCAATAGGCCTACTGGCAGGCTTGGTGCGGTTGCATATATTAGGGGATAGAGATGGCGAGCTCGTGTTAAGAGCTACAATTCGTCACCACTCGCCCCTTTCACCTTATAACAAGGGAGGCAACTCGTGGTGCACAACCCTTCATGCCTATTATGAGTACATTAACTATTAATATCAAAATATGTTTTGTACCATACAAAATAACACTTTAATCTAACACGTACATATAACAAGAGCAATATAACGTCTGTGAACTTTAATGTGCATAAAGCATAAGCTTGACAAGTGTATACATTAGAATTATGTACTGCAAACTGGTTAACATGCGGTAATCTCACAGTTAAACATAACAATAAATGTCTTCCAGTCCCAACCAAAACGGAGAGAAAGACAATTAGAATAACAACATGAAGGGGAAAGTAACCTGTCTCGTTATGTAAATTATGAAGGCGGGGTGCGAACTACTTCAGTAACAGGCAAAGCATGTCCAAACATTGCCGTTGAAGTCACTTTGATTGTTTAATGTTCGGGTAACGCAGATATGCGTCACTTTTCCTGTATGACTTTCCCTGGTAAGCCAAGCTTGAAAGCCCAACTTGCACCACCCCTCTACACCGTCCTGATTGACAGTTCACCACCGACACAGAGGCAGCATATATACCAGGGGCTTAAAGTTATTGCGACACATTGCCAATATTACCTGCTATTATGTGTAAAGGCAAAACAGCGCTTATAGTGTCCACTGGGTAAGTGTGTGACCTTGAAAATCCGGCAAACTAACTCTTGAATGATTCCTCTTAATTGTACTGTGTTCGTGTATCTCAGATCCAAACAGCAACCCCCATCATTCCTCACATCATTTACTCTGATATGTGTTTTTGCACAGAAAATGTCCCGCTCGAAGCATCCTATAGAAACCTATTAAACACGCACAGGGGACAGATGCCCCAAACACACACTGCATACTGAGCTGGCTTTTAATGATATGAAGCATTAAGGGTTTATAGATGTAGCTGCTGCTGTTTGTGCAACCCTGACCTCCTCTCGTCACACTCTGAAGCACATTCTGTACCGACCAGTTATGAATAGCCGGGCCTGAATAGCCGGGCCTGAATAGCCGCCTGCCTTATGGATATTGGAGATATCGCTTATGTACTGGCGCATCGTAGAATACTTCAAGTTTTTGACGTCCTTCATCCATGCAATGTACAGCAGGACTTGGTGTATAGATAATGACATGCCCACTACGTCACAGACATTAGTGAGACATATTAATTAACTGCAATAAGTTGACTTTGTTGACTTCGCCCAACCTTGCATCTTCAATCTCAGCACCGTTGTCCCTAGCTTCTTCTGTTAGCTCTCTCCCCATCGGAATTCCAAGAAAGATGATGTCACATGCCACAACAGTAATTTACGTGAGAATTCTCTCAAATCTAAACTGGGAAAGAGGCCATTTAACTTTTGTAACTGTCCCTCTTCATGCAATCTGGATATTGCATTAACTACCACGTCCGCGTGTCCTGGAACATACTCTGCCCGAAGTACGAAATTGTAAGTTGCTTGTAGCCAGAAAAAATATTTCATGAGGGGAGATTTGGTAGATTTGCTTTTTGATTAAAGACTTTGCAGGGGCATTGTCAGTCTTGACAATTATCACTTTATCGGCCAAAAAATAACACCACAAAAATAATGCCAATTGCTTCTCTGCAGTCTGCGATGGTCAGCGATCTCAGGGGCATCAAGTCGCCAGTTCACGTACACATACTCGCCTTGATAATACGCTCTTCCCCCTTTTCATTTGTAAACAGTGTCCGGGGCGGTCGGGTAGCCAAGTGGTTAAAGCGTTCGCTCGTCAAGCCGAAGACCCGACATGGGTACAATGTGTGAAGCCCATTTCTGGTGTCCCCCGCCGTCATATTGCTGGAATATTGCTAAAAGCGGCGTAAAACCATACTCACTCACTGTAAATAGTGTCCTGCTTCTTGGTTTTAAACTCTAAGAGTAATTGATGTGATTGCTTGGCCATGGGAAGAGATAAAACACGTAGTGAAGTATCAATCACAAAACAAAGGAAAGTACGTTGCTGACTGGGACCTCCCGCCTTCTTCCAATTACCAGTGAAGCCCAGACATCGGAGGACACAATGTTGCTAGTGCTTGCGAGCAGGACTGACCTCAATCGTCAGAAATAATCATCCAAATAAGCTGTGACGACTATACCGAAACGTCGCTTCATAATACGACACACATCACTGGGACAGACTTTTTGTAGACTCTTTGATGCTCCGAAGGGTAGCTTGGCATCGTACATGGAAGTATTGTGGCTGTTACCTTTAAACAGTGATGACAATCCTGTTAAATTGTAGCTGCTGTGGTGAATCTGTACGGACCAGTGAGCGCTTTTTTAAAGTCTTCTTTTAGCCATGAAACTGTCTTTCTTGATATGCTTCAGCGCATCATTTATATCCATGTAAGAGCAACTGCAATCTTTCATGTAACTGTTTATGCCACAATCCCCTGGAAGGCGACCATTGTGTTTTGTTTGTTTCTTGTTTTACGCCGCACTCAGCAATATTCCAGCTATATGACGGCGGTGTGTAAATAATCGAGTCTGGACCAGACGATGCAGTGATTGACATCATGATCACCGATCCACGCAATTGCATCAACCAAGTCAGCAAGCCCGACCATCCGATGCCGTTAGTCGCCTTTTACGACAAGCGTAGTTTTACGTCAAGCATTGGTTGCTGAAGACCGGTTCTTCACGGCTCTGACTGATTGACATTTCAACTATCATGTAATGGTATAGTGAGAATATAAGGGGTGAGGGCTTTTGGGGGAAGAACCATTTTTTCCCTTCATATTTAGGGGCTGAGAAATTATTTTTTTCGTAAAAGAGATTTTTTTTTACTGAAACATTTGTGCGACTAGAAAACTACTTCATGGAACATCTTCCATACTAATAGAAGAGGTGCAGTGCAAAGTTTGATTTTTATATTTGTATTGTCTGAAAAAATATGTTTTTGATGTTGTCAACATAGTATAATAGTTTTTACGTCAACATTTGTGCGACTTGTGACTTGAAACTACTTCATGGATTCGTTTCCAACTGGCGGGACAGTTTCTATACCAACAGCAGAGGTGCAGTGTAAAGTTTGATTTCGATAAGTGAGTTTTCATGTTTTGAACTTAGAAATATGTTGGAGTCGAAGTCGGGATTATTAGTGAGTTCTGCTCACTGTTTGTCTTAATACTTGTTGACCGCCTCCGTGGTCTTATGGTAAAGCGTCCGCAAGGAGAGCGGAAGGTCCGGGGTTCGATCCCCGGCCGCTTCATACCAAAAGCCGTTATAAGATGGTACTTGTTGTTACCCTGTCTGGCGCTAGGCATTAATGGGGCTAAAACAAGGACTGGTCGGCTCGGGGTCAGTATACTGTGTCTGAGTGGAGTATTCATGTTAAACTGCGGCATGGTATCTCAGTGAGCTAGCACTATAAATCGGCAACAGTCCGGACTAGTACAAACACGTGCACGTGCATGCATGTCGCTATGTATATAAATCTATTTTGTGATATCAATAATTCACTTCCAGGTTAATGAGTGAGCGAGTGTGAGTGAGTTGGGTTTAACGCCGCTTTTAACAGTATTCTAGTTACATCGCGGCGTGTCAGCTTAATGTGGGAGGAAAGCCCGAAGTGATGCAGGTCTCAGACGTTTACCACTTCGGTGAAACCCACGAGCACGGGTATGGTGCTGACAAACCTAGAAACATAATCGGGGCGAACCTGGGATTCGAACCCACAATCATAGGTTTCTGGCGTGCCCAAGGGACGCATCTCTGCACAGCGAATCGCAGCGCCTTAGACGACTGGGCCACCCGTGCCCCCTCCGGGTTGATTGAAAAAGGTGTTCTCATTTATGGTCCTGCCGCAGTAAATAAGTAAGTTACTTATCAATAATCATGTCTGTCACGCTTATCTATGCGAACAAACTATTATGTATGTATTTTATTTTGGGTGGGACTGAATTGATAAAAATAAGTTTAAATAGTTTATGATGTTTAATTAAGCTTAATATATCTCCCCACCAGCCCTGTCATAGCACCGACAGCAAGCAGAAGTTCCATCATGGCGGTAAACACGCTATAGATTCTTCCTCCATATAGGAAAAAGTCCAAATTAAGTCACTCAGACAGAAGCATCATTGAAGGTAGCCGGTGTTTTTTATAAGGCGTAGACTGCAACCATCAGTATCATTATCATTAAGGACAAACCCGCTCACGCTTCAAAATTTCAATGACATTGATTCAACCTTGGAAGCATTAAAAGTGCAGACTGAAATCAGGATACAGAACGAAGCCCAAACACCTCAGGAGGGAGGATTCACAGCAGTACGGGAAAATCCACAAGGTAATCATGACAAATTGCAAACAATTGAGCTCTGCAAAGATTTCAGTGAATACCTACGAATTTATTACATAAAAGGTACTTTTATCTTTTAAAATCGTATTTGTAATATCAATAAATCATTTTATGATAGCTAAAGCTTAAAAAAAGAATTAGTTCTCAGGCAATAGCTTTTGAAAATATAGTGCGGGCGGGCGACCTTTTTTTTGGTTGTTCGGGTGCAGGCGAAAACGGCACCTCAGCAAAACGTCACCGATTTCTCGAGCGTAAACGGCTATTATTTGTCGGGCGAAAACGGCACCTCAATTTTTAATAACGATTGCTTTATTTAATCCTTTATTACGTTATGTTGTGTTGATTTCTTTCCATTGTCTTGTCTTCCACAGTTATTCACAGTTTCATAATAAAATAATAAATTTTATATGTACAGAGTCGGCGAGTAAATTGGAGTAGAGCCTAATTTCTAATATAAACTTATTTTAACTTTTCACAATAATTTGTGTTTGCAAGTGTCTATGTGAGCTTAATTTTTTATTTACCAGTACCGAGGTAAAAGAAATAAGGTGCCGTTTGCGCCAGGCAATAGAAGCCGCTTTTCGCTATCTTCCCGGGGCAAGGAGAAGTCCAGTTTCCATCTGCCGAACTAGGCTAGAATTTCGTGGCTTTATCGTAGCTCCACTAGTTGCTATTATAGTCTATTATGGGTTATGTCCCTTTTATGTCCCTTCTCTACTGACCAGATCCGGGGTAGAATAGGTCTTCAGCAACCTATGTTTGCGTAAAAAGCGAATGTGCTTGTCGTAAGAGGCGACTGACGGGATCGGGTGGTCAGACTGTTTAGGTTGGTGCATGTCATCGTATCCCAATTGCGTGGATCGATTCTCATGATGTCAATCACTGGATTGTCTGGCCCAGACTCGATTATTTACAGACTGTCGTCATATAGCTGGAATATTGCTGAGTGCGGCGTTAAAAACAAACAAATTGAGACAGCAGCCGCCACACAACGACAGCAAGCCCCGTGAAGATTCCCGGTTAGAACTGGTCTTCTACAACCCATGCCTGTCGTTAGAGATGGAACAGTGCTGAGTGCGGTGTTAAACAAACAACCTAATCTGATACAGGAATGACAACACATCCCAAATGACGCCATCAATGCAAAGGCATGTGATCATGCTGAAGGTGTCACGCACGATACTAAAGACAGTTTCATGTTAGAAATTGACTTTTCATTGACTTCAGTGGTGGACATTTCATGATGTGAATTCCATTTTAGATTAATATGTTAATTTACGTTAATATGTTCAAGATGGTCCAATAAAGGTGGTTACACACATGTTCCTGACTCACGTGTCGCTGTACTTTCTAGCGCTGCCTGGCAACCGGCATATTGAAGTGATGATTGCCGCACACAAAGTGACCTCTTTCGTTGCACGTAACATACATATACCACCTATTCTAATGTTGAGATCTGACCAATCGCAAGTGTATTCACCCAGGTGCGCTTGTCTACGAGGTAGAGAAGAAAGATTAAGATGTCTACAAATTTTATTTTTAAAATTCGAATTTGTGACACCAATGAATAGTTTTATGATATCTTAAAATCGAAATTGTAATATAAATAAATCATTTGTGTATCCGATTCTAAAAATGTCATTGACAAGTCGTATGAAGAATGAAAGATACCCTGGTCTCAGAAACTATCCTCATCTTTGTCATTATAATAGTGTATTCTTCTAAATTAGACCAGAGTAGTTTGTTGGTAATGTAACTATGCTTACGTAAAACGTAAAGTATCACGTTATGTGATCATGATGTTTCAAATAAAGCCGGTTACAAACATATTTAAGCAACTGAAAATAATTTAAACTAGATTAATTGGTACCCCGTGCAAATCAAATCTAGGGACTTAAAAATTAACCGTATAATAACTATAGAGCTATGCGGCTAACAGGATGGTCATGCATTGTCATTGTATCCCAATTGCGTGGATCGATGCTCATGTCAATCACTGGATTGTCTGGTCCAGACTCGTTGCTGAGTGCAGCGTTAAACAACAAACAAACAAACAAACCAGTGGATTCAAAGAGAGTTATCGGTCTTGCTATCAGATCAGGATCGGCTTCGGAAAGGGGCGAGGTTGGTTAGACACGAGTTGGTCGCCGATCGTGTTCAGATGGACGCACGAGTCTCTAATCGAGTTCGTCATGAATGTCTCCGGTGTAAGGGGGGCAACTCTAGTTCCATGTTTGTAAAGTTGCCCTTTGACCCCATATAGCAGGAAGACTGGAGAGTGAGTTGAAAGCGAATATTAGTCTCATTTATGCGACACGCTAATAAGCACTTATAATGTCAGCGATTACATCTCATGCATATTAAACAAGTATGCCATTGCCGTGACTACGACAGGAAAACACTTCAAAACGCTAATCAGTGGTCTGTCTAATATTAGCCTTTTTGTTTAGCCCAACATTTCATTTCACTGGTGACATCCTCATTTGGAAAATATAAATAATACTTGTATAGTGTATAGTTGTATACCATATAACATTTTGATGATACTTCCTTATGTCGTGATAAGCACCAACGATCTGATGAACATTTAATGTTTTTTTTATGAAAATGAATCTATATAAATGCTTAATGCTTTTGTTTTTGTACATACACAAGCAAACAAAGTGAGACCCACACTCCTATTGCAGTACTTTGTGATCTCCAGCATACTGACAGCATTTAATCTGTATTTTGGGCCACATTACAAACATGATAATGTAGGACCTACAACTACAACCCTCAGTCCAGCTAGCATGAGACCCCTTCACAAGACCATCCCTATGGAAGGGAACACGGCTGCAGTTAAAGTCTGTTCTTACTTAGCACACAGATTGATAAATAGACACATTTCTAATAATTATAGATACTTCTCGTAAGACAGTCAGTACAATATATCTTGATGCAATCTTACCTGGCATTGCCCCTAATGTTGTATATATATCTTAATTCACTGTGAGTCATTTCACACGTTGATGGAGACTGACAAGATCTAGGTTAATACTAGCTGTTATATATGCAGTCAAGAGCTAAATTAGCCATGGTGGTATAGTTGGTTTGTATCACAGATGTAAATGTGCAATCTGGTGAATTATTTTCAGATAGCAACAAGGTTGGTGTGTTGCTGAGTGAATACATTTAGAGGACGTTGTGTTGTGGGATGCTCTGTACACGACATTTGTTTCAAGCTGCCAAGATGGCTTTCCAGACACCTCCAGAAGTGCTTTTCAGAAATGTTCTCAGGTAAAATTTTCTTAATTGGCATTGAATTTTGTTTGTAATAAATGAAAGATTTGGGATAACACAAGGTACTTTCATTGAGCAGCATGTTTTGTGAGGCTGTGTTTCATTATCTGATGCTCAACTGGGCTCCGTCCATCATGTTTCATTATCCCATGCTCAACTGGGCTCCGTCCATTATGTTTCATTATCCAATGCTCAACTGGGCTCCGTCCATCATGTTTCATTATCTCTTGCTCAACTGGGCTCTGTCCATCATGTTTCATTATCCCTTGCTCAAACAGGCTCTGTCCATCATGTTTCATTATCCCATGGTCAACTGGGCTCTGTCCATTATGTTTCATTATCCCATGCTCAGCTGGGCTCTGTCCATCATGTTTCAATCCCATGCTCAACTGGGCTTCGTCCATCATGTTTCATTATCCCATGCTCAACTGGGCTCCGTCCATCATGTTTCATTATCCCTTGCTCAAACAGGCTCCGTCCATCATGTTTCATTATCCCATGCTCAACTGGGCTCTGTCCATTATGTTTCATTATCCCATGCTCAGCTGGGCTCTGTCCATCATGTTTCAATCCCATGCTCAACTGGGCTTCGTCCATCATGTTTCATTATCCCATGCTCAACTGGGCTCCGTCCATCATGTTTCATTATCCCATGCTCAACTGGGCTCTGTCCATCATGTTTCAATCCCATGCTCAACTGGGCTCCGTCCATCATGTTTCATTATCCCATGGTCAACTGGGCTCCATCCATCATGTTTCATTATCCCTTGCTCAACTGGGCTCCGTCCATTATGTTTCATTATCCCATGCTCAACTGAGCTCTGTCCATTATGTTTCATTATCCCATGCTCAGCTGGGCTCTGTCCATCATGTTTCAATCCCATGCTCAACTGGGCTCCGTCCGTCATGTTTCATTATCCTATGCTCAACTGGGCTCCGTCCATTATGTTTCATTATCCCATGCTCAACTGGGCTCTGTCCATCATGTTTCAATCCCATGCTCAACTGGGCTCCGTCCATCATGTTTCATTATCCCATGCTCAACTGGGCTCTCTCCATCATGTTTTCATTATCCCTTGCTCAACTGGTCTCCGTCCATCATGTTTCATTATCCCATGCTCAACTGGGCTCTGTCCATCATGTTTCATTATCCCATGGTCAACTGGGCTCCATCTATCATGTTTCATTATCCCTTGCTCAAATGGGCTCCGTCCGTCATGTTTCATTATCCCATGCTCAACTGGGCTCCGTCCATTATGTTTCATTATCCCATGGTCAACTGGGCTCCGTCCATCATGTTTTCATTATCCCTTGCTCAACTGGTCTCCGTCCATCATGTTTCATTATCCCATGCTCAACTGGGCTTCGTCCATTATGTTTCATTATCCCATGGTTTACTTGGCTCCATCCATCATGTTTCATTATCCCTTGCTCAACTGGGCTCCGTCCATCATGTTTCATTATCCCATGCTCAACTGGTCTCCGTCCATCATGTTTCATTATCCCATGCTCAACTGGGCTCTGTCCATTATGTTTCATTATCCCATGCTCAACTGGGCTCTGTCCATCATGTTTCATTATCCCTTGCTCAACTGGGCTCTGTCCATCATGTTTCATTATCCCATGCTCAACTGGGCTCTGTCCATTATGTTTCATTATCCCATGCTCAACTGGGCTCTGTCCATTATGTTTCATTATCCCATGCTCAACTGGGCTCTGTCCATCATGTTTCATTATCCCATGCTCAACTGGGCTCTGTCCATTATGTTTCATTATCCCATGCTCAACTGGGCTCTGTCCATCATGTTTCAATCCCATGCTCAACTGGTCTCTGTCCATCATGTTTCATTATCCCATGCTCAACTGGGCTCTGTCCATCATGTTTCATTATCCCTTGCTCAAACAGGCTCCGTCCATCATGTTTCATTATCCCATGCTCAACTGGGCTCTGTCCATTATGTTTCATTATCCTATGCTCAACTGGGCTCTGTCCATCATGTTTCAATCCCATGCTCAACTGGGCTCTGTCCATCATGTTTCATTATCCCATGCTCAACTGGTCTCTGTCCATCATGTTTCATTATCCCATGCTCAACTGGGCTCTGTCCATCATGTTTCATTATCCCTTGCTCAAACAGGCTCCGTCCATCATGTTTCATTATCCCATGCTCAACTGGGCTCTGTCCATTATGTTTCATTATCCCATGCTCAGCTGGGCTCTGTCCATCATGTTTCAATCCCATGCTCAACTGGGCTTCGTCCATCATGTTTCATTATCCCATGCTCAACTGGGCTCCGTCCATCATGTTTCATTATCCCATGCTCAACTGGGCTCTGTCCATCATGTTTCAATCCCATGCTCAACTGGGCTCTGTCCATCATGTTTCATTATCCCATGGTCAACTGGGCTCCATCCATCATGTTTCATTATCCCTTGCTCAACTGGGCTCCGTCCATTATGTTTCATTATCCCATGCTCAACTGGTCTCCGTCCATCATGTTTCATTATCCCATGCTCAACTGGGCTCCGTCCATTATGTTTCATTATCCAATGCTCAACTGGGCTTCGTCCATCATGTTTCATTATCCCTTGCTCAACTGGGCTCTGTCCATCATGTTTCATTATCCCTTGCTCAAACAGGCTCCGTCCATCATGTTTCATTATCCCATGGTCAACTGGGCTCTGTCCATCATGTTTCATTCCCGTGCTCAACTGGTCTCTGTCCATCATGTTTCATTATCCCATGCTCAACTGGGCTCTGTCCATCATGTTTCATTATCCCTTGCTCAAACAGGCTCCGTCCATCATGTTTCATTATCCCATGCTCAACTGGGCTCTGTCCATTATGTTTCATTATCCCATGCTCAGCTGGGCTCTGTCCATCATGTTTCAATCCCATGCTCAACTGGGCTTCGTCCATCATGTTTCATTATCCCATGCTCAACTGGGCTCCATCCATCATTTTTCATTATCCCATGCTCAACTGGGCTCTGTCCATCATGTTTCAATCCCATGCTCAACTGGGCTCCGTCCATCATGTTTCATTATCCCATGCTCAACTGGGCTCTGTCCATCATGTTTCAATCCCATGCTCAACTGGGCTCCGTCCATCATGTTTCATTATCCCATGCTCAACTGGGCTCTGTCCATTATGTTTCATTATCCCATGCTCAACTGGGCTCTGTCCATTATGTTTCATTATGCCTTGCTCAACTGGGCTCCGTCCGTCATGTTTCATTATCCCATGCTCAACTGGGCTCCGTCCATTATGTTTCATTATCCAATGCTCAACTGGGCTCCGTCCATCATGTTTCATTATCCCTTGCTCAACTGGGCTCTGTCCATCATGTTTCATTATCCCTTGCTCAAACAGGCTCCGTCCATCATGTTTCATTATCCCATGGTCAACTGGGCTCTGTCCATTATGTTTCATTATCCCATGCTCAACTGGGCTCTGTCCATTATGTTTCAATCCCATGCTCAACTGGGCTTCGTCCATCATGTTTCATTATCCCATGCTCAACTGGGCTCCGTCCATCATGTTTCATTATCCCATGCTCAACTGGGCTCTGTCCATCATGTTTCAATCCCATGCTCAACTGGGCTCCGTCCATCATGTTTCATTATCCCATGCTCAACTGGGCTCTGTCCATCATGTTTCAATCCCATGCTCAACTGGGCTCCGTCCATCATGTTTCATTATCCCATGCTCAACTGGGCTCTGTCCATTATGTTTCATTATCCCATGCTCAACTGGGCTCTGTCCATTATGTTTCATTATGCCTTGCTCAACTGGGCTCCGTCCGTCATGTTTCATTATCCGATGCTCAACTGGGCTCCGTCCGTCATGTTTCATTATCCCATGCTCAACTGGGCTCCGTCCATTATATTTCATTATCCCATGGTCAACTGGGCTCTCTCCATCATGTTTTCATTATCCCTTGCTCAACTCCGCTTCCGTCCATCATGTTTCATTATCCCATGCTCAACTGGGCTCCGTCCATCATGTTTCATTATCCCATGGTCAACTGGGCTCCATCCATCATGTTTCATTATCCCTTGCTCAACTGGGCTCTGTCCATCATGTTTCATTATCCCATGCTCAACTGGTCTCCGTCCATCATGTTTCATTATCCCATGGTCAACTGGGCTCTGTCCATTATGTTTCATTAACCACTGGTCAACTGGGCTCCGTCCATCATGTTTCATTATCCCATGTTGACTGGGCTCCATCCATCATGTTTCATTATCCCATGCTCAAATGGGCTCCATCCATCATGTTTCATTATCCCATGCTCAAATGGGCTCCGTCCATCATGTTTCATTTCCGGAGCAGAACTCCTAAACCATTCAATAATGCTTTGCATACACATCAGGCATTCATTGAAATATTTAGTTTTGTTTTTTTCCAAGGCACCAAGTTGGATTTTTGTTCAAATGAGAGTTGGGATCGTTTCCAGAGCACAACTGAAAGTAGTCCGGACCTCCCTCTTAAAAACCAAATGCAGTATGTTGTAGGATTTTGATATTTTGGATCCCTCCCTTTTAAAAATGCAGGATCTGCCGTTGTGAAAGCATTTAAAGAATAGAGGGTATCGTTTGGTTTAGTCATCAATAATTATGTCAGTTGTATATATATATCAAGGGATATGAATGACATTGACTTGTTGTTCTACTGTCGGTGATACCAGACACAAGTCCGTGACAGCAGCACGAACTGCTTCAAGTGTCAGTGGACTGCCCAGTCACTTCCAGGCAGCGGTGCTGCAGGACCTTGGACAACCGATGGTGGTGCAAAGGTTGCCCATGCCCACAGACATCAAGAGAGATCAGGTACACCCTCACTCAAGACACATGGGTCAATCTAAACTTCCTTCAACTGTTAGTGCTATGTTAAACATTTCTTTGGGACTCACTAGAGATTAGGTATTATCAACAGCGCTCATTTTTGTTGTAAGAGGTGACTTTTAAGGATCTGGTTGAACTGGCCACTGTAAAATAGCAGGGTTGAAACGATGCAGCAAAGTCACGGTACATAGGTCATGATACGATATGCATATTTATGTGAAATCACATAGAGAGTTCTTGACTATAAATATTTCAGACCAGTAGACACATGTTCATAGCGGCTACTTTTAGTAGTGAATTTGAAATGCTAATTAAAACACATTTTTGCAATATTTGACTTACAAAAATGCTGGTTAATATAGTAAGTAATTTATTTTAGCAATTGTATTGTCTTGTTTCGATGCAGAATAAAACATATTGTTTGTCATATCTTAGCATGAAAACTCCTGATGCACCATAGAGCAGCAGCCCAGAGCACTTTGGTCAAACGAACAAGGTACCAATATCCGAACACAGGAACATTTACTGTGTAACCCAACATATTCATATATGGATGTCTGCCGGGGACCCCCTGCTGTGTGTGGCCCCTGGCCCCCCAAAAGAAGGGACCATTCAAGGGCTGGATCAAACATTGGAGGTACCACAAGAAAGTAAGTGTAAATGAACTGGTTCATCTCGCAGAGTACAGAATGGGCCACACCAGACAAATCTTCCTCTGCATAAGGCCTACCAGACACCCCCAGAGAGGGTCCCAAAATTTGGGCTGGGATAAACATTGTAGGTACCACATGAAATCAACATAAAATGAACTATTACACTCTTCTAAGTATAAAATACCAAATGCCAGACAAATCGTCTGCTGCATAAGGCCCGCCAGACGCCCCCAAATGTTGACCCTTAATGCACTCAGTGGACACTCTGGTAAAATTTGACTAGAGTATACATTCAAAGTACCAGATGAAAGTAAGTTTAGATGAACAGGTACATGTTACTGTGTACAAAACGGCCCATACCTGACAAATTTTCCTCTGCATAAGGTCCGCCATACCCCCCAGAGAGGGTCCCAAAACTTGGGCTGGGTTAAACATTGGAGGTTCCACATAAAACCAACATAAAATGAACAATTGCACTCTACTTATTGCACAATACCCATTGCCAGGCAAATCATCTTCTGCATAAGGCCCGCCAGACACCCACAAAAAGTTGACCCTTCAGGTATACACGGGTTAAAATGGGCTGGAATATTTATATCGATTGTACGACATTAAGGTAAGTTTAAATGAACAGGTTCTTATCACAGAGTACAGAATGGGCCACACCAGACAAATTATCCTCTGCATATAAGGCTTAAACATTGGAGGTATCACATGGAACCAACATAAAATGAACTATTACACTCTACTTATTACAAAATACCCATTGCCAGACAAATCATCTTCTGCATAAGGCCCGCCAGACACACCCTTACCCCACCCCACACAGTTGACCCTCTGTAATCCCAGTGTGCATAATGAAACACAGGAGGCAGAAGAGCATTGGACATCAGCTCTGAGAGTCAACAAATGGTCAAATTTATGTTTTGTTCTTAAAGATGGAAGGATTTTATTGAGATTAAAATCACGTATTTATAAAATTAGGTCTCTGAATACTAGTATTGATATCATAGATTAGGCCTATCGTTGAAATGTAATGAAAATGGCATGAATCTGATTCTTGTGAATATATATCTGATCAGCTATGAAGTCCTCAAAGCCTGCTATTGCCTGATAGCTTGGCTATGGATTCCTACAAACCCAAACATGCTCAAGTAGTCCTCAAAGCCTGCTATAAGAATGGTTAATGATAGTCCCTAATACCATTTGGAAATCTCTTGGTGATAATTGTGTTTGCATTGGGTTAGACTTAATTTTCCAGACGCAATAGTATCTCGTCAACGAAGAAAAGACGTCTATGTAAAATTGATAAATATGGAGATATATTTGGCCTGAATTCAGCTTTTTAGATGATAAAACTTTCTAAATAAATGGAGATCATAGGTTATTAAACACAATTATCAACCACATTTTACAGATTATCCTCCTAAAACATTTCCAAGTGGTACTAGGGGCTATCATTAACCATTCTGCAACACTCAACAACAAACGTTCCTGTGACACCAATATTTTAGTGTATTTTTTCAAACAAGTAAATTTTGGTTTTCATTATTGTAGTACATGTATGGAATCAAGTCACAAAAACGCTACAGGAAAAATGCATTCCATGCAAAAGTTGACTTTTATGCAAGCCACATGCATTTCACTACCAAAGAAGAAAAACATGTGAAAAACAACAAAATTACGCAATTATTCAACATTATGAAATACTACGCTTGTCCGAAAATGAGCGTCTGCCAGCCATTGGTATGCTTGAAGCAGGATCTATTTAACGTCCACAGAAACACCATTTGGTGTTGATGGCAATGTTGGCAACAGACGAATAGAGTCAGAGATCATCCTCGGAGTGGCAGGCCACACGTAACCAATAATCGACAAGACAACTGAATTCGAACAACACACCTACGAAATCGATTCCAGCCAGCAACAGTGACTGCAAGAAGCATCCCTGGCCTTCGATGAATATCTTCACAAACCATACGTCGCCTCAGATGTGCAGGGATTGTCGCCAGAAGACCCGCCAGACGTCCCATTTTGACAAAAAAAACACCATCAAGCACGTCTACAGTGGTTCAGACAGCGTCTACGCTGGACAGTCATACAGTGGGGACAAGTTCTATTCACTGACGAGTCTCGTTTTCACCTCAGCCACCGCGATGGACGGATTCGAGTGTACAAACGTCGAGGTGAACGTTACGTCAATAATTGTGTCATCGGCCCTGTTGTTCTACCGTTTTTGCGTCGTCATGGCCCAGGCATTACCTTTCAACATGACAACGCCTGGCCTCATATTGATCGACTTGTTCAGGATTCTCTTCAACAAAACAAAGTGAATGTCATCCCCTGGCCAGCTCACTCCCCTGATCTATCACCAATCGAGCACATGTGGGATAAGATGGATCGGCGACTTTGACGTCCACCATGTGTTCCACAGACACTCCAGGAACTTCGAAATATGCTCCAGCAGATATGGACAGATATCCCACAGGACTTTTTGCGACGCCTGGTCCATTCCATGAGACGAAGATGTGTTGCTTGCATCGCAACCAGATGTGGACATACACGCTATTGATTTGTAAATTGACATTTTGGCATGTTTATGGTTTTTTTTATGAAATCATGCATTTTCTGAAGTCAGTATGACAAATTAAATCATTTGAACACTTACAGGAGTCTTTTATCTGTTGCAAACCGAAATCGTTTCAGATTTGGTAAAAAACATAACTTTGCATTAAAACTTATTCAATGTCACAGGAATTTTTGTTGTTCAGTATATAAAAATCATATGCCCATCTGAGCATGTTTGGGCTTGTAGGAATCCATAGCCAAGCTATCAGGCTATAGCAGGCTTTGAGGACTTCATAGCTGATCAGATATATATTCACAAGAATCAGATTCATGCCATTTTCATTACATTTCAACGATAGGCCTAATCTATGATATCAATACTAGTATTCAGAATCCTAATTTTATAAATACGTGATTTTAATCTCAATAAAATCCTTCCATCTTTAAGAACAAAACATAAATTTGACCATTTGTTGACTCTCAGAGCTGATGTCCAATGCTCTTTGGCCTCCTATGTTTCATTATGCACACTGGGATTACAGAGGGTCAACTGTGTGGGGTGGGGTAAGGGTGTGTCTGGTGGGCCTTATGCAGAAGATGATTTGTCTGGCAATGGGTATTTTGTAATAAGTAGAGTGTAATAGTTCATTTTATGTTGGTTCCATGTGATACCTCCAATGTTTAAGCCTTATGCAGAGGATAATTTGTCTGGTGTGGCCCATTCTGTACTCTGTGATAAGAACCTGTTCATTTAAACTTACCTTAATGTCGTACAATCGATATAAATATTCCAGCCCAATTTAACCCGTGTATACCTGAAGGGTCAACTTTTTGTGGGTGTCTGGCGGGCCTTATGCAGAAGATGATTTGCCTGGCAATGGGTATTGTGCAATAAGTAGAGTGCAATTGTTCATTTTATGTTGGCTTTATGTGGAACCTCCAATGTTTAACCCAGCCCAAATTTTGTGACCCTCTCTGGGGGGTATGGCGGACCTTATGCAGAGGAAAATTTGTCAGGTATGGGCCGTTTTGTACACAGTAACATATACCTGTTCATCTAAACTTACTTTCATCTGGTACTTTGAATGTATACTCTTGTCAAATTTTACCGGAGTGTCCACTGAGTGCATTAAGGGTCAACATTTGGGGGCGTCTGGCGGGCCTTATGCAGCAGACGATTTGTCTGGCATTTGGTATTTTATACTTAGAGTGTAATAGTTCATTTTATGTTGATTTCATGTGGTACCTACAATGTTTATCCCAGCCCAAATTTTGGGACCCTCTCTGGGGGTGTCTGGTAGGCCTTATGCAGAGGAAGATTTGTCTGGTGTGGCCCATTCTGTACTCTGCGAGATGAACCAGTTCATTTACACTTACATATGTACCTTCTTGTGGTACCTCCAATGTTTGATCCAGCCCTTGAATGGTCCCTTCTTTTGGGGGGCCAGGGGACACACACAGCAGGGGGTCCCCGGCAGACATCCATATATGAATATGTTGGGTTACACAGTAAATGTTCCTGTGTTCGGATATTGGTACCTTGTTCGTTTGACCAAAGTGCTCTGGGCTGCCAGTCTACCAGTGCACTGATGTAGCGTTTCACCCCTGACATGGAGTATTGTAGACTGTATTCACTGTCATGGTTACAGATACTGGTGGAGGTTGAAGCGGCAGCAGTCAACTTTTCTGACATTCTGAAGGCAGCCGGACAATATCAGGTGAAGGCCACAGTGCCCTATGTTCCAGGTAAAGATTCCAACAGAATCTTGTTTTTTGGTGGTTTGTTTGTTAACGCAACACTCAGCAATATTCCTGCTATATGACAGCGGTCTGTAAATAATCAAGTTTGGAACAGACAATCCAGTGATTGATGTCATGAGCATCAATCCATGCAATTGGGATATGATGACATGCATCAACCAAATCAGCGAACCTGAGCACCTGATCACGTTAGTTGCCTCTTACGACAAGCATAATCACCTTTCGCAGCAAACATGGGTTTCTGAACACCTATTCTAACCCGGATCTTCACGGGGCTCATTACTTCTTGTATGTATCGCTGTCAAATATCAATACAAAATGGTCATATGTATGGATATGTAATGATCCTTGCATAGATGAAAATGAATACATATTTCCTCACTGCATCAATCTTATAAAATCAGATCTTTTACACCGACATGATACTTGTCAGCATCAAGATCAGGAAGCACCTCTATAGGTCACGTCAGGAGACCCTGAGAGCACTTTGACCGCCCAGTCGAAATAAGGGTTAGTGGGTCCTTGAGCCAGTCAGATGTCAGCTTTAAAAAACAATTCGGAAATTTCAATCACTGACAAAGAACACCACCACAGAACACAATAACTCTCCTTATTAACCCTTTCGGGTGTAGATGCCATGGTGCTCACAAACAGGATGTATAAATATCCACATTATAATAGTGCAGCACTATTTTTGGTCATTTATCAGATATACAGAAATCAGAGCAGAATTAAGTACTGCGTTTAGCTGATGAGAAAGTTCATCTGACAAGGGATATCTATTTCCTATGTTTAAGCTGACACACGATGTCTTGAATGAAATACTTTTCAAAATGATGTTGAACACGTCACACAAGTATTACGCTGTCACAATGTTGTGATAAGGATTTATGATGACAAAGTTTGTCTTTATAGCCCTTAACCATTCCTTATGGATTAACCTGCACTGAAACGTAGCTCTTAATTGTAACAAAGAAGTTGTTCATCTATATACCTTATCTTTACTTATTCCTAATGAACTAATCAAAGATGGGCATGGTTGTCTCTCTGTAGGTGCTGAGCTCTGTGGTCGTGTGAGAGCAGTTGGTGAAGGGGTGAAAAACTTCCACATAGGACAGAAGGTTGTGGGTTTGGCTTCTAAGGGAGATGGAGCATTTGCTGAATACTGCCTTCTGCATACAAAGGTGGGACAGTACCCTTAATAGAGCATCCATAGCTTGCCCTGCACCAGCTGTGCCCCTATTGGTATTCTGTGGCAGGGTAGGTCCCGAATACCCCATCTATACGTCTTCCCAAGGCAAGGCAGTTAACTGACTGTAAAAGTCTAGTTTCCACCCTTCCTGAACTTGGTAGGAATTTCTGGGCACTACCTGTGGCAACTACAAGTTATGTCCCTTCTATGTCCCTCCTATTGACCAATCAGATTTCACTTCTAATATCACTGCATTTGCTTCAAACAAAATGGCGGCGCCCAATCAACACGATCTGATCGATAACCAAAATCTATATTGTAATAAAACGGGTCATACTTTGCGGAGTGCATCAACTTACATGAGCATCTTGATTAAAAACATGAAAAGATTTGGAAAAAATATGTTGACGCTAAGTTGGTAGTACACATGCTTTGCAAATCATGCAATCGACCGAAATCTGCATGGCAGTCTATGAACCAGATGTTGATTTCATTACAGGATTTTGATTGGACTATGCATAGACTCGTTAGTCCAGCCAAATCACTAATTCCAGCCTAGTTCAGCTCGGGTTGACACTGGAATTTTATAGTTAGTTAACTCCCTTGTCCTTGGAAGATGCATATAAGACTGGGTCTTTGGCATGACGAGCGAACGCCTTAACTACTAGGCTACCCCACAGACCAAATCAGTAAGAACATCCACAATCATCAACTGTGACACTGCTACAATATTTCCCAAAGTGGCATAAAATTAAACTTACAATTCCTTTTACATGCTTTGTATAATTGATTTTCCTTTGGTGCTATCTTTTAGTATGGTAAACTGTTTCAATCACTTTGAGGTACCTTGGTTATCATTTCAACTTCATATTAAACATATTTTCCAGTTTATGATATGCACCTTTGTATATTTCTATGCAACCATTTTGGCTTTCGAAAAAACAATGCTTTCTTAAGTAAAGGCAAAAAATGCATATTTTGTGAAACAAATGAGGTTGATCAATGTTGTGTGTTCCTGGTAGACTGTTCTTCCAGTGCCTGACGCCTTGTCACCAGTAACAGGTGCCTCCATGATCATTTCCTATGGAACTGCCATGATGGCTTTGACCCGCACAGCCAAGGTCAAGGCTGGGTAGGTGTGAAATATTTTCCCCATGACAGAATCCAATGTTGTGTTTATATATGATAGAAATCATATTGGGGACACTTACAATGTTAAATCATGAATAATACCTAAAAGAATATTTTTAAAGAATTGCTACATTTGGAACCTTTTCAGAATGAGTTACATCATGAGCGGTTTCGATTTTGCTTTTGTTCTTTTGTGGATGGATTTTGGAAGTTAACAACTTGGGACAAGAACATGGGCACGAAGGAAGTGTCAAACCTCACTATATTAGTAACTGGGGGCTCTTAAATGTGGTGGGATGGTTAATGAGGTTGTCCACTGTAAAAAGAATGTATGTTCTAGTGAGACGGTGTTGGTAACAGCAGCAGCTGGGGCAACAGGGATGGCAGCCATGGATATTGCAGCTCATGTCCTGGGTACAGAGGTATTGTTGCTCCGTTATCTTATACCGCTGTCATGTAGCTGGAATAATGGAGTATGGCGTTAAACAACAAACAAACCATTCTCATATCTTAATATACCGATTTCGACATAATAAGAGACCAAAACGCATAAAAACTTGACACCATACACAAGAGATTGTCAGAGATTGAGCGGGAACAGAATAAGTCCAAAGGCGTATGAAACTAAAATGTATTTGATACTATTTACTAGGCAGTTACATATCCATTCTACTCTGCTGTTTGCCCTAATATGTACAAGTAAATATAAATTGTCATGTCAATTTTGGAGCTTTGTAACAGGAGCTTATAAAGATTACTTACAGATTGGTCAAGAGGTTGGTCAGGGGGTGCTTTTGGGAACAGGACACTTAATACATCTGATATGGTACATATAATCCTTATCTTGAGTGTGAGGACAAGTTTCCTATTATCAAACGAAACATCAAACCACTTGTTCCATAGCCTATTCCCTAGGCAAGATGAAGAGCTATGGTAGGACTCATGGTGGAAGATCTCTGAAAAAATATCCTATCTTTGGTAGATTTTACTATGACTTATGCATAAATGTAATGAATAATGAAGAAGTTTGGGTTTGCATAAATATCTCCATCCTAAAAGACGAGGTGGGATAAGGGCTCATTTTGGCCCACACTATCTGCATAATTTATCAACTGAACAAAACTTTTAGAAATTGTTTTGAAAGTTATCAGTGTTCATGTGAAGGAGAACTAGGCTTTGTTTCATTTCAACAATTGCATGTTTTGGAATTACAACAATGCTAAAGCCAAAGGTAAGGATAAATGTGTCAACGAGGCTGAATTTAGAGGATTTGGGAATTTGTTTTTCAAATTTTTTATGAGAACACAGTTCAAAACATAATGCTAAAAAATTCATCTTGAGACACAAACTTGCTAATACGTATATTTTCCTTTGAAGTTTAAAAAAATCAGCCCTTTTCACTCATTTTAGCCACACAGTATTTGATCCTGTCAGAAGTCCAAAACTTGCAAGTGTAAGAAACAAAAGGCTAGTTGTCAGGCATTTGAACATGACCGATAATTTTCATACCAATATTTGAAAGTTTTCCGCAACTTTAAAATTTGACATTTTCATTGGGCCAAATATGGCCCTTGTCCGATTTACTTTAAAATAGAACTAAAATAGCAAAAGATTGCCTTTGGCTAGGATAGTTAAGTCTAAGTACCTTGTGACCAGGTGATTGCAGTTTGTGGAGGAGCTAAGAAGTGTGCCCTTGCCAAGGAAAGAGGAGCACACCACACAATAGACTATAACAGTGAGAATTTGAGGGAGAAAGTCAAGGAAATCACTCAAGGTCGTGGAGTGAATGTTGTTTTGGATCAGGTTGGGGGAGATATCTTTCTGCAGTGTCTAAAAAGGTTTGTTTTACTTCTTTTTATGACAGATTACTTGCTTGACACACACAGGTTATGACCAATTCTTTATATTCTCTTTCACGCAAACTGTTGTCTTTTAGGATAAATATCGTGACAGATCAATTCATTTCTCATACTATTTGCAATAATGAATATGATACTGGTTAGTTTTACCAGTTGTCATTAAACTTTCCTAGGCAACAGACTGGTGCTTTTGATTTAACTCATTATCTGTGGATGCTCTAATTTTTACTTTGTCTGACTTCAACAAGTCTTCATTTCATATTGTTCTAGGTATTTGTATTTTTACTTGATGAAGCATTTCAACATTCATATCCTCATTTAAACAATTGTTTTCCCTTGAAGTATTGCAGAGGAAGGACGACTGGTGACTGTTGGTTATGCATCAGGGAAAATACCATCAATACCTGCTAACCTGCTGCTGCTCAAGTCCTGCTCTGTCCATGGTGTGTTTTGGGGCAACACTTCCGTCACCAACCCCCCAGCTTTCTTCAGGTCCATACAGGACACAATGACAGCACTTCAGCAAGGGAAAATAAAACCATACTGTGGACAAACATTTCCTCTCAATCAGGTTTGTGTTGTCGAATTGCTCATTGACCACAGAATCATCATATATCTGCTTTTTATTACTAAACAGGATATATAAATTTCATAAAGTTCACTAGTGCAAATATCAGTTCTCACACACCAGTGCATTGTTTCCATCATCCGGACGTCATTGTTGATGTCAAGAATCTTATTGGGATGGAATGACAAATTGTGGTTTTCTAGGACAGTGGTGGAGATCAGTGCATTGTTTTTTAGAGGGGAGCTCAAAAGGATTAAGAATAATGGGTAATAAAGAAATAATAAAGAAATTATTACTCACATGTGTGTCAAACGGATTTTATGAAACTTGTGTAAGAATTCATGTATCACCCTTGCACTTGCTCGGGAAATACAAGAAATCAGACACTCGTTTTGTAAAATCAGTATGATACACTTGCTTGTATAATAACCTCTATATCTGGAATGATTACATATATTTTTTTCATTTTCAATCCTATGACATTCTTGAGGATGATATCTTATAACAAAATGATGTTTTGTTGGTTCTGAACAGAAATATCTAAATTCACAATCTTTATTGGTCCAGAATCAAATATTCACTGTCATCATCATCGTAATTCTGTCTATGCCTTGAAGAAAAAGAAATTTTGATCGATGCTTTATGTCTGTTTTCAGGTAAATGAAGCATTTGACCTGGTGAAATCCAGAAAATCAACAGGAAAAGTTGTTATAGTTCCGAGTCCTAACTCTTGAAACTATCTCATTGAACAAAAGATCAAATATTATGTATGAATAGTTTTACATTTTCAGAAAACATGGTGATGAATCAAAATCATATATTCCAAGATAAAAGTCATCAGAGTATGTAAATAGTCAGATTAGTTACCAAGGCAATACTACACATGTTGTTTTGTATAGAGGAATTTTGGGGTCAGTCTGTACAAACCAAAATAAACATTTTATGCCACAAGGCCATATCTTACATAATTAATAAGGTTGTAAAAGTTTCCCAAAGGTTTCAGGCATCCAGCGTATAAGTTGGTATAAGCTTTCATGTAGATACATGAAACATACCGATGATGGATGGATTGACCTGTCAGTGTGAGTATCCCACACCATACAGTGTTCACAATTCTTGAAACATTTATTATGCTCAGTCTGACAAGAACATGTCAAGAACAAGAACATTTGTAAAAGAGAATATCTGCAGTTTGTCTCTGTTTGTCAGTTCCTATGTCTTTGTATACATTGCTTTATATATACAGAAATAAAACAAACACATGAATGTGTGCAACCACTTACTTTATTTGCACCTGCAAATAGCAAAAAGAATCAAGTCTGCTATTTTCCCGGCATAGTCTTACAACCAGTGAAAGACAAATGATTTCATGCAGGACATGTAAAGCAAGTCCACATACCAATTCCTGTCAAATAAAAAGAAATGATTATATACTTCTTGTAATTAAGTATTTTCCACTGTCTCAAGTGGCTAGGAACACCATGTAAAGCTGTGCTGGAAAGTATCAGACTTGATGTCTCATCCTGCTAATGGGCCCATTCTTCCCCCATCACTCCCCGATAATCCCTACATGTAGTACAACTACTGAAATGAATCAGTCTTCTGCATCTTAGGCCTCTTTGATTTATTTACTTGGTTTACATATTTTCCAAAAGACACATAGGCTCGGTTGTCGAAATTAAATTAAAATAGATGTTAAAAACATTTTTTCAGATTTTCTTAAAGGTGAGTCAGTTGAAAAGCCAAAGAGTTACCTCCCTTCAGACATCAACATACATGTACTTCAGAAAATGAGTACTCAAAATTTTAATTTTATTTGTAAAAGTTTGGGTTGGCCAATCCGTAAACCAAGTAATTAAAACTAAACACCTTATATGGAAACATGCATAACGGTAAGAGTCAACAATAGAACCACAATGCTGCTTCACAGTCCAGGCTTTAGTAATACCTTCTACCAGATAACATAAAACTCGGACAAAATTTTCACCTTCGCTTACTTTTGGCTGATAAATAAAACCAATAAAATAACCATGGCTTTTATCTGTTGTAACATTTTAAAATAATCTAAATGAATCATTCGAACGTTTATTTCATAATGTTAGGTTAAAAACTGAGTTACATTTCAAACTAATTTGAATCTGTAAGATGTCATGCCTATTTGATCATATCACTGAATAATAGAGGATAGAACTGAAAGCAACATAATCTTTTGTCTTGCATTCATAAACAGTCTAAAATGATGTACAAAGCTAAAATATAACTTTTCACTTTGTGCAACTTTGTTGAGAATAAAATTATTGACATATTTGACTTTCCTCATTCTCATAAAACATTGAACTTAATCATTTGGCAAAAACAGTCTATTGCTCGATAACATAAAAGCATAGTATATGTAAATGCTTGATAACGCTGCATGTCAGGGCTCGATTTAAAGGAACCTGATTAAACTTGCACAAGATGCATGTTGACATACAAACCTAGTTGCACCCGAAAAAAACCAAGTTGCACCCTGGTCCTATAAATTTATCAAAGTTGAAACAAAGGCTGGTCTTCTGCCAGTGTCAGATAAATTAAAAACATATTGCTACTAAATGCAAGTGAAACATGCAATAATCTTGAAGTACCCCCAGTTTGATGACGTCAAACCCAAGAAAGCATGACAAAGTATACATAACGGGGATTAGTGATGTAGTATGGTACATAAAACTTAGAGGTACTGAGTGTTCAGTGATCGATGTTGTCTGAACAAGTAAGGGTTAGTCAGAAACAAATTTGAATTTTTTTATATGCACTTGGTGCATGTAGACATAAATTTTAGTATTATGTTGCATTTTTCAATAGTGGGTTGCACGGGTGTATGTTTTATAAAGCTAAATCGAGCCCTACATGACATGTAATGGAACAACTTGTGAAAATGAACCATATCAAAAATAGAAAGTGTTTTAACATCAACAAAGGACAAACATCTTTAAATTGATCACTTGAAAAATATCTTTTTACATGCTAACATCTGTTTAGCACGGACATTACTTAAATCACAGTTGTTAAGTTTGATAATTAAAATATCTTTACTATCCTCTCCTGGAGGGTATCCAACACATTTGCAGGTGTCTACAACCAATATTAATTTCCATTCTTATTGAGGATTATCAGCAATCTTATGAGGGCTTTATAAGTTGGAGCAAGTATGACCCAGTGGATGGTTACTTTGCAAATCCAGTCTTCAATTCTCATTCACATACTAGAAGTGAGGTCTTGCGATGAATCATGTTTTTGTGATGAATCATACCTTAGTCAATTTGCTTGAATACTAAGAAAGTAAATTCTTGTCAGAGTACACTGATCATTTGAAGTGTTTGCATGTTTCCTTGAGCCTTCTGCAGTCACTGCCATAGAAACAAGTTACAGGTAGTTGCCACTCTTTCACCATCCTTGCCCTTAGACTGGCAGCTCTCTATCCCATCTCTGATTGGTCGGTCGGTCGGTTGTTTGTCTGGCTCGGAGCACTGGATTGGTTCCAGGTCATTGTGTAAGACCATGCTCCGCTTGTTCTCAGCGTTTTCTGCAAATCAATTTTCAGAAAGGGTCTACCATATGTACAGAAACATCGGCCATTTGATAATGATCACTGCATTGAGCTAAGAGAAAAGTAGTTAATTATTTATAATTTGAAAGGAAAGTTGTCTTGATACAGTTTGATATATATAATTAGTCAGAATGTTGTCATAAAACAAACATTCATTACTCGTTGTCGTTACCTCTGTTTAATACCAATAAGCTGGTGTCTAATACCACAGTATGTGCAGATGTACTGCCGGAACAAGGTTTCACGAGAAATATTGAAAACTCTCAACATGGCTGGGCTTATTCAATGACATTGAGATGATAGATCACTGAGATGAGCTTATTCAGACTCGATGACCCTCAGAGCATTGTTTCTCCATTGTATCTTGCAATAAAATTTCACAAATTATGTCAGGGTATTGTGACGTGTTTGTAAACTTTGTTGTGCTTGAATTCTAAAGGTATGCCATTGAATGGTATTAAGTTAATACTTGTCAACTTTAAATGTGTTTGAAGTTGAGTTTTGTTCAACTCTATTGGATTATGCTGTGGATCCCATCACTGTCTGCCTACTTAAACATGACAGTGAAATATTGTATTCATATGCTTGACCTAATTTATGACATTCATCACATAAAATCTTAATCACTTGAAAAATATCACTTTACAGGCTAACATCTGTTAAGCACAGAGACAGAACTTAAATCACAGTAAACTTCTTTGAAAGGCATTTAAAAGTAGGAGTACTAAGTAAGGATAACATAAATGGATGAACAACTTCTTTATTACAATTTGGAGCGGCGTTTCGGTGTAGATTACAATACCATTCATTCATCATTTGATTGATAACAGTGTTAGAACCTACATCAAAACATCGCTCCTAATTGTAATAAAGTTGTTCATCCATATATCTTATCCTTACTTAAATCACAGTTGTTAAGTTTGATAATATCTTTACTATCCTCTGGAAAGTGAAATATTGTATTCATACACTTGACACAGTTTATGACAGGAATTCCTGTTATGAAAGGCAAGTAATAAAATACTAAACTCACTTTTGCTCATCAATACCAGAACTATTCAATCATTTCATGAAACTAGTAAAATCTAGATATTTTTTATATTTGTACACTTATCCTGCATTACTCCTTAATGCATTTACTGCTTGTTCTTGACAGAGAAAGAGCTGTGAGAGTTAAAATATTTGGTATTATAGTCAATAGACAATGTTTTGGAAGAACAGGTGAATAATTATTAATACCAAATGATTCAACATTGTTAAATTTATTACCGTCAAAAAAAGAAAGAGTGACTATTTCGCTGTAGCTCAATGGTTATATACTCAACAACAAAAGTTCCTGTGACACCAATATTTTAGTGTATTTTTCAAACAAGTTAACTTTGGTTTTCAATATTGAAGCACATATATGGAATCAAGTCGCAATAACGCAACTGCTACAGAAAAGCGTACATTCCATGCAAAAGTTGACTTTTATGCAAGCCCAATGCATTTCACTACCCAAGAATGGGTATAAAAACATGTGCTTTAACGGGATTCCATATGCATTGTTTAGCATCGTGATGAAAACAACCACTCAGAAAAACAACAGAATTACGCAATTATTCAACATTACGAAATGTCATGCCTGTCCGAAAATGAGTGTCTGCGAGCCATTGGTATGCTTGAAGCAGGATCGAGTCAACGTGATGTTGCAAGACAATTTAACGTCCACAGAAACATCCTTTGGTGTTTATGGCAACGTTGGCAACAGACGAATGCAGTCAGAGACCATCCTCGGAGTGGCAGGCCACATGTAACCAATAATCGACAAGACAACTGAATTCGAACAACACACCTACGAAATCGATTCCAGCCAGCAACAGTGACTGCAAGAAGCATCCCTGGCCTTCGACGAATATCTTCACAAACCATACGTCGCCTCAGATGTGCAGGGATTGTCGCCAGGAGACCCGCCAGATATCCCATTTTGACAGGAAACCACCATCAAGCACGTCTATGGTGGTGAAGAAAGCGTCTACGCTGGACGGCCATGCAGTGGGGACAAGTTCTATTCACTGACGAGTCTCGTTTTCACCTCAGCCACAGCGATGGATGGATTCGAGTGTACCGACGTCGAGGTGAACATTATGTCAGTCATTGTGTCATAAAAGAAGATCGGTTCGGGGGCGGCAGCGTTATGGTATGGGGTGGGACATACAGCAAGACAGAGGACCCGTTTGATAGTGGTAGAGGGAAATCTCAATGAACAGCGCTACTGCGACGAGATCACTGGCCCTGTTGTTCTACCGTTTTTGCGTCGTCATGGCCCAGGCATTACCTTTCAACATGACAACGCCCGGCCTCATATTGCTCGACTTGTTCAGGATTCTCTTCAACAAAACATTGTGAATGTCATCCCCTGCCCGGGTCGCTCCCCTGATCTCTCATCAATCGAGCACATGTCGGATAAGATGGATCGGCGACTTTGACGTCAACCATGTGTTCCACAGACACTCCAGGAACTTCGAAACACGCTCCAGCAGATATGGACAGATATCCCACAGGACTTTGTGTGATGCCTGGTCCATTCCATGAGACGAAGATGTGTTGCTTGCATCGCAACCAGAGGTGGACACACACGCTATTGATTTGACATTTTGGCATGTTCATTGTTTTTTATGAAATCACGCATTTTCTGAAGTCAGTATGGCAAATTAAACCATTTGAACACTTATAGGAGTCTTTTATCTGTTGCAAACCGAAATTGTTTCAGATTTGGTAAAAAACATAACTTTGCATTAAATATTACTCAATGTCACAGGAACTTTTGTTGTTCAGTATATTTGAAATTATCTTCAGTATATTTGAAATTATCCTCTAAACGTAACTTATTTTCACTATCTTGACAACTTTCAAACCATGTAAGATAAAGCAAAATAACTCGTTTCAAGGATTCAAAGCTGCCAAATATTTTGTTGCATTCAAAAAGTTGCACTGCATGTTATGTTTGTGTTCATAACAAGGAGAGTATATGTTTAATCGGGCATTCCACTGCTTATAGTTTGTGCTGGTGACCAATTACCAATATTCCGTCACAATTGTAAATGAAGGTTCCACACATATAAACTAAAAAATGAGTTCAAACTGTTGGATAATAATGTCTACGTAGAAGCAAATTTTCTGGGCTTCAATCATCATAAGACAGGTTTTAATGAGCTGGACACAGTTGTATCAAAATGTCATTATCTAATGGTTCATAAACCCTTATATTTAATAAAATTCTTCTCCCTGCCATCTGCCAAGCAGCATGTGTAGTAGCAGTTCACTTGACTCAAAGGTTTGGTTAGGCAGAATTGCATCACCTCTGACGTTCATTGTGTGATGTGTCTTACATGTCTTGGAGGTTTCCACACAAATCACAAAGCTTTTGATTTAAACCCTGCATTTTATCAACATACAAGCACATATTATTTGGCATGTTTAGTTTTAATGAAACCTCCAAACCTCCATTAGGTTAATGACCCGTTAATGTACAGAGGGGTTCATTACAGGTTTGATAAAACAAATTTCATGGCACATTAATTGATGGAAGTTTAATGCGTGAGTGAGTGAGTGAGTATGGTTTTACGCCACTTTTAGCAATATTCCAGCAATATCATGGCTGTTGACACACATTGTACATATGTGGGGAATCGAACCCGGGTCTTCAGAGTGACAAGTGAACATTTTAACCACTGGGCTACCCCACCACCCGGAAGTTTAATGAAATGTTAATGTATCATTAAAGTTTGAGTCCTGTTCAGGGGTCTGTTACATAAATTAGTTAGGATGCATCACAAGCTTGCAACATGTCACAACACCCATTTTGCTCTCGGGGAGCTTTGCATAACATCACAAGTATGTCTTGAATATGTCGTAGTGTTGCAATCATTTAATTGTGGTAGCAAATTTAGCAACATTCTTTTCAATGGTTTGTAAAAACAAACCTGCAACATGCAATATATCAAATAAAAACAGATAGACTACATCGCACACTTTGAGAAAACATCCTTGAAGATATAAAGATAGTGAATTAATAATTGGCAACCAAGATTCCACAAGCAAGAGCATTAAGGAAAATAAGAAATATTGCCAACGTTGGACATTTCACTAGATTTGTATTTGAGGGTTGGTGAAATATCACTGGTTGTAATATCTGAGTGGTTGCAAGCCCTTCTGGAACTAGGTAAGAAAATGCAAGCAGCAGAGATCAAGTTGCAAGATCACTATTAAATTAAGACAAGTCACCTCTACATGGAGGAACTATTTTATGTCATGATACAGCTGGTTCTTGTATGGCTTTCAGTGTAAACATGAAGTCACATGTACTTAATCATAAGAACTGGCATTCACTTTGTTGAAATTCACTGGAGTATAAACCTTCATAGACGACGTCCATGCAATGTTTGGCCCTCATTTTATGAAGGTTCATACTCCACCTATGACTATTTCTTTGAATTACTGTATATCAACTTTAACTCGCAATCAGAAAAAAATGATTTTTCTGTTAATTATTCCAAGTATTACAAATAATTGAATATGCATTTAAAATAGTGTTAAAAATAGTGCTGAAAATAGTGCCATGGTACTGTAGCTCATCTGGATGTTTGTTGTTAATGCCACACTAAGCAATATTCAAGCAATGTACATAATCAAATCTGGACAATCCAGTGATCCAATTATATGACCAGCGATCCATGCCATCAGACACACAATCAACCAAGTCACCAAGCCTGACCACCCAATCCATTTAGTTGCCTGTTATGACAAGCATAGGTTGCTGGGACCAATGGTCTAACCCGCAATCTCATGGGGGTCTGGATATGTAGTCAACATTTCAAAAGGGCAGCCACTGAACAAAAGTTGCTGTTGCCATTGATATTGAAATGTTGTCTGCCAGAATACTGAGGACAAACACTAAAATCTGATGACATGAACAAAATATGATGTCATAATTAGGAGACGCATACATGCCAAAGTTCAACTGGCAATATCAGAGAAGTTTACAGAGTTAAATACGCATTTTGAGAGACTTTAAGACCATGGTCTAAACACAAGGGTCACAAACAGCCCCACTACTAACTACACATATACAAAATGTCATTACATTTTTAACATATGGGCAAATTAAATCTTAAGTGACTATTTCTCAACTGTTTTGTGCATGTAGTGCTAATCCTATAGCAAGATATTTGTACATAAGTTGAGTAATAGCAAGAAAGGTATGATAATAAAGTTATACTACAGACCTATAAAGCTAACGAAAATCTAACTACTGTGCAACTACACTAACAGATATGCCACACTAACAAATATGCCCTGTAAATATTTAAATTGTTTATCCAACTTGAAAGAAAAGAGTTACTGCACGCATAAAAAGTTGCTACAGACATGCTTCCATAGGGAAAAGCCTTTCTATGACTTTAGCAGACAATATATATCTCCAAGAGTATAAGCATAATAGTTTAGTAACTGGGCATTCTGGTGATGAGAGTTTGTGCAGGAGAACCCATAATTCAATTAACTAAATAGAAAGGTGTATGTAAGTCAACAAATCAGTTCAAACAATTGAAAAATGATGTGCCTCATAGAAGTTATTGCATGATGAATGTGTTCATACAGATGAATGCAGCATGCTCCCTTATCTGCCAGTACTTGGTATTGATAAATGTGTAATAATTCCATTAATAGCCAATTTGAGATAATAGGCACTTCATATATCTTCAAAATATTTAAAACAGTTTGCATGCACTTGGTATAATTTCTGTAAGAAATTATTGGTTTGTTAATCCTATTATTGTTTTTTCTTTTAGCCAGTCTATAATGGCAATATTTATAATAAAGCATCAAAATCTAACTCTTGCTACAAGGCCCTTTTAAAAGGGTTAGTGAAACTGAAGGAAATTTATTAGTATGGAAACGAGACACCCAACAATAATGCAAAAGTTCTAGTGCAACTTAATAAAATAAAAGATAAATACCTGTGATCTAGATAAACCATTGAGACTGCGAGACATTCAAACTCACTTAGAGCCAAAGATAAGATCTGCATCAGGGGCTCCCTTAGGATGAGAGTATCGGATACGACGCTCACGATTTGTGTTTACAGGCACTGGTCTGTTGAGGGAGGCCATCATTTCTATGGAAGAAACATTCCATATATCATGAATACAACAACCACAGTCAATGCAACTTTTCAATTTGAAAATAATTCTGCTGTACATAATAAAAACTCATGTAAACATGCTGAAATTACACTGTCACCTTGGTCAGTAAAATGACTAAAACACAAGGTTTGGTTGTAATCAGAAGTGTGCACTCACAAGGTTTATTGTGTTTGTTTAATGCAGCTCTCAGCAATTTTCCAGCTCTATGACAACGACTTATAATACATGTGACTCTGGGTTAGACAAACCAGTGATTTCATAACATGAGCAATGTCTGACAGTGTTGGGGTATGATTATGCAGGGTTAGAACTAAACTTTGAAGCTTTACTAGACCGGGTAAAGATAAAATGCTCTGTTAAAATAATGGGGAAATTTGGAAATTTGTACTAGCCTGCAGGAATTTACACTAGCCCCGGGCTAGCAGACTAGTGGGCTAGTGTTAAGTTCTAACCCTGAAAGACACACAACAAAAAAATCAATGAGAAGACTACCTGATCTGTTTAGTTTCTGGGGAATCCTCACAGATTTACTTTAAAACAAGGATCAACCACATACACTGTTCTGGACTAACAACATTGCCTTGCTATTTTTGAGATATAGGGTCCTTTGCATACAGAGATGCAAGGCAAGGGAGTTAACTGTAAAAGTCCAGTTTCCACCCTTGACGAACTCGGCTTGCTCCCTTGCCTTGGGAAGATGACAGAGATATAGCCAAATGGATTTCATGTGAGTGAATGAGTGAATGATGTTGATGCTACATCGAGCAATATCCTGCATCCCACAAATAAAGGAGGCCAGTGACTGAAAGAAACAGGAGCAAAGATCCATGCGACCAGGCCATGTAGATATGTGATTACAGGCTGATCACCAGATTGAATTTGTTTGCCTCTTGCAACTAGCAGAGGGGTACTGTGGACTTATTCCTCCCTGGAACCTCACATCGAAGTTTTAATGGAAACTAGTCTGGCTCCCTGGTATACATGGTGTATCTTACCCTGATAGTCCTCCTCCTCCTGCCTCTGCTGTATGCCCAACACAACCTGCTTCATCTTTTCCTTCTCCATCTTCTCTGCCTACAACAACAGCACATTCTAGTGGTCATCCATCACAAACACATAAGTAGATACTACTGATAACAAATGTGCCCAGGACTTAAACTGCGCCACTTTTAGCAGCATTGCTTCAATAGCACAGTGACTGTCCACGAGGGGAATTGAACCTGGAGTATTGGTGTGAGGAATGAACATTTCAACCTTAAAAACAGTTTGTTCAGAAGTTAAAAACATATTTCCATGCCAAGGCACAAGTCTGCTTACTGAACTTTATGAAATTAATATGCCACCAAATTAATGGTAGAGTTGATCCCTGGAATTCTAAATCTACACTCTTGGTGTTATTGTTGATTAGTTTTTCAATTCAAAGGCAGGGTTACTTTTGTTAATTTTATGACGCATTAACAAAAGTAACCCTGCCTTTGAATTGAAAAACTAATCAACAATAATACCAAGAGTGTAGATTTAGAATTCCATGAACTACAATTTGGTGTTAGAAGTTTGATTGAATAATAATATTTGCCATCTTTAAAAACTCAAGTTCAATTGCTGCTAAGAAATCAAAACCAGGAAAATTAAAAAAAAACGAATATTCAAATGAGTTAAGTCGGGTCACCGACGAAGATTGAACAGGTTCCAAATGTTGTTATACAAGTTTGAACGTTAATGTGTTCTTTCTTCACCACAACTGGTTGTACGGGGGTGAGCACTAGTTTGCTTGTCATTATTCAATTATTTGACATGGTTACCAAAAGCAAAGCTGCCATCAGAACAGCTTGATCAACATAAGTAAAAAACTGACCACACTTGACCCTGAACTTGGTTAGAAACACTGCCTAAATCTTGAGCTCAATTACATTGTTTAAAGTGAGGTTTAATGTCATTGTTTCTGCCCATGTAACATAAATGTGATCACTCCAACTCCAATATGTCTAGATAAAAATCATGAAAAATCAAGAGACACTCACACTTTTCGCATTAATTTCCTGATTTACATTATGTCTGTATAATTATTACAATGTTTGACTGTTTCAGTTTCCATACCTGTTCTCTTTCCTTGAATTTGGCAGCAAACTCAGCAGATATTGGTACATTCAGATTCGTGAACTGTTGAGAGAATACAGTTTGAATAAACATCTATACACCAAACTTGGCCAAATATGTCAATATTTTATACTGGAAATCAATGTATACAGAATTGCATTGAAAATGACTTTTCTTTGGCTACAGTATGTCAAAGCCAACTGATTAGATGACAAGATCTTCTGACCAAAATAACAATTGAAAGTACTAACCTGTGCTTTGTTGCCTTTCCTTGTCATCAACACAAAGTTAATGGCTGTATCCACTTCGGGAATAGGTTGTGTAACACCTGAACCAACATTTAATAAAAATAAGTGAGTATGTTTTTACGCTGCTTTTGGAAAAATTTCAGCAATATCATGGTGGAGGACACCAGAAATTGAACTCATTTGGGTAATTGAACCCGTGTCTTTGGCGTGACAAGCAAATGCTTCAACCACAAGGCTACCCTTCCACCCCCTAAATGAATGAGGTCATATCCACTAATTTTGTTCATCACGACTCAGCTGAGGTCCATTTATCATATTCTCCCAACTCAACCATGGGTACAGCAGACACGCCTGGTCCATCTTGCATATGGGATGTACAGAAAGGAATATTAAAAGATATTAAGATCAACATCATAAAACAAGGAGACATCACATCAAGATTTCTCTCACAGCTTTACACAGAAACAATAGATATTGTTTGTTTTTGAGAATTGGCTTACCTGTGCCTGTGCCAGGAACTGTCTTCTTAGTCTTGCTGCGCAGGTGAACAGGCATAGCAATGTCAAGCTGGGGAACCTTCAAAGATTCCTGGGCTCGAGCCTATCGGCAGATAGAAAAATAAATACAGTTGAAACAGTCATATCTTGCAATCAATTATTAACTATTAATACGACACAGAAGAATTAACATTATCATAATTATCAACGTCTGAACTCACTTGCCAGTATCATTTCAAAACTATCATAAATATATTACTGGTTGTATCAAAATGTCACCTGGTAACTTGGTGTTACATAACTTTTTTTCAGGGATATCTACTTTCCAAATACTTACAAGAATGACAATGCACAAAAATTAACTTCTAAAATATCTAAACAATGTGATAAAAAGAGCCATTATGAAAATATGAATTAGATCCAGAGAGTCACCTGAATATTTTCAGACATCATTTTGTCAAAGGCAGTCATGAAGTCATCATCTTCTTGACATACAATGCGTTTAGGAGCACCAGTCACCAAAGTTATCTGAAATAGGCAGTTTTAGACATAAAGTGGTGATTTCGCATTAAACATGATTCCAATGAAAGATATTATTTCAAAAATGAAAGTATTTGACATGACACAAGTGAGCCAATGCTGTATTACTCAGGAGTCCTCATTACTCCAACAATATCACTGTTGTAAATAATCAAATCCGGTCAGGACAAACCACTGACCGAAAGCATCTGTATCAATCCATGCCTATCAGGTATGATGATACACAATCAGCATAGTCTCAGACACAAGGGACATTATTGTAATCCTCATAGAGAGCAACTCAATTTCCATTATTCATATAAAACTGCATTAATCAGCAAAAATGATGATCACATGTTAGAGAGGTTTTATATGGGGACTACCAAAGACACAAAATTTGTAGAATTTTCCTATTCGGAATATTCTATAAGTAATACGTTACCACTGTTATACCGAGGCTGTTGTCTCCCACAACTGCTGCTATAGAGAAATCTACCACAGAGATCTCAATTACCTCATGCAGCACGTGCGTAGCCACCTGGCTGCCATATGACACCCTTCACTCTTGTCTCTTGCGAGAGCAAGTGCTCTGGGGACGGACGGGCGGGCAGCAGCCCAGTGGTAACATATTACTTATAGAATATTCCGAATAGGAAAATTCTACAAATTACATTAAGTAATATGTTACCACTGTTATACCGAGGCTGACTACCACAGTAGGCGGTGGGGAGCACCTACAACCCGAATCTGACTGCTAGCGTTCCTTCCGACCAGCGGAAGTAAACGCCAAGGCGGAATCACTCGATGCGCATGCACCTAGCTAGGCGTTACCCTATAGGAATACCAAAGCACTGTCAAGCGCATACTGTAAGGCTCAATCGTCATTGCCAAAACGATTGGTAACTCCAAACGGCCCCACTGGATACGTATTTCATCGCTGCAGCAGATGAGAACACAGTATCCGTGTGAGCTAAATCTTAGATCAGGTTAAACAGTCGAAAAGAGGGAAATTAATTTCATTCAGACCATATATCCCCGAGCAAGCCTACTTAAAGTATGTAATAGGCGCGTGACCTAATTCCAGTATTCGTAAGCATGTATCACAAGGTTGGAATACACGACAGACAATTAAATGCATAATTGTCAAAATACAAATAAGGACAAAACACACAAAAAGCCGCCTCACCAGTGGTGTGAGTGCGCTGGTTTGCAGGACCCCCACTCCTGTACCCACGGCGTGGGAACATTGGAGACGACCCAGATTGACCACCGTGCAAGGACTGACGACTGCGGAGTTTGGAATTGCGCTGGACACCCCCCCTAGATGACCGCTTGTGCCGCGATCAGCGACCCAAGACGGTGCACCCCCTCCACATCTTCATCAGAAACCTTTCTGAGGTAATGATTGGCAAAAACCGAGTCAGAACGCCAGTAAAAACCTCGATATATTCTGTGAATAGAGATATTCGAGTGTAGGGCAAATGTTGCTGCTAGCGCCCTGATCTCGTGCGGGTTTGACCCCGCTACCGGTAACCCCCGAGACCGGTAAGCCAGATTGATGACAGAACGAAGCCACAACGCAATCGAGTTGCGAGTTATGTCAACCGTGCGATTAGGGTTACACGATATGAACAGACGGTCACGCCCTTGTCTACGTTCCTTCGAAGCCTTAAGATAATACTTAAGGGCCCTAACCGGACACAGCGCTCTGTCCTCAGTATCAGCAGGATGTAAGATTTCTTTGAGTGATCTTACAGTGAATTCTCTCTCCGTTTGCCCGATTCTCTGATTCTTGGCGACGAAGCCCATGAGCAGGCCCAGGCGGACCGCTCCTTCGTCACCCCTATCGAATCGTACCTTGGTGACATCGAGTGCATGAATTTCGAATACGAGTGCCGCCGTGGCAAAGGAGAAGAGAAATGCTGTTTTCCAAGTCACATGCCGGAACGAAGCACTATGCAAGGGTTCATACGGAGCTTCCGTAAGTGATTGCAACACTAGGGAAAGATCCCAGGCCGGTGCCCGAAGGCGGCCCTTCTTAAGATCGTGCTGTTTGAAACCCTTGATAATACCCCGTATCACCGGCTCTTTGGAGAGACGGGCGTAGCAACGGACGAGACATAGTTGGCAATGGAACCCCCGGAGAGTTTCCAGGTCTCTCGCAAGTGAGACATGAAACGAGCAATATCCTGCACAGATACCTTATCTGGCGAATGAATGTGATGTTTACAACACCACTTCGTGAAAATAGCCCTGCGTGCATTATACACCTTCTGGGTAGAATCACGATGCATACTAACGTATGCCCGAGACGCCCGACGAGAAAAAACTTTACTCCTCAGACGCTCGGTGACAACATCCACACGTGCAGATTGAACTGCCCTGCATTTGGATGAAGCTAACGGGTGTGAGGGTGGATCAAGAGATCCGGTCTCACAGGCAGTGGAAGTGGCGACTGCGTGACCTGGGTCAGCAAGTCGGGGTACCACGATTTGTTCGGCCACATGGGCATGATCAGTAACATTTGACAGCGAACTCCTCGGAGCCGGCTTAGAATGTGTGGTATCAACGCTGTCGGCGGGTAAGCATAAGCGTCCAAGCCCGTCAAGTCTTAACGCGAGAGCATCGTGATCGATGGCCCTCGGGTCCAGTACTGGTGATAACGGGAGTTGATTGTTGAACCGTGTTGCGAACACCAACGACCCAAACGTTCGCACAGCCACTGAAACACTACTGGGTTCAGCATCCACTCTGTGGGGCTCAGATCCCGAGGCCTCGATAGAGCGTCGGCCAGTACGTTCCGCACACCTGGGGTGTGACGGGCGCGTATCTGGCACGGGACACTGTCCACCAGAGCGTAAAACTCGAACGTGAGATCGAGTAGCGAGTGACTGTGGGTTCCCCCCAGTTTGTTCACATAGGACACTACCGTCGTGTTGTCGGTCGCCATGATGAGCCGGGCGTCGACGAGACAATGCTTCCAGTGATTGACTGCGTTGATCACTGCCTTGAACTCGAGACAATTGATGTGAAGACCTAGTTTGTCTATGCACCACAGCCCCGAGCTCACCTCCCCCTCTAGATGGGCGCCCCAGCCCACTAGAGAGGCGTCTGTATACAGGTTCAACGTGGCCCGGTAGGGCCGCATAGAGACTCCTGATAAGACATTGTAAGGGACCGTCCACCACTCCAGATGCGGTCGGAGCCGATCCGGGAGGGCGACGGTCGCACTGTTCACCTCCTGTGCTAACAACTGGATTAAAAACCGTTGCAGCGGACGGAGTTTGGGACGACCCCGTTCGGTGCAGTCCTGGGCTGACACAAGTAACCCTAACAGCTGTTCCCAAAAGTGAACAGTCTGTTGCACCGCTAAGACTTTGGCAATCTTTGGCAAGATTTACAATCCACCCCAATTGCTCCAAGAGCCGACGTGCGAAATCGAGCTGCCGAGACAGCGTGTCTGTCATTCGATTTGCTACTAGCGAGTCGTCCAGGTACGCAAAGTAACGGACGCCCCTCCTGTGGAAGAACCCAACTATGGGGGTGGTTAACCGGGTGAACAGCCAGAGAGCGGATGAAAGACCGAATGGGAGTACAACCCACTCGTAGTGCCTGCCTTGAAAGACAAACCTGAGATACTTGTGATGATCCGAGTGAATCTGAACATGCAAATAAGCATCCTTCAGGTCGATCGAAGCGAGCCAGTCGGCTGGCATGATCACAGCTTTCAGGTCTGCCAAGCTTAACATTCTGAACTTGGGCGGCTTGTGCAGGTAGAACTCGTTGAACGATTTCAAGTTGTGAATCATTCTGAGTTCGGCACTGTCCTTCTTGGGAACGAGAAATATCCTGGAGTAAAACCCCGGTGTTATTTCTGGTAGAGCTAACTCCCGAACTGCCCTCTTCTCCACCAACCTGCCGATGGCATCGGCGAAGATGGGAAGATCGGTTTCCGAATAGAAACCTGCCGACGGGGCAACGGTGAGCGGCGGATTTGCTTTGAGATTGAGCTGATAGCCGTACCGAATCGTGTTGACCACCCACGGGTCGTCGAACACTTGGGTCCAATTCTCCCAATAAGTCTGGAGTCTGGCTCCCACTGGGGAAGGAGAGGGGGGCCTGACAGGCTGCGGCAGGCGCAACTGTCCAGGGCCAAGTGACTCGGGTTCGCCTACGGGCCAACCAAAGTTGGTGCTGTCGGCATACGAACCCCTCCAATGAGAGTCACCTGGAGGGGCCCTTGCCGTCCTTAGACGACTTGGGCTTCCCCCAGTTCCCCTTCTTCCCGCGAAAGGGCTGCTGATGGCCCTTACCGGAGCCCTCAGGGCGGGGCTTCTTCCGGGAGGAAGAAGAACCCGACCCCTTAGGCCTGCCGGCCGCAGCATCCTGGGGCGCGCTCCGCTTAGGAGCGGCACCCAGGTGCCTATGCAAGGACCCCACAAGATCCAGTGTGTGCCGGTCTCTGTCCGTGGGAGAATCTTCACCCAGACTGGCCGCTGCAGCCAGGTATGTGTCTCCGTGAGACACTGCCAGCATTTTGTGTCGAGCAAGGGTGTCCAGCTGCTGCAAGGTACCTTGTGGTACCGTGGCAGCCGGTGGGGCACAGACACCCAAATGCTCAACATGGGCTTCCGCGGTAGGACCAGCCTCGGGAAAGGCAAGGTCATGCACCGGGAAGGACCCTTTTCTCCACGACAGTGGAGGCAACGGGAGACCCCGACTGGAGGCAGCCGCGAAGGCCTTCTCCAGGAAAGGCTTAATCCCGAGCAGCAAGGTTGATGCCAGGAAAGCCTGGTCTGACGACTCATCGTACACCTCGGAGGAACCCACGGTGCCGTGGATTCCCCGCGGTATCGGCAGGGGCTTGGGCATGTCCTCGAAGAGGTCATAAACCATGGCCACGCGGTCCTTAACCGATAGCGGGAGCAACGGTTTCGGGGGAAGGACCGGAGACCACGGCAGCCGCCGCCTTACTGGTGGACCCCGCGTCCGAACCCGCGGCCACCGAAGAGGCCGAGGACGGAACAGCCAGCGGCCTATCCTGAGATAAGGCCGCCAGCTTGGAGTCCACAAGTTTAGACAACAATGCAGCGACGGAATCCCCGGACAGCCCGAGGGCCGCCAAGAGATACGCCGCAGCCGAGGAGGTGGTACCACAGGGGTGGAGACGGACTGGACGTACAGTCGGTAACGCCCAAACTCCGCAGGCCCCAGACCTTCGCACAGGGTGCACCGGGTGTCCCCACAAGGAACCCTGCACCGCGGGCAACGATCATGGGGATCCCGGGACGACAAGAATTTGCAGCACACTCCGCAACACCGAGGAGCAGGGGTAGAGGGGGTTGCAACCGGGGACATTTCCATGTCAGACATTTTTGTTTGATTCTATGAACAAAGAGCAAAACATGGTGAAAACGCACGCACCACAATGATTCACAAACGAGCATTTTCACAAGAAAATAAACAAACAATGTGAACATATAAAATACACATATAACATATAGAGAAATAAGTGATGTTAACCCCCAAAACATACAAGAACAGGGGAAACGTAAAACACAACGTGCATACGCGAACCCCGCAAGTATAGAGAAAAAAGGGCGGGAAAAATTCTCCGTTTGGCGGGAAATTTATATCCAAGCGTAGCTACCGCAACGCCCCATAAAAGCACAGTTTATTAGAGAATAAACTATAATAAATATCACCGAATATTCGAGGAACGCTTCAGCAGAGGATTACACGTCTTGCTAACGCAAGCGAAGGAGACAAGAGTGAAGGGTGTCATATGGCAGCTAGGTGGCTACGCACGTGCTGCATGAGGTAATTGAGATCTCTGTGGTAGATTTCGCTATAGCAGCAGTTGTGGGAGACAACAGCCTCGGTATAACAGTGGTAACGTATTACTTAATGTAATTAAAGCTTTCTCAATCTCATTCTTGGCATCTATCCAACAATCATGGACAGAGTTCATAAACCTCTTTGAGGTCAAAATTCAAGCACTTTTCAAGGACAAAAACCTTCTTTCAAGGACTTTTTTATGCATCCACAAATAGGCCCCTGAACTTTCAAATGAATCATTTCCAACTTCAACATAATCAGTTCAACAGTTTTAAACCTTTCAGTATTCCTTGCATGTGGAGTCAGTGACAGTCACGTGATACTTTCCCCCACTGTACAATGTCAATTTCCTCCTACACCTAAAAACAGTTCGTATTTATGCCTGAAGCTAACAGATGAGGAGGAAGGTTCTTATGATAAGCTCACATTCACCTTCGTCCTCCCCACCTGCTGACGATGCATCAAGCGACCTGAAAGCATTCCTTCGCAAGGAATAAGACAAACAGACCTGTCAGATATTTTCTTCTGATTGAAGTGGCCGATTTATTCAAACGGGTATCTACAGTGGAGTTGTCGGTGAAATTTACATCGAAACCTATCAATGACCTTAATGACAAAATGGCATCGTCAGAAAAACGCCTTCCTGTCACTATCGACAAGCTCAGAGAAAAGCTTCTGATCTCATTGATGTATTCCGTAAATCCAACTTACTTATCTATGTGTGCCTAATATAATCACAGATATTGACAAGACCTCTCAAGGAGGACGAGGAACCAAGAATCTAGCCAAGCTGGAGTCTAGGTGTGGGATGTTGAGGGACCCATTTTCTCGATAAATTTTTATTTGTTTGTTTTAAAACACAAAATCTAGTGTTATTAGTGCAAATCAACATGTTCGGGTTTGTTGGTCTCACTCTTGGACATGTGAAGATCCACTGTCATGTTGTTTCACAGTGTTACCAGAGACGCTTCATGAACTATGATCATTGGTGTGTTGCATATCATGTGATCAATGTGTACATCTTTCACGTGATCAATCAAAATGGCGACCCACAGGACTTGTGGAAGGGACAATTTTGTTAAAATATTTATTCACGAACAAGTTGTGAAAAATATTTTATTGAGACAACCTTCTTTGGGGAGGTCAGCTTTATACAACGAGATATATTGTAAAATTACTGTATGCGATAATAATTATGAGACCTATTTGCATAATATTAGAGTTCATCAGTTAAACTCTTGACCAAGAAAGAACTTGTGAATGCATAAAACTCGTAAATTACATGTTGGACAGTGTGCTGGTTTGCCTATTTTCGACTTTTTTTTCTTTATTACTATGTCAGTGCCTACTCTCTGTATGCCACAGTCTAATTTAGTTTATAGTGATATGCGTCAATTGAATATTGTATGAGGAAATGTTCATCCAAATCACTAGTAACTGTGAATGTTACTTTCATCCTCTCATTTGACAGTATCTAGTAGTATGTTGGTTTGGCGCTTGTGTTCTTCTTACTTTATCATTATGACAACTATTTTTGATCTCAGTTCTCTCTATGTTATATACTTTGTTTTTGTGTGTATGTTTTACCCCTTCATCTGGCGGTGGCCACATGGTGCCAGTTTGTATCATGCAATGCTTTACTTGAGGTTTGTAGAAGCAAGTGTGAGCTTAATTTCAGTCATTTTTTGCTTTAAAGCTTTTCCTTCAGATAGTTGAGAAAGTGTATGTATGTGTAGAAAGTTTGAAAATTCAATCTTTCATATGGTCTCTTCTTTTATTGACAATGGCTAACTTAGGTTTTACCTGCTGCTCTATAAACTGTTGAGGCTGTAAGATAATGCTCAGAGAAAGGATGTTTTTATTTTTTTTACGATCTAAAGCATACTCATTTCATCTATTACAGGAAACACATTTTACAAAAGAATAGGACCACAATGGGGATTTGATTGCCTCTTCAATTCCGAAAATAGTCTGTCCAGGGATGTTGCCATTTTGTTATACAAAAATGTAGACAATAAGATTCATAAGACATATGGATGACAATGGTAATTTACTTATATTAGATATAACTATTAGTGATCCACTGGGAAGCACCAGAATTCTATGAGCAGGTTAAAGAACAAGCTCATGACATGGGAAATGAGGATTATATTTCAGCTGCAGATTGGAAGCTTGTTTTGAATGAGTCACTAGATGTTCCTAATTACCAGAATACCAACCACCCTCATGCACGTGAAAAAGTATTAATATTAATTGGTGATTTTAATTTGGCAGATGTGTGGGGAGATTTCAATCCAGAAATCAAAAGGTTTACTGTAAAACAAGCAGGATTAGATTTCTTCCTCATTTCAGAAAAACTTTCACCACACAGCAATAATCACTGTAGGTTATAGAACTGATTCTCCAAAGCGTAATACATACTGGAAATTAAATACATAGATCTAGTGAAAGAAACTATTTCAATGGTTAAATCACAGTATATTAAAATGTACGGTGATACTCACAATATTAATGATATACCTATTCAAGAAATTCAGTTTAATATATATGATCAATTATTTTTTGAAGTCCTGCTTCTGGAAATTCTTCCTTCAAGAAAATAAGTTATTAACAAAACCTGATCCAACAGATCAAAATTCTTGAAACTGATATTATTTATAGATGCAAATACAAAATATTATTTTCATGTTTATAAAAAAAGGAAGCTTTTTCACGATTTAAAATTGAAAATGCTATGGCTTCAAGACAAGTAATCAGCAGAAATTCTATGAAGCTTGGATGCTGTATCATAAATGTTTTGAAAATGAGGAGCAGCTTTCATTATAATTTTAGCTTTATTAAGACTTAAGACTTTAATGTTTGAGACCATGTACTTTCCTGCACTGCAATATGATATATAAGCTTTAGTTTAATAGTTTATGCATACTTGTTACATGTATATGCAGCATATCTGTATAACTAGTGTAAATGTGTGAGTGAGAAGTATGTTATTTTCCGTAGAAAATCTAACATGTACTGATAAATTGTGCTTTATGTCATGGGCTTTCTGCTACCATGGGCGGAAGCCCATTTTATGTAACAGGTACTTCTTTTTATCAACAAGAAAAGAAAGTGAGAAAAAATTCAAGCATTTTAAAAAATAGTAAATGTCAATACTTTTCATTGAACAGAGTAACATTCCAGCACTTTTCAAGTTTGTGTAAACACTGACGGGGTAGTGTGGACCCACTCTGCCATGTCTCCCCACATAAGGTTTAGGTTCAGGATGTCCGCTCGTCTGTAAGAATATTAAACTAATTCAAAGAAATTTTTTTCTGAACCCATATAAAGAAAGAATGGAGTTAGTGCGTAATTTATTGTGCAAGGCACACTTGTTTTCTTCCTCATGAAGATCACATTGTTACAATGCAGTGATGTCATAGTCTATGAACCTTGAGGCGCTTCTCTATTCTCGTAAGCAATAAGCCGTAAGCAATATGCTACCTCTTGTAAAATGGGACCTAATTCACCTTGTTGTATAGTATATTGTAATACCTGTACTAGAATCTTGCAATTCCATTGGTTAATCTGTGCCACGCGACAGAAAAATACATTTCAATGTTGACCCCAAAATCATGTGACTGACACTGACCTCGGATACTGACTCGTCACAGGATCAGTATTGACCTGTCACGTGATGAATATTGACTCGTCTGCTATAAAACAAGAAGGCATCAGGACAGTTTAAAGACTTCATAAATTTATTTGTACATCATGCCACATTTTTGATGATTTGACTTTTAGCCTAAGCTTCATAAAGGCAACAGACTGACTAAATAATTGTCATTAAAGGCCTCTCAACACACAGCAGTTTGATTTGTTCAGTGAACACAAAACCATATCAAAAGACATACTTAACCAAATCTAGCTAACAGAGAAATTGCACTACCTGGTCTTCGGTCTCATCCTCTCCAGCGGACTCGAGGAACTCATCTCTATCACTGTCCTCACTCTCATCCTCGCCCTGAACATCAGCAAACATCAACAGTAACAATCAACAGTAACTAACATCAACACTTCAAACAATGCTCATGGGTGTAGCCAGTATCAGTGTCATCTTAAATTCCTCTGTATATTATCAAATTCTATCACTGCAGCAAGGTGGGGTTTTAAGAATTTAGAAGTATGTTTAGTACTGTTTACAAAATTATTCTTTACATTATGTAATGGACATTAAAACAACTTTGCTCAATAATGTCAATAAGGAAATAGTCCCTTTATTTCACATTATCAAGAATCCACATAATCAAACTGAAGTTTCTAAAGATTTATGGCTGTACTTGCACAATTTTCCTAAGCTAGCTACACTCATGGCACTCAACTGATCAAGATACCAAAAAATATTTAACAAAAATATCTCATTCATCAAAACAATATTTAAATTTAGAACTCTTTTGAAACCTTATATCAAAGATGACCCAAACACAGACTCACATCTCTTGCCTGACTTCCAGTCTGGCTGCGACTTTGACCACTCTGGTCATCCTGGCTGGACTCTGTGCCATCCTCTAGGTGCGACTGAGACAAGCTCTGGCTTAGTTCATCAACTGAAAGCAACAATGTTGTTACAGTGACTAGATCTTGTTGTTTATCATACAACAGGTTATGTCAAACATATCACACATAAACTTGAAATGCAGCAATGATTTTATCATTTTTGGTTACAAATCAAGTCTGTCATTAACAGCTCTGGAAACCCAAACCCAACTTGTGGTTCAGTATATATGCCAACATCTCTAACTTGTCATAAGAAAACCATTAAATCAGATAAGACAGCGTACACATTTCACATGATTAAATGCAGCAATCATAAAAATGTTCAACCATTCATTTAATCTATAATAATAAATTACAAGGGATTCAATGGCATTCGATTGGCTAACCAAGCAAATTTTTTATAACTGGAAGTTGTTTCATTGTTTTCAATGTTTGCAAAAAGCAATGTGACGTCATAAGAACGCATTGTCGTAAAATAATTTAAGAAGACGTCATCTGTTGTTCATGGAACCACAAACAATTTAATGTGATGGTACAACAATAGGCCAACTGAGGTGATGTCTCCTCTTAAGATCAGGAACCCCACAGTGTGTTGCAATTTCTCAGAAAAAAGACGATGCGTAAATCATGTACAAGGAACAAGCTATTCTCCCAATGACCAATGATTGATGATTCCCAACCCATTCTCCCAACTCATTGTAGGTCATTTGCCAGTATATTGTCCTTGACTTTGGCTGAGTCAGTAAAGTGACATCCTCTATATCACCTGGGCTAGCATTTCAGTAAACCTAGATTAAACTCTTGACCCATCTCTGTGGCTCTCGCAATCTCAAATTACCCGCCCTTGATTTCCTTTAGCCAAATTGATTGGCTAGGCTACAAGGTATAACATACCAATAAGAAGGCGAGTTACAAACCAGCCTCGATGTTGGGATGGTGATATCAACAACATAGCAGCCAGTCCCACTCGTTACGATAGTTTTTACGAGAAATTCAATGTTAAAAAACTGACTGACACGCAAAAGGAAGCCCTCAAAAATATTTTTGATGGAAAGGATGTCTTCGTGTCCATCAAAACTGGCGTTGGCTTTGGTTCCTAGGCAATACAAGTTACCTCCCTTACCCATTTTCTTTTTCCTTATGTCAACCTTTGATTGGTCAGTAATGCTGTGAGAACAACAAGGATGGGTTCCTGTAGGTTTACCCGGGAGATATGGAGGAAAGGGAAAGTGGAGACCTCAAAGCTTTTCACCACTGACAGTGTACTTACTTTCCTCATCAGTTTCTTGTATTGGGGTCAGTCCTTCTTCCTCTGACACCTCACTCTCATCACCAGTCTCGAAGATTGGCAACAGGTTAGCTGCAACAATTTACATAGAGTTATCTTTATGATGCCGGTTTAAGTCATGCAACTTGTAGTTTCTAGGCTACAGCTCTGTAACTATATATATTCATATGTAACATACATGTCCTCATACAAACTTGTAATTTTCGCCAATACATGTCTGTTTTATATACAGCATATTCACACATCACATACTACATGCAATAAGAAGCAATGAACAATGAGCCAAATGACATTTTCAGTGGGAAAGTGTTTTTATTTGGAGTTGAACAGCATTTTAATCACACTTTTGTTCAAACCTTCAGCTTTATTGAACATGTGCTTGTCAGAGATGTTAAAAAAAAGTGCCACGACACTGTAGTTTATAATGGCAAGAAAATAGATAGCCACTTAACAAAAGTTCCTGTCAGCACTGATATTCAGACACTGTCTGCATACACTGAGGACTATACATTCGGCTTCTCATAGCTACTGTAGTAGCTATTGAAAATCAGATTCGATACTTTTGAATTGAGGTCTTATCATATGGTGGGGACAAGCATGTGAATTTTTAACTTCATTGGCCCAGTGGTTTTTGAAGAGGAGATGCTCGACACACAGGCCATGACATAAGCTCACTTGACCTTCAGTCAGGAGAGCTAAAAATGGTATGGATCCATGAATTAATGTCTCATGAACAGTTCTGGTAAGCTGACAAGAAAACGTTACCAATCTTTGTCTTGTATTCATTTTCAATATCCTCTGCAGCTTTGATAGCCTCCTCCCAACTGACATAAATCTTCAGCTTGGGTCGGATCATCTCCAGAGTGTCCTTCACTAAATTCTTCACATCTTGAGGGAATGGACGATGCACTGTCCAGATAGGGTTCTTCATCTTGAACCAGTAGTATCTCTGTAACAAAACATAGAAAGATCAGTAATGAAATCCAGTTTGAATCCTTTAGGAAATATATGACCCCAAGATCAGCATTCATAGCATTATCCCTGCAAGCCACATGCATACTGTTTCATTTAAAGTGAACCTTTGATAACTTCAGACATGCACCAGTGCACAAGAATTCGTACAAACCTGTAGAGGTTATGGATTCTCTGATGAAATCCTCCTTGGGGCACTTATTGCATTTTCCTTGCTCAAGAAAATCTACATGACATAGTTGTAACCATTTTCCTTAATAAAAAATGTTACCACACAAAAAACAACGTTTTTGTATGATATATGACCACCCCAACGGGGCCTCACCCTCTACAGGCAACACACGCCAAGGGGAGCGACTCTCACCCAAATCACTTTTCCAATGTCTCATAGCAGACAGAATGTGGGGAGGAGGGCGGCCGTGCCCCAAGGAGGATTTCATCAGAGAATCCATAACCTCTTTGTACGATTCTCTTTCAGATTAAATCCTCCTTGGGGCACTTATTGCATCAAGATAGACTCCTAAAGATAATAAAGGAAGTGGCATCCATCTGCAACAAGCGTAAATAAACACATCATTTTACATGATGACAGAGAATTAAAAAAATGGAACCCACCTTATTATGAGGCACCACCGTCGAGAGGTGGGGGCTTGAGACAGGGCGTGGTCAGACCATATGCTATGAAAAAGCCTCAGTAATGGGCTATCATAAAGCAAGTGAAAACTCCTTACGGATATCCTTAGTCTTGCTGATATAGACCTTGAGAATCTTGCGGACATGTAAGACATGAGCATGTCTTGCAGAGGTCCCGCAATGGCTGTTGAGTACCCCCTTACTGTTGATGCGGCCAGGCCGGCATCAAGTCATGATTGGAGGAACTCTAAAACCGCGACTAGATCTGCAGAAAAGGGATCTGCAATCCCTCTATTGACACACCAGCGCGCATAGCAGGCCCATCTATCCTCATATTGAACGTTGTCGAATCCCTCCGCGAAGCCAGTATTGTATCTGCAACTCGTGCAGGAATACTGTCTTCTGGAGGCGATTCTGGACAGTGGCCAAGCCACCCACTGAATCCTGGGGTTCGGGTGGAGGGCCCCGTTCTGGGATAGGAGGTCCGGTCGTAAAGGTAATAGAACAGGAGGCTGAGCCAGAAACCTGAGTATTACGGGAAACCAACTCTGCGCCGACCAAAGGGGTGTCAGTTGCACAAGAAGCTGCGCAGGCTGTGTGGCTAGCTGAGAAAGAACCCTGGGAATCAGAGGAACTGGTGGGAAGGCCCACAGAACTCTGTCCGTCCAATCTAGCTGGAAGGCGTCTGGTGCCGCCGACCTCGGGTCGGGGACTCGGGAGCAGAACACTGGTGTCTGGTGGTTCACCCCAGATGCAAACAGATACACCTGGAACGACCCGTACAATCGGGAGATAATCCCGAATATCCCCGGGTCGAGCCTCCACTCATGAGGAGCGAGGATCCGGCGAGACAGAGCGTCCACACGGACGTTGTCCAACCCTGGGAGATAAACAGGTATCATCCTGATAGCGTGAAGGTCGCACCATAGGAGGAACTGCCACGTCTCTTGGAGAAGCGACGGAGACACCGTTCCCCCCTGCTTCCGGATGTAAGTCATCGCCATTTGGTTGTCCATTTCTAGACAAACCACCTTGCCACGAAGCAGATCCAAGAAGCGTTGCAACACCAACCTGACAGCTCTCAGTTCCAGCACATTGATGTGCAGCGCAATCTCCTGCTGGGACCACAGACCCAAGGCAGTGTGATCGTTCAGAACGCCTCCCCAGCCGGAGAGTGACGCGTCTGTCTGAACTGTGAGAGACGGAACGGGAGTGTCGAGGGGGAGCCCCCGGGACAGATTCCCGTCCTCGGTCCACCACTGAAGGTGGCCTTGGTCTTGCGGAGAGGAAGCCCGCTCTGTGTGTTGAAATTCGCCCCTAAGAAGACCAGGGTCTGAGCAGGGTTCAGATCTGACTTCTTTAGGTTGACTATCCACCCTAGAGATACCAGAATGTCTATCACACATCTTGTGTAGCAATCTGACTCATATGATGAGATAGCGCTCGTAGCAGCCAGTCATCGAGGTACGGATGACAGAACCCACCTTTCGACCTGGCCACTTGGGCAGGAATCAACATCAGCTTGGTGAACACCCTCGGGGCCGTGGAGATCCCGAAGGGTAGAACCCGGAACTGATAACAACTCCCGTCAAAAGAAAACCTCAGGTATTTCTTGAACTTGGGGTGTATAGGTACATGGAGATAGGCCTCTTTGAGGTATATCGACGTCAGCCATTCACCGGTCTCTACAGCAGAGATCACTGAGCGCAGTGTCTCCATCCTGAAGGACGGTACCTCTATGAGTTTGTTCAGTTTTCTCAGGTTGAGAATAGGTCTGAACCCTCCGTCTTTTTTGGTGACGAGGAAATAAGTCGAGTAGTAGCTCTCGCTTTCCTGTCCCATTGGAACCGGCTCGATAGCAGCTTTGTCTAGCAGTGCTACGATCTCGGCCCGAAGTATGTCCGCCTTCTCTCGGGTAGCGGGCACCGGTGTGCGCCTTATCCCGGAGAAGGGTGGCAGAAGAAGTTTCCACTGAGGCAAGTGGCCTTAGCAAGGGATTGGATGACCTTCTCCCATTCCGACAGGCAATTAACCCCAACAGTCGGAAACCCCGAGGACTGGTAACTGTGGGGCCATCTGGGGCAGAGCAGGAGCTATTGGGAACCCTAACTACCTGCTGCGCCCCAGGGAAGAGGGTAGAACCCAACTTATAAGGGAGCGCAAGTAGTTCTTGGCGTGTGGACGCCGAGTACTTAGACATGGACATCCACAGCCGGCGCATGCCCATGACTGCGCACATCATCTGGGAGGCGCAGCTACGAATAGCATCCCTCGCCAGATGGCTATGAATTTCGGTGAATTGGCCAGCCAACTCCAAAGATTCAGACTGCCCCATCCCCCACCAGCTCCCGCTGCACCGCAGACAGGTAAGCCGAGTGGACGGCAATACAGAGCTGTTGGCAAGCATTACGATATTGCTCCTCGAAGCAAACATAAGCCGCCTTCAACTCCGCCCCGCACATAGGGAAGAGTGGCAACCGCCGGCCCTGCTTAGCCTTGGCTAAGTTGGAGGTTGAAGACCCCCCCAGGGTCACAGAAGTCCAGACGTACTTGCCACGACCGGCACCTCGAAGTCACGGTCCTCTGCCAAGGAGTACCGCCTATTAAGTTCGGGAAGATCGAACTTCTTACGGGCACCCGAAAGCAGGGGATTAATGACCTCGTGTACAAGTGAGGTCAGAATGCGGAGCCGCACCTGGAGCGCTTTGCTCGGAGCAAAAGCGTCCCCGGGGAAGACGGATCCGAGACGGGCATGGGGGCAGCCACCTGAGGCAGTACTTGGACAATTTTATCCCTGACATGCCTCAGTGAGGATGTGAAAGAGAAGCTCCCCGAGTCATCCCCTCCCTCCTCCATCCACTCCTCATCTCTCGACTCTGAGCCGAAGGTGGTCTCCGACTCCTTGGCGCAGGGATGTGAGCAGGTTTTTTAGCGAAAAAAGAGGAAAGTCTAGGGGGGTCTGGGGGCATGCCCCCCCAGAAATTGTTTAAACATTTGATTGCATTTTAAGCAATTTCGTGCAGTTTGGACAACATTCACACCAAGAAATGTAATAAGTCAATGGCAAAAGTCAGTAAGTCAAATAAACAAGATGGCAGATGCAATAAAATTTCGAAGTTAAATCAGTACTTCTAAAAAATCGGGCATAGCTTCCTCGCACCTGGCTACCCGCCAGGTCTGGGAGCAATACTGCCATAAACTTCAAACCCCATCCCCCAGACACAAGGACAACTGTCACAAGCATGCAATGTCTGACCCTTTCCCCATGTTGAAGCATATTGATAAAAAACTTACCTTGTACTTACTTACCTTTAGTTGAAAAAAACAAAACTCAATTGCAAACATAAGACATTAATATAACATATATCCCCATGTTATGGGTTTTTGAACGCTGAAGAAACATTCATAGTTTTCTCGCTAATCACATGAACAACTGTAAAACATCTCATTCACTTACAGGCTTAAAGACAACTTTAAAGACAACTTAAAAACAAGCTGAGTATTTAAAATTTCTGTGTGACGCCACACCCCACGTTATAGTGCAAGTATTCGTGATAGAAAACGTATGATGTCCGAAAACCTATGCTGCTGAAAGCTCTGATCGAAAACAGGACAATCCGCGACGAGTCAGGCTTTCGATCATATTTTTCGGAGTGTTTTTTTTTAAATCTTTGATTATATTTTTACGTGGAAGATGATTTTTCCCGAGGACTACTGTGCTAAAAAACGCGATTTTCCGCGTTTCCGCGGAGATTTCACATCCCTGTCGGCGAGAGAGGAAGTAGACGGAACAGGAAGGGGGCGCCCGAAGGCCTGGGCCCTCGCATCCCCCGACTGTCCCCTGTCTGACACCGGGTCCCGGTCCCGAGGTGCTGGGGGTTACCACTGGTCGAAGCATGGGCTCAAGAAAAGCCTCCACCTGCGCCTGCCACCCCTCCGCTGGGGATCGATCATGAACCAGAGCCGAAGCCCGGATGCGAGTCGTCCCCGAGGCCAAGCGGCCTGCCATGGCCAACACCGGGCATTCCACTAGGGCCCGCGGCCGCATCCAACGCCGACGCTCGGGGAAGCCCCACCCGCAGCTCCTCTCGAAGCTGGGACTTGACATCCTCGAACATCGACGCCATCTGCGACTGCAGAAGCGCCGAAATATCACAAGGTTTATTGGTGGTGCAGGGGGGGGGGGAACCTCGGGGACCCGAGAGCCCTCACCCCCGGTCTGCAATAAGGACGCAGTGGGGGTTGAAGCTACCGGGGCGGAAGAGTTAGCCTTCTTGCCCTTAGCCTTAGACTATGGGGGGGGGGGGGAGACAGTCTGTGACGAACGGATGTCGGCCCCCGCCTCCAATAAACCCACAAATGGAGTAGATCAGCATGGCGTCTCTTTCTCGCCTTGGGGGTGAAATTGCCACAGATGGCGCGCATGACTGATCGTCATGCCCATCCTCCGCCAAGCAACGTAGACATCTGGGGTGTGGATCTTGCAGGGGGATAGCCGCCTCACACCCCGTACAAACTTTGAAAGTCTGCAAACAGACCGTTAAAACTAAACGGAGGGGGAACGGGGAGGGATATGTATCAGTGCGAAATTGATGAAATTGCAGAAAGATACATGCATAATTACGACACAAACACATGCAAAGGCGTAACGAAAATGCAACAACGCGATATCGATAGCCAAGGTCCGTGTATACATTTGTAATATACAAAGGTAGCGTAGTAAACCACCACCCCCGAGCGGAAAACCGCACAGTAATGTGCGCCCGTTGGGCCCATAAAGTTACAGACGGGTTTGAAAGGAAACAATGGAGTGAAATAATGTTAAAATAAGAAAGCCATGTTGGGTACACGAGCATGGAATTTATCAGAACAGAATAAGCTACACAGCGGACGCCTTTACCTGAAACGAACGTAGCACGTGCATGTGGCGGCCAAGTTACAACATTTAATAAACCATAAAATGCGAGGAATTACGCCTTTGCAAGGAAGAAAAGGGAAATATACCACACATACAGTTTGGTCAGCCATGTCTTCAAGTTTCAACGTATAAGTTGGGTGAAGGTGTTCTCTGAGTCTTTAGGCACATCTTGTCTGCCAGATGACATAAGGAAAAGTGATTTGGGTGAGAGTGACTCCCCTTGGCGTGTGTCGCCTGTAGAGGGTGAGGCCCCGTTGGGGTGGTCATATATCATACAAAAACGTTGTTTTTTGTGTGGTAACATTTTTTATTAAGGAAAATGGTTACAACTATGTCATGTAGATTTTCTTGAGCAAGGAAAATGCAATAAGTGCCCCAAGGAGGATTTAATCTGAAAGAGAATACAGCCATTTGTAGTGATTCTGTTCACCTGGAAGTATACGAGGAAGCAGTCAAGTTTCTTCTTGCTGGATCCCTTGTCGAAGTACTGACCACACGTCTCCAGGAGTGTACACACCAATCTCACTCGGAACAAGTGCTCAGGAGGATCCAAGGGGGTAGGATTTTCTGAAAGATATTCACATCATGATCATTTATGTACTGTACAGTGCACTGCTAAACAAAATATATTTCTATAAAAATAATCTTACAATTCAAAACTGTTCTTCACTTATGTCTCCTTGTTTATTCTAAACTGAGGCAGCTGAACAAGCTTACCATCCAAGCTGATGCCAAATGTAATGAAAGAGTAGAGTGTTTTGAAGATGACGGCTGACTCCACCATGCGATAGTTGTACAGCTCTCCCAGGTACTTGACACAACTAACTCGCCTCTGGTTGTACTTTGGGTGGTTCACCTGCAAGTTTGGAAAACGTTCAGCCCTAGATTTCATGACAGGTTTGTAAGTGGTATCAGTGGTCACAAATACAAAGACACTTATACAAAAATGACTTCTTCATCCTCTGATTCACTACCATGACATATACTATTGTTAACAAAGGCATTCTGCCACTACGACTCACATATGAATATAACAATAATGTGAGCGGAAATAAACAAAGACTTTGGAACACTTTTTCTACAGATTGTCTGAAAATTTAAAAAAAAAAAAAAGTAAATACAACTGTGTAATAGTAACATCATGTAAGAGAAGGTAATGAATATGAGAATTAGCATGAAGAATCCCATTTTCACCCAAAATGGCAAAAATGAAATATATTCAGATAATTTTAATAACCATAAATATAGAAGAAAGTTAAAGAATGTTTACCTCCATTCCTAGCCTTATATCCTCCAATACTCCATCTACAACCTGAATAGCAACATGCTCCTGCAAGAAAGCATACAACAACATGATTATATATTCTAATGACAAAGATAAATGGATAGAAGGGGTAGATCAGGCTTGCAGGGGCCTGACACCAGTATGGATCTCAATGTGTGACCTTGCTGATTGTGTCCACTGTGTCACCAACACGCCATGACTGCTAAGGTTGTTACTTTTACTTATGCTATCAACCACTCGTTTGAATAATCCAGACTGGATTACATACATACTGCCATTTTTGTTATTTCCACGTGGTATCCATACAGGTACTATAAAATATCTCAGCTATCACTGGGGCCTACTGGGACGTTGCTGAACATTGGGAACCCATATAGACATCTAAATCACAAGTTCCTTTGAATCAGAGAATTAAACGAAGAACACCACGCAGAAGGATACATACATGATATGGTGCAAGTCCAGCCAGCAGATTTGCAGCACAGTGTACAGAGTTGTAGCGGATGTTCCACACTGCTGTCAGACACTTGGTTGTGTAGAAGGCAATCTGTGGAGACATAAACAAGTTGTCACCTTCGAACATGTTTCAAATTAATTGAAGCATTATACTATTACAACAATGGAAAAACTAAAACATTGTCAATCAAATCACACTGACCACCTCTGAATGAAACAACTGACTTCACGGACATATCACCACAGCAATTTATATTTGTAGGATGTCATTCTCAATCATTGTCGGTATGAACTTGAAACTGAAATATGTACCGTACAAGTGTAGGCTACAAAATGAGCCGAGGTAACAACAATATTCAGAAAATGTGTTGCAATACATTTAGGGCAGGAAAGAACAGAAATCAACAAAGAAAGTATTTGTCAAGTTTTAAGTTCAACAGACTTGAAACAGTGCTCTAAAATTGGCACTTCTCCATCTCGCACTATGACGTCATATCTTTTGTGTCACAATAGGCTGTGTGACATAATAATAGTGCAGTCAAGAACTAACCATTGCATGGCTAGTTGCTTTAGAAAGTTGCTGCACTAAACAATTTCAATGCCTCTCATACCTGTGCGTAAGGTAGAGCTATGTTACCTGTCAAGTCTGAAGAACACAGTATACAGCATATGATTCTTATTATGAGAAGTACAATTGTGATGTAAAAAAAGAATGTTTGACTTACAGCTACATCGTCCCAGTCTAACTTCCTCATCTGTCTCAGCACCTGAAAAATTTGTCACAAAATTTCAGTGTTGCTCACATATTTCTTTCATGAAACTTTAAAAATAGATACATTCACCATGACAATTATGTAAATTTCCGTAACAAAGAGGAATATGCACATGTATATAATGGAATTTCAGAATGTATTGAGCCTGAGAAATATAGGTTATTGTGACAGATATTAGTATTGACCTGACCTTGTTGAGTCGTCTTTCACAATTTGGCATGTTTCAGTCAAGTGACTTACTGATAATTCTTCAACTGACTTCAACCCTGAGGTACTTTGCATTAAATTAACAAAACTGAGAACAGATCAAATATTTTATCCTGGAGGGTCAATCACCAAACAATATTGATGAACAGCTAATTCAATTTAATGTTGGGATAAGAATATCAGCATGTGAGAGAGGGTTTTGGAAGATGACCCCTGCCCTTGTCGATCCACATCCAGCACCACAAATGAGAAAACATTGATGCCATCCATAACCTGGTACTGAAAAATAGGAGTATTACACTCCACAAATGAGAGGAGACCACAGACTCCTCATATGAGTCACTAGAAACAAGCCTTCATGGACACCTACACATGTCAAAGGTTTGTGCCCGATGGGTTCCGAGAATGCTATCGATCTGTAAATAATTGATTCTGGAAGAGACAATCCAGTGACTGACATAATTAGCATCGAGCTACGCAATTGGCATGCATCAACCTGGTCAACGAGCCTGACCACCTGATCTCGTTACTCGCCTCTTATGACAAGCATAGTCGTCTCTTAAGGCAAGCATGGGCTGCTGAAGACCTTTTCTAACCCGGATCTTCACGGGTCATATCCTCTATATACAAACAAAGACCTTAACAAGTTACATTACCTTCTCAGTTGTAATTTTAGATAGGTCTTTGTAGAGCAGCTTGCGTATGTACTCATGCATGGGAGGTCTCTCGATACGAGCCACCTGCTGGTACTCTGGAGGGTTGCTGTAGAAGTAGGCGTTCTCTATCATAGTTGTGTACCGACTGTCTAGGTGAAGAGCAGCCTTCTTCCTCATCATTACATCCTAAACAAAATATTCAATCAATGTGGTGGTTGTCAAGACGTACAAGAGAGACAAGACTGTAATTAGCAAACAGTTCCACAGCTCAAAAGACACTTATGTGAAGTATGAATGTAATAAATAATACATCCAGGTTATATTACCAAATATGCTTTTGTCCTGTGATGTGAGTCCATAGATCTGTACAGGAATCTGCCACATGACTCCAGAAGAGCACAGGCCATCTCAATATTATGGTGGGAAAAGTCAAACATCAACATCTGGAAAACAAATATTACTTTTTAAAAAAATGTTTTGAAATCCTAATGTACTTACCAGAGTACAAACAAGAATGGTCATGAATACATGAAACATTAAATGAACACACCAACTCAGCAATGCAACAAAACACTTAGATAAGACATGCTTTTCCAGTCTTGAAATGGGAAACGTGCTTGTGAAATTTCTTCAAGATCTCCATATCCTTATCCTACCTTCAGGCAGTGCAAGACCTCTACTTTGGGACACATCTTGAACTTCACAAGTTCTCCTGCAACAGAGAAACATAAACATTATCCATACAGACACAATGCTCACTGAGCATTATAAATTTTTTTACAAACCTGTAGAGGTTATGGATTCTCTGATGAAATCCTCCTTGGGGCACTTATTGCATTTTCCTTGCTCAAGAAAATCTATATGACATAGTTGTAACCATTTTCCTTGATAAAAAATGTTACCACACAAAAAACTTCGTTTTTGTATGATATACCACCACCCTTACGGGGCCTCACCCTCTACGGCGTCTCACATCAAGGGGAGTCACTCTCACCCAAATCACTTTCCATATGTCTAATGCTGACGGAATGTGGGCAGGTGGGTGTCCGTGCCCCAAGGAGGATTTCATCAGAGAATTCATAACCTCTACAGGTTTGTAAAATTCTCTTTCAGATATATCCTCCTTGGAGCACCTATTGCATCAAGATAGACTCCTAAAGATAATATAGGAAGTGGCATCCGTCAGCAACAGGCGTAAATAAATATATCGTACTTTCGTATTCAACAGAATAAAATAAAATGGAACCAACCTTATCGTGAGGCACCACCGTCGAGAGGCGGGGGCTAGAGACAGGGCATGGTCGACCATATATTATGATAAAGCCTGTTTTTGCGGCTTGTCATAAGTTGAGAACTCGAAAGACCCCCCCACACACACACTGTTTTTAACAAGTGATATAGGGGCGTAGATCACGAGAGACTATAACCCGTGCTAAGCTAGGCAGAGGGTCCCCAAGGATCGAAGGAGTGCGTGTGCAAATACAAGTAGTTATCGAGTAGTAAGAACTGATATTTATCGACCGCAGAAGATAAAATCCGGACCATTACTGAGCAGTATAACCGGAGGACTGTCTAAAATCTCGAAGGCTCAATCCACTAGAGATAAGAACTTTGCCCAGTTCGGAGAACTGACTGACCAAACCGAGCACGCTCGCTTGAGTGTTTGTCGAGTTGGTAATGTTTGATGAACGTGCTCGGCTGGCTCCAAATAGCCGCGGAGCAGATCTCCTCAATGGGTAGAGCCGCGGCGTACGCTTGTGATGTAGCCACTTGTTCTAACCGAATGAGCCTTCAACCTGGTAGGGGGGTCTCTTCCTGTAAGCGTATACGCTGTACAAATGGTTGAAACTATCCACCTCGAGATAGATTGTTTGCTCGCAGGTGAGCCAGCCTTCCTACCGCCGTAACAGCAAAATAGTTGGTTATCCTTACGGATACCCTTAGTTCTGCTGATATAGACCTTGAGAATCTTGCGGACATCCAAGACATGAGCATGTCTTGCAGTGGTCCCCGACGAGGAAGGCTGTGAAAGAGCAGGTAGCTCGATAGGAGCCGTCACGTGGAAGGCGTGTGCGACCTTAGGACGGTAAGAGTCCGGTAGTCGAATACTGACTGTCCCGGTGGAAGACAGTTAGTTCGGGATCGGCTGACATAGCATGAATGTCGCCTACCCGTCTGCCGGACGTTACCGCCACAAGGAACGCCGTCTTCCAGCTCAACAGCTGAAGGGAGAGAGAGACGACAGATCCCGAAAGGAAGGACCGGACAGCCAATCAAGAACGATTGACAAGTCCCATCGGGGACTGATCCGCCGGACAGGCGGTCGGATCCTGTCCACATCTGCTAAAAAACGCTGCACTAATGGGTGTGCACCCAGAAGTGCCCCGTAGACAGGGACGTGAAAAGCTGCAATAGCTGTAGAGTACCCCCGGACTGTCAATGCAGCCGTCATCTAGTCTCGACTGTAGGAACTCAAGCACGGCTACGAGATCTGCAGAAAAGAGATCTGCAGAAAAGGGATCTGCAATCCCTCTATCGACACACCAGCGCGCATAGCAGGCCCATCTAACACTTCTTGTGTAGCTATCTCACTCAGGGATTGCGATAGAGGTCTTAGTAACCAGTCGTCGAGGTACGGATGGCAGAACCGACCTTTCGACCTGGCCACTTGGGCAGGAATCAACATCAGCTTGGTGAACACCCTCGGGGCCGTGGAGATCCAGAATGGTAGAACCCTGAACTGATAACACCTCCCGTCGAAAGAAAACCTCAGGTATTTCTTGAACTCGGGGTGTATGGGTACGTGGATATAGGCTTCTTTTAGGTCTATTGACGTTAGCCATTCTCCTGTCTCGACAGCTGAGATCACTGAGCGCAGTGTCTCCATCCTGAGAGTTTGTTCAGCCTTCTCAGATTGAGAATAGGTCTGAACCCTCCGTCCTTCTTGGTGACTAGGAAATATGTCAAGTAGAAACCCTCGCTTTCATGTCCCTCGGGAACCGGTTTGATCGCAGCTTTCATTAGAAGTGCGTCAACCTCGGCACGGAGGAATTCTGCCTTCTCTCGGGTAGCAGGCACCGGAGTGTGCTTTATCCCGGAGAAGGGGGGCGGATGGTGTTTCCACCGAGGCAAATGGCCATCCCTTAGAGTGGACAGGGTCCAGGGATTGGATGTAACTGTCTCCCATTCCTTCAGGAATAGAGCCAGTCGGCCGCCTATGGGGACATCCGGCTTGAGGCAGTGGACCCCGGCTGTCGGCAGTTCGATAACTTGCGACTGTGGGTCCACCCGGGGCTCTTCAGGCGCTAATGGGAACCCGATGGGTTCCTGGCCCCGCAAAAAGGCTGCTGGCCTCGACCATCTGCCTTGCCCCGGCCCTTACCTCTCTTGCTCCTCCCGGCGCCCTTACCTGAAGGAAGCGTCAGCGTAGGAGGAGTCAAGTGGAGAGGTCCGCTTACGCGGCTTAGCGCTGGGTACCTCCAACAAGGCCTTAGAGTCCTTGATTGAAGCGTACAACTGAGCGGCCTCTCGGACCACCTACTGAGCCCCAGGCAAGAGGGTGGCACCCATCTTATAAGGCAAAGCAAGGAGGTCTTGGCGTGTGGAAGTCGAGTATTTAGATACCGACATCCACAGCCTGCGCATACCCATAACAGCGCACATCATCTGCGAGGCACAGCTACGAATAGCGTCCCGCGGAAGATGACTGTGAACTTCGACCCCCCCCCCCCAGGGTAATGGAAGTCCAAACGCATTCATCGACCACTGTTACCTCAAAGTTACTATCCTCTGCTAACGGGTACCTCTTAATAAGTTCGGGCAGGTCGAACTTCCTGCGGGCAACCAACAACAGAGGGTTGATGACTTCATGCACCAGGGAGGATAGAACACGGAGCACCTGGGCACCTTGCTAGGTGCAAAAGCGTCCCCCAGAAGGCGGAACGGGCATGGGCGCAGCCACCTGAGGCATTACCTGGACAACCTTGTCCCGTACGTGCCTCAATGAGGAAACGAAGGAAAACGTCCCCGAGGTCTCCTCCTCCTCCCCCCCCCCTCCTCCTCTCTCGATTCAGAACCGAAGTTAATCGACTTTTCCCCGAGAGTTGAAGCAGACGACCTTTAAAGTGGAGCAAGTCCACTTGTCTTTTCTTTTGGGCCCGGGGGGTAAACGCTATGCATATTGGGCATGACCCATCATCATGCCCGTCCTCCGCCAGACATTTAAGACAGCGTTCGTGTCGGTCTTGGGGAGGGATGTTTGCGGACACAGTTTGAAGGTCTGTAAAAAAGACCGTAATTTCTGAGTTGGGCGGGAAGGGAATTGAAGTGAATCAGTGCGATATAAAGATTGGAAAGATATATGCAAAATTGTGAAACCAGAAGCAAAGGCGTAATGTAGAATGCGATTTGTAACGCGATACTAATAGCCAATGTCGTAGTATAATTATAACACCAAAGGGGCGTTTACGTGCTAAGGTGTAAAACCCGTAAAAAAGGTAAGTGTAGTTATAAATTAAGGCACCACCTTGGGTTTATGTAAAGGAAAAAACTGTAGTCCAATGCTGTATGATATAACAAAACCCGAACCCGTTTTTTTAATGGCCTTGGTGTTACATGTATCAGACCGTGGAACTACAATATGGACGCCATTACGGCCATTTGAATTTAAATGTACCGTGCACGTGGAGTAGAATTACAACTCTATAACTTTACAATGCGAGGTATTACTCCTTTGCAATGAAAGAAATGTACCATACATACAGTTTGGTCAACCATGGTTCTTGTCGAACGATTAGATTTCTCTTATTTGTCTTGTTGAAAACAGCACGTCTGTCTCATACAGATGACATAAGGAAAGTGATTTGGGTGAGAGTGACTCCCCTTGGCGTGAGACGCCGTAGAGGGTGAGGCCCTGTAAGGGTGGTCGTATATCATACAAAAACGAAGTTTTTTGTGTGGTAACATTTTTTATCAAGGAAAATGGTTACAACTATGTCATATAGATTTTCTTGAGCAAGGAAAATGCAATAGGTGCCCCAAGGAGGATTTAATCTGAAAGAGAATGTTCCATTGTTTTCATTGTAGAAAGAAGTCTCCACATGATGTCACATGAACACACTGTCACACATGATAAGGAAGGATCTACAACCTTTGTAAGGATTCTACACTCAGCCATCCACCAGGCCTGCCCTCACATTAAGCATACCAAGGCTTGGAACTTACAAAATGAGTTCACTCTGGACAGATAACTTGTAATTCCTCATAATATATGCTATTCTCTAAATATCACATGCATCAACACTGGCTTAATCATCCATTGACAAACGCTGTTGTAAAATCAATCAGAATAATCAAGGCAATAAACACTCACCTAAGAATCTGACAGTTTTTAGTTTAGATTCAATATTGATCTGGTCTTTCTTTTTAATCTGAAAAAAAGAAAATTACAAATGCAGCTGTCAATCTTTTATCATGACCCATCCCCATCTCTCTTACAACCATCTAAATTATTGCTGGTTCCATTACAAAACAATATCACAACAGGTATCAGGACATCTAAGACCTGTTTGTCGTAACAATGGTCCTAAGAATGCTTCGACTTACATGCCACTTGAAGTCTCCCTTAAGGTACTGCACTAGATCAGTGGCCACATCTGGCATACACGGGTTCAGAATGGCCACCAAGCGGGCATAGAAGGGCAACAGGTCATACCTGGGTAAATATACAGCAAACACTGTTAATAGGTACATTTCACTTGAGTATGATTGTAACATTGTTTACTAAGTAGAATCAATGTCTACTGAATTTTTGTTCTGACAGGTAATATCAATAAATAACTGTCCTTATATAATATTTACACCAAACATCTACTGGAAATCATGCCAATGGAATAGTTCAGGCTCCTGAAATGGTTTTAGCACATATTGAATAGGGCCTGTCCATTTTAAATTCTGGAATGTATCACACTTTTCTGACTAAAATATACTAAATATACTCTGTATATTGTCACTGATGCATTGGCCAGACAGATTTCACCTGGCAGGTCTTGAAATAGAAAACATGCTTGTCAAATTTCTTCATTATCTCATATCATTATGATTTCACCTGGCAGGTTATTACTCACAAGGAAGTTCATACTAAAACAGGAAACTATGGCAAAAGATGACTTGCCTTGTCCGATGTACAGTAAACAATCCTCGAACAAGTTTCCTTCGATTGGATTTGGTGTTGAAGTTCATGCAAAATTCAATTGCAGCCTGTAAAGCACAACAGGGAATGCATCATGATAAAAGGTGAGGTGAGGTGAGGTGAGGTGAGGTGAGGTGAGGTGAGGTGAGGTGAGGTGAGGTGAGGTGAGGTGAGGTGAGGTGAGGTGAAATTGGGTTTAACGTCGCGTCCAAGATTATTGCACTTATATAGCGACGTGCATGTACGTTTATGTGTTTGTGTGGCTGCTTGTACTAGTCCGGACTGATGCCGATTTATAGTGCTAGCCCACTGAGATACCATGACGCAGTTTAATATGAATACCCCACTTAGACACAGTATACTGACTCAGAGCCGACCAGTCCTTGATTTAGCCCCTTAATTCCGAGCTCCAGACAGGGTAGCTACAAATACCATCTTTTAACATCTTTAGGTATGACGAGGCCGGGGATCGAACCCTGGACCTTTCGCTCTCCGGGCGGATGCTCTACCACTAGACCACGGAGGCGGTCTCATGATAAAGGGGGGTGTCACAAATCATAGAACTGACAACACTTATTTTAAATATATACCATGTCAGTGCAGTAATGAACACTCTGAAGGAATCAATATATGAATAGGGAGTTATCAAATACTGTATTATGAATGTATACCAAACACTATTGATTCAAGCATTGCTGTGTTATCAGGATAGGCCCAAATTAAATAAGATAAATTGGTCAATAATGAGTATGTGTAAAACAGAATTGTCTTCTCTTTCAAGAAATTAGAATCATGCAAATAGGGCTACTCCTAGGGCTGTGTAGTGACCTGGATTTTGTATTGTAATATATTGCCATACTTTAACCTGTATTGCGATACGTAGTGCAATATATTGCCAATTTACATTTTCATGAGTTAATCAGAGTTTTACCCTGTATTAATGTCAGATACTATCAAGCTCCTTCCCAAGCTCCTTCGTTATACTCTCGGTATAGAGAGCTCCGCAAACAGGCTATCGCTGTGAGGAGCTTGATAGTCTGGATGTGTACGCGCTAATTGATATAAAGATTGTCAGAGGTAAGTTGTATCAGAAAGATACTATTTTCCATCTCCATATCGATTAGGAACACATAAATATACCTATTTATATTTGCCCTAATATATTGCTACATTTACAAACGTATCACAATACGTATTGCTGAAATTTGCACCACAATATACCGGTGTACTGGTAATACCGCACACCCTTACTTATCAACCAGGTCTGGTGAAATTCGGAAATACTGTTACTTATACCCCAAATAGCAAAAGGCACAACTTTATCCCCTGGTTAATACAGTCACCAAGTTCGGATGAAGAATCTTGAATAGTTTTTCAGTTCACCTCCAGAAACAACACCTAACTCCATTTTAGATAAGCCTAACTTGTTTCCGTGGAGACAAGAAAAAAATAATTTGATTAAAATTCCTAAACAGCAAAAGTCACTACTTCAGTCCCTGATTAACACAAGTATCAAGTTTGGATGATTTTTTTTTACAGTTTTTTAGTTCTGCTACGGAAAAACACCTACCTCCACTTCAGCTAAATCTAACTTGTTTCCTCGAAAACAGTGAAAAATGAAATTTTGAAAAAGGCACCACTTCAGCCCCAGGTTAATACATGAAACCATGTTTGGATGAAATTTTTTCAAGTTTTTCAAGTTATGCTCCAGAAGCGGAGTGCTCATGGATGTACGGACAGACCCAGATGATGAAAATATCTCCCTGCATTCAATGCCGTGGGGATAAAAGCACAGTCAATTGGACCTCAAAAGTATGCTCTGAAGACCAAAAGAGTGCAAGTTGTTGACGGAAACGATCAAAACTTCTACTTATCAACATGATTGTGTTCAACTCCATGTTTTCTTGCATCTATCTGTCAATTATGTCTTTTTCATATCATGTAGCAATGGTACCTTGTCGATGAGATCTCTGTTTACACAGTTGGGTAATGACTGCAAGTATGCTTCGAACTGTGTCTTCATCAAAGTTCCTGTTTCGCCATCATCTTCTGTGACAGCAATATGGAAACAATAAATAATTTAATACTGAACAAGACTTTTTCCAAGCCCTGCTTCCAGTAACTCATCTACGCATGAGCATTTTGACAGTTCGTTGCTTTAACGACCAGCCTTCAAATGTTTCAATACCATAGATAGCAGCATAACATGCCTCACCAGATCACACCCAAGTTGAATCATATTTCAAGGCAGCACGCCATATGATTGTTGTTGAGCAAAGCTTCAGAAACTTAAATTTTAAAATGATTTGCTCCAAAATCAATTTTACTACCAGGGACTTACCGGTACAGGTATTCTCATAAGCCAAAATGGAACAAGGAAATTTCAAGTTGCCATTATGAATAATCCCTGGGTAATGCCTTAGTTTTGCAAATATGACGAAAAAAATAGCATTTCTAATAAGTTTTACATTGTTATTTTAAACAAAGTGCTAAAATTCCTTTTTTCACAATTTTCCTGGTATGGGCACCTAGATAAAATTCCTTGATAAATCCAGAAAAATCTCTTTATCATTCTCTGTTAGTTTTATGAATCTATGCAACACACAGGGTAAGAAAATTCCTGCATAGGATGCAGTATGATTACAAATACATATCAGTGATGTAGGAGAGAGTTCTCACCATCAGCTTCAGGTGGTATGAAGGACCTGTCCTCTGCCGTGTCCTCTGCTGTCTCCTCCCTGACACTGCTGTCCTTGTCTTCAACCTCACTGCTGCTACCATCAACCACCGCCAGTTTCTCCTCCAGCTTCTCCTCCAGCTCTACCTCCAGGTCCTCCACCTCTAGGCACTCCAGGTCAACTGAAGGAGATAATATTCCAGATAAATGGTAACCTATAGTATGGGTTAAACAACAAAACAAATACAATGGCAAGATCCTAGGCTTACAATATAATCTTTAAGTAAAACATTTGCCTTTAAATGACCAGAAAATATTGGGATTTAACGTCGCATTCAAGATTATTGCAAAAATATAGTGACGTGCATGCACATGTTTGTGTGTGTGGCTGCTTGTACTAGTCCAAAATAATGCTGATTTTATAGCGCTAGCCATGCTGCAATTTAACATGAATACCCTACTCAGACACAGAAAACTGACTCCAAGCCGACCAGTTCTTGTTTTATCTCCATAATGCCTAGCGTCAGGCAAGGTAAGAAGTACCATCTTTTAACGTCTTTAGGTATGATGAGGTCGGGGTTCGAACCAATCATAGGTTCCTGGTATGCCCAAACATCAGAATGATGGTGACTGAGTGAGTGTGTAACCGAAAGATTTGATTGTTTCGGATTGTGATCCGCATTTTAAGACTTCATAGGGAAGGGAGGTAACTCCGAAGTTGGAATGGCGGTTCGATGGGTCCAGTGTGCTTCGCTGCAGTGAAGTTACCACATTGTAGGCATTTGGGGGTCAGAAATTTTGTAAGTATGATTATGTTAAGTGAGCAACATGTTCATCTATCCAACAATTGCATAATATAAACCTGACATTGCCAAATTCAACAATAATGTGCAGTTATATCTAACCATGCTAACATGTCTTGACCACGTGGGTTAGCCTGAAATGGTGCTACATGTTTTTGTTGAACCGACAACTAGATCAAGGAATACAATGTACAAAACACGGCAGTGTAAACAAAATGTGAAGATGAAGTAACAAATCAAGTACAAGAAACATGCCCTTTTGTTGTGCCTACAGTGTGAGTTTGGCTTACTGCCATAATTTCACCAATTTCACATCGCCCTGCAAATATTTGAATCTGGACTACAGAAGCCAGTGGTTGACAGCATGAGCAATAGTCCACACCATCAACACCAACATAATCAACCTAGTCAAACAGTGACTAATTACAAGCATGTGATGGTACTATTCTGCCCCAGTATCTGCTTTGGGGCACATGATTAATATAACTCAAAGTGTAGTCAAGTCTTGTGAAGATACACCTGTGGCCCATAACATCCATCTTCCCGAGGCAAGGGAGTTAACTGACTGTAAAAGTTCAGTTTACACCCTTCCGAACTAGGCAGGATTTTCTTGGCTTGATCTTAGAGCCACCAGTGCCTGTCACGAGTTATGTCCCTTCTATGTCCCTTCTATTAACCAATAAGATGCCACCTCTAGTATCACTTGCATTTGCTATAAACAAAATCTGTATAAAAAAAACCCGGGTCTTACCTCGCGAAGTGCATCAAATCACTTGAGCACTATGATTAAAAACATGAAAATATTTGGAAAATGTCTGTTGATACCCAGTTGGCACATACGTGCTCTGCAAATCCTGCAGTCAAACGAAATTTACATGGCAGTTGCCATGTTGTTTATGGATGTCAATTTTGTTACGTGATTTTGATTGGACTATGCATAAACTCATTAGTCCAGCCAATAAAAACTCCATAATTCCTACCAATTTCAGCAAGGGTCGAAACTGGACTTTGATAGCCAGTTAACTCCCTTGCCATGGGAAGATGATAATATCAGCACAAACCCACACTTTTAAACTAAATGAAACTCTTTAATACTGAGAGTGCAAACTCTTATCATCATTTACCAATTCAAGATGTTCCTGCACTCTGCCTTTTGAATGTTTCCCTGTTAAGAGTTTAAATTGGTAATGCCACAGCACGAAACCAAAAAGGATGTAGAATGAAATCCTAGGATAATCATCAGAGCAGAAAGCTTACCTTCTTCTAGGACTGGATCAGGTTCCTTGTTTGCATCTTTACTTGAAGACTGCTCACTGTCCTTGTACAAAATCTGTAGTAAAACGATGTACAATACCTGAATATGTTTATGGTATGGTACAAAGTTTGTCTTTACAATCTCAAACATACTTGAGCTATATCTAAATATTCAAGACATGTATCATTCCTGGAGGACCAGGAGCTTCATCTTGCACTTACCCCTGGAATGAATGACCTCAAATCAGGTAGAGATTCATAGAATGTTCTTGTGTCTTCATCTTCAAACAAAGTGCAGTCTCCCTCATACTGACACTGCAAATTAAACACACACAAAACTGATAGATGAAACAAGGAAGGCACATTCATACAAGGCAAACAAATAGTGACTGAGCAAGCAAATGTTGTTTGCTGTTTAAAACAGCACCTGGCAATATAAAGTTAAGATAGAGATCAGGTTTCTTTGTGAAATCGGTGTAACTGCTGACAAAGGTAACTTTAATTCTAACCTTAGTGGTTAAGGTTAACCTTAGCTAGGCTGTATTGTGAAACAAGGCCCAGGGCCTGCTTGCAGACAGCAATCTTAGCACTGAGACTTCCATTTCTCCCATGGATTAAGATTGAATTGGGCAGGCTAGTTAACCTGCATTGAATGTACTTATGTCAGCTTTTCAGCCTTGCACTGGGACAGTACCTCAGCTCCTTTCATTGGACTGAAAAAGTCAAACATTCCTCCGCTTTCGTCTTGTTTAAGGTCTGAAAATGAAATACAATGAACATGATGACAGGCTTCTTAACTAACCCAAAAGAACAAATGAAAGAAATGGTTTGCCTTAAGCTGAAACTGTTTGCACCAATGGACTTTCCGATTTGTGTTTTTCAATTTATGATTAAGCAATCATACCAAATGCAGAAATATCTATTTATGTGCACTTGCACTTGCATACACATATGTCACTGTAAATGAGAGAATATTTATTGTATTTTAAGCAAGCCTGTCACAAACACAAAATATTACATACCTTCATCCGGTAGGTCGGGTAAATCTTCATCTAGTAGATCCTGGAAAGATTAACATGCAGGCATATAATACACTAAACACACAATCATGCTAGTAAAATACACACAAACACACACACAAAGATAACATAGCCTTGATCATGTGACATATATGAATCATGAAATTGTAGAAACATACAGTCTTCATCTAACAGGATTCCCCTGGACATAGCAGAGGGCGAAACCGCATTATCGGTGGTTCGAGAAGGGAGCTAACTCTGTTTGCCTAATCAAAAGTTCGAGGTGGGCCCACATTCGAAACTAAACGCACTTGTTGTTGAGAATATGTACTACGTAAACAAACCCGCATTACGAACTGCTATTTTGTTTATTTAAAATAAGTAACTTATAATTGGATTAGAATGTACAAATGCGAAGACACTACAGCAGAACTCACTTCTACGAACATTGCAAAACTAGGTCATGGTCATTAATATTCATGAGTTATTCCCTTTATGGAACAAGTTCTCAGAAAGGTTTGAGTTAATAGGCTTGTATCATGTCCGAGTTCAGTTCAAGTGTAGACTTATTTTCAGGCTTATATTGCCACCAACACTTATGATTAGATTGATGTGTTATACTGGAAAAAGTAGAATGAGTGGTATTGCCTCTGTAAATTTAATTTGAAGTGGATCTAAGTTTCTTGCTTTGTAACTATTTTTGCAAAACTATTATGGAACGAGTGTGGTCAGCTATGATGATGTTATTCAAACTTCAAAGACTTTCGTCACGCTAAATAATTTACAAAGACGTTTCCCATCAATATTACAAAATGAGAATAATATATAACACTATATACCCATGCAAAGTAATGACAAATGTCAGCCCACTGAATGACTTAGTGAACCCAATGAAGACCAGTGACTTACTAATGTGGGCCCACCTGTTTCGATCACTACATGACGGAAGAAGTGGGCCCACATTTTAGAAAATGGTTATCAGCACTAAACCACTAAACCCCTAAGAAGATGTACGGATGAAAAGATAAATATATAATGCATTCAAACATATAATTAAGAATACGTTTTACCTTAGGGATAAGCTGGCATTTAATAGCCAGGCCAAGAACAACGTACAGCGTGACTGACGCCATTTCTCATAAATACGAAAACAACAGAGAGAGCTTCCATTTGAAATTAGAGTGACCTCCCTTTCCCAATATGTCTCAATTGAACATGAAACATACAAAATGCTGAAATAATGTCTCCAATATCAGATCTTGGCATTGTCAAAAACATGGCTTACCATCTGATAACTTTGGGAGTTTTAATTATACTTTAGCAATACTTGTCTTGATGACAGATCTTAAAGTTTCTTGTCCCTATCTTACTTACAGCTAGAACTGCTGCACTTGTGTGAAGCTTCTGGTATGTAGTCAAGGCATTCTCATATGCATCACGTCTCTCATTGCTCAGTTCACCTTTGGTCTGATGAAATGATAAATTGATAACAAGCAGCTTGAACAACATTGCATGGAGAACTCAGAAGCTAGAGCATCACATTAGGATGAGCTCAATGTATGGTAAGACAAATGGTTGAAGACACAGGTGATGCTTATGATTAACATCAAAACTGATGGGTGGGTGAGTGAGTGAGTTGGGTTCAACATCGCTTTGAACAGTATGTAGGATATTTCTCTATGTGTCAGCTCAATGTGGGAAGAAAGCTCAAGGTGATGCTGGTCTAGAATGTTTACCACTTGATTTAAACATAGTTCTTCATAAGAACGGGATTGGAGGATCAGTTCTTCCCACATAGATTAAAATCACTTTATTCTGACATGTCTTAGGGATGCTGCAGTATATTATTTTGAAAGAGATGTAGTGGAAATGAAATAATAACACAAATCGTAATTATGATTACAAACATATCACAATGAACAATTTTTATGAAATAAGGCCTTGTCAAATTCAGTAAATTGTAAAAAATAAGAACTATGATACCTGTAGGATTCTTCGGTTTTGTCTTTCCATGCCCTTCAGCTCCTTGTGATCTTTGATGAGGTGTTTCATCAGGGAACTGGAGTAGTCTTTCAGCAAGTTCCTGCAAGCCTTCTGGCGTTCAGGGGGCAGCAACTTATTGGAGAGACAGAGTTCTTTTAACATGAGCGACTTAACAAAAGGAAACAACATTCTAGATATCTTAATGCTGTTTGTTGACAAACCTCACACTCAGCAATATTCCACTAATATGACAAGAGGTTTGCAAATAATCCAGTCTGGACCACATAACCCAGTGATGGATATATTTTCTAAGCATATGTTGCTGGGTATCTTGTTGCAATGCTGTCTGTTGCAAGTGCTTGCAAAACAAATGACACCATGATGTTCTGTCCAAGACACAAAAAAGAATTCTGTGTGCCGTTTTTAGCAAGTATGCAAGTAAATCTTATGACATCACTCACCAATATAACAGCAACATCACAGTAGCATGTTACTAATTGAGACTGGACTGGATTATAGAATCGATCCTAAAATTACCTTTTTTTATTAATGGTTGGTTGAAAATGTAAAAGCTTACAACCATCATCTAACATTCAGCTAACCTTGCTTTTCATGAGACCTGCTCCATGATGCTTCTCGGAAAGCAGCCTGTAAACAAGAAAGTGGTTCTCACTGTTGGCAACAGACAAATTGTAAAACACTAACTGTCTGAGTTGCAATCTAATTGCTTCCAACACATTGGTGAATGGGATTTGAAACCAAGAATTTATCTTACTATTCATAAAATATGGATTAAACATAACTGAAGGTAATTCTTTTAACAATGATAATGATATTGTGGGCTTTTCACATCCCTTGAATGCATGCTCCTAACAACACTGATAACTTTTGCATATACAATGTTGCAACAATATCTGTGTGGTCTATGTAGTCCAATTTATTGAATACATAGCAACACTCATATATTTAACTCATATTTTGCTGCACTCAGCAACACTGTAGCAACATGAAAGCAGCCCATTAATTATCAAGTCAGGGCCAGACAATCCAGTGGTTGATATTGTGAGCAAGATTTAAGCTGTTGGGATCAACCAAGAACCAAGCCTGAGCACCTGATCCATTTGGTATCCCTTTAAACCAGCAGTTTGCTGGGAACCAATTCTAGCCCAGAACCCCCACCAGTTTTTTCTCCTAACAAGGGTTGTTTCCCTGTAGCTAACCTGATCTTCCTGGGCATGATACCAACATAGTCATCTCCACAGTGTTTACAGAAGCTGGAGATAATGGAGAGGTTGTTGTGCTCATCTTTGTCGTTGTTCACCAGTATTGACAGTTGATTGGCCAACACTGGCAGGCCTTCCTTCAGTGAGAACACTCCCACAGATATCAGTTCCGCAAAGAACCGGAGATCCACCCGATACTTGCTTAGATTTGAAATCTATAAGAGAAATGGTTACCTTTCTCAACATGAAATACTTTGTAAACTGAAGTTTTGCGATGCAGGCAATGACTAGAATTTCACAAATTGTTCCTAAACCTACCAAAATATGCACCTATTATTTTACAAACATCTTCATTATCTCAGAGATAATAATATATGGTGTATTGTGACATATATTGTACTGCAATTGTTTCATTGCAGTTAAAATGCTTGAAGTCAGAAAACATCTTTCTCAAGCTTTACAGCACTAGTTTTAAACTGACAACTTCCATTACAGACTATGCTCTGAAAAATATTGATTAAAAATTCGAAAACTGATGAAAAGAACATTCTGGAGAGTCTAATAGTTGGTTGTGCTTCAGACAGGGTATGGAAAGTCTCTTTCTAAATGTTTATCCCACAGAACCGAGAGTGAGACAATGATTTTGACGGAATTAGTCGTACCACCCGAAACTGTCAGTGTTAAGCTTTTCAAGTATGTATGATTAGAAAACACAATCCCACGGTCACTTTCTTGATAAATTTTCAACAATTTGATTGGTCAGATGAAAGGTTGTAACGTGACCTGTAATGGGGTGTCCTCACATCTTTGTTTAGTGGTAGCAAGAATTAAGATCTGATTTTAAAGAAATTGTGCCACTACTTTAACTCTTGATTGCAGTTATTCATATACATATTAATTTAAAAAACTTTTTGAGTTTGTGGCTGAACCTCAAGTTCTTCAATATACGAAAGAAAAGAAAGTATTGGTATTGTGTACTTCTTGAAGTCTGTTGACCATTCTAAATCAACATAGTCAAATTGTATCTTTCACTGTTTGGATGAATTGATTTGTCTTTCATGCTTGATCAACTAGCAATTATAATCATAGTAATGCTGAACAAAAAAAATGTCATCTAACAAGAAGCTAATCAAAGTTCTCTTCAGGTAACAATCACCATCTGATTTGTATTTTTGGCAAACATGCCTTATAGATTTAACACACCATTTGTCTTTGATTCAAACTAAACATGCAGTAAAACTGAATTTTGAAATAGATAACATTAACATTATAACACATACTCACATCAGCATCGACAATAAGCAATTTGCCTTTTTTGTGTATTGCCATGACAACCTGTGATTGTAAGTGATGAATTCCTTGTCGTTTAATTCAAGTCATCTTATATCCAATAACATTATTTAACAACTAAAATTTCATGTCTCCTCAAAAAGTCACATATTAATTTCTTAACATTCATTTCCATACTTTTCATTGTTTATCATAAAAAGCCTGTTTCTAACAGTCGAAATGAGTGTGAAATACTTTAGATAGATAGATATATATATTAGCAAAATATGCAAAAAACAGTATCTGTGTCACCTTGCTAACTTAATGCAAGATTTGGATAGAACAGGTAGATTCAATCATTATATACTTAGTTCTCAGTTATAAGTGCCTCACCAACGATAACCCAGATTTTATTTCTAGTCACTGAAAATCATTCTCATCACATGATAGAATCTTTCTTTCTTCACAACTGTTCAGAAGTCCCTGCCTGAAAATCATATAAGTTCATGTTTGCCTCATATCTTTTGGTACACTGCAAGTGCCCTCTATGTGAGTACCTTCTCATCCTTCTTGTTAAGCAGATACTTCTGAAAGTTCTCCAGCAGTGCAGGAGTAAACTCCGCATATCTCTGGTGCATCAGGCTACACAGCTGCACTGCTGACTGAACGTCAGACATCTTCAGTTTCACCTCAGCAAGGGCAGATGCCTGTACATGGGGATTAATATGTTGTGAAATCGTATTGATTACAATAAATAAGAGTCAAATCTGGGCCTTGACAAGGTCATATGCACACCAGGGTAGAACTTGGAATTTCAAAAATAATTATTGGAAAATACACATTTTGTCTATTAACTGAAATGACTGAAAAGAAATATTGAATGATTTGTTTGACAGTTTTATTTACTGTGAGAAACAAACCCCAACTTATCAGTGTGCAAGAATCATTTCAGAAATCATTCTAAGTCAGTAGTGCCTATCTAATCATGCCAATGTAAAAATATATACATTTATATAGTGCCAATATCCTGAGTGATCTTAATGGTTGATATTACTGTATGAATTCATGAATGTAAGGTGGACCGATGCCAGGAAGTGCTTAGTATACCAACACAAGTATTTTTAATTTGATGCGCTTTGAGATTGGGAGCCAGTGTAGTTGCATTAGTACAGGTGTAATATGTTCATACTTTCTAGCATGGGTTACTACTCTGGCAGCTACGTTTCTACATGCTGAATCTTTGCGATCTGGTATTTAGGCAACCTATACTGAAGAGTATTGCAGTAATCTAGTTGAGACATAACCAAAGCCTGAATGAGAGATGCAGCCACTCATGGATTGATGTCTTTCCTGACAAGGCCAATATTAATTCATTGTATGCTAGTTTGCAGACATTACTGATGTGATTATCAAGGCTTAAATCAGTCCTGGGTAAATCCAAGATTGTGTGACTTTGTGCTTGTCTCTATGACACCGTCGCCAATTTAAATCACCTCATAGAAATTAGAAAAAGGATCAAGACCACAGCAGCAGCATGAAGGCTACAATCATGATTCAACCATGCAATAGACCTGTAGACTAAATAGGGAACATCCTTGTCAACTTACAGCTTCTCCTATGTACTTTGTTAGGTTCAGACTTCCAAAATCCTTTATGAAGCCTTCAAATTGTGATTCTGTCATGTTCCTCTGCAATAGATTGAGAGATACAACAACAAAATTTACATAAACAGGAATATTCTGTATTCATAACATACTTAATTTTCAGTGATGAATACCAATAAGTATAAAATTGAAAAAACAAAGCAATACTCCCAGAATGTATAACAAAACAAAAGTGAATGGGTGGCAAGTTTCTCAGCACTCACCAGTCTTTTCACAAATGCTGTATTTTTTTTCAAGCTTGAATCCAGTTTTCCAAAGAATGACTCATCAGGTCTATTTTCTGTAGGAAAGAAAACATGATGCAGTAAATGTACACTAATTAATAATAGATGTTAGTACATATGAGAGCTAAATAAATCATAATCACCAAATTAATTTTAAGTTGCTTGCTTACAAATATGCATGAAAATCATAAAAACTAAATTAGTATACACTGCAAGCAATTACCCACCATAGCTATTCAGATCTTTAGTAACTGATCACATCCCGGCATAATGCAGACAGGAAGTCTACTGCAGTGAACAATGCACAAACAGCTATGTCTTGCTTGTGGTAACTTAAACATGTAAATCACTGATGTGAGCTTATGCATCATACGACACACCTTGGGCAGCACAAGAACAGATCAAAATTAGAAATCATCTAAAGCCGCAATTAACATGATTAAAAGAAAATATTTTACACATTGCTTTAATAATACCAAACAGACTAGACTCAACTACTACTATAGCTGAGATGTAAGGTGGAATTACTCACCAACTGCAGCAATATTCTTCTCTCTCAGAGCTACTCTTGCTGTCAGTTTCTCCCTGGTTTCTTCTATGTAGTCTTGTAACATTTTCTAAAGAGTAGTTGAAAGGATTGATAGCAAATACACTAATAAAATGTCAATTCTGTGATTGAAGAAATGTACACAAACTTTGTAAATCAGTTCTAAAACTAATCTAGATGGATCACCAATAAGGACAAGGTAGAAAAAGCAAAGATGGCAGAATGTCATAACTGTTAGTGAGTGAATATGGTTTTACACCGCTTTTAGCAATATTCCAGCAATATCACAGCGGGGGGACACGAGAAATGGGCTTCACACATTGTACCCATATCGGGATTCGAACCAGGTCTTCAGAGTGACGAGCGAACGTTTTAACAACTAGGCTACCCGACCGCCCTGTAATAATTGTCACATCTTGATAAAAAAAATGCAAAAGCCTTGACAAGAAAGTGATTAGTTTATTGGAAGTATAAGAAATAGGGAAGTAACTCACCCCAGGTTTCAATTTTATAAATATTAGGCTGTTAGCTTGGCTCAAGATCAGTGATCAATCAGTATTTTACATGAGCTTTTAAGTGACTACATTTGAGAAAAAATGTAACTGTATATATGGAAAATATGTCAGATTGACTCATTGGCTCATGACAACAGCACATGATTCATGATTTTGAGATGATCATCTCTTTTATTTATGAGGTGTGTAGTGAAATGGGGTTTAACATTGTTTTCAAGATTATGGCACTTATGTTGAAATGTGCATGCATGTGTGAATGTGTTTGTGTAGCTGCTTGTTCTAGTCTGGACTAATGCCGATTTTATGGTGCTAGCCCACTTGAGATACCATGCCACAGTACACTGATTCTGAGCTGAGCAGTCCTTGTTTTAGCCCCTTAATGCCAAGTACCATTGTTTAACGTCTTTTGGTATGACGTGGACGGGGATCAAACCTCTGAACTTCCACTCTCTGAGCAGACACTTTATCTACTGAACCACAGAGGTGGTCCCTTTTGTTTATAAAACAATGGTAGGACCAAGGAATGGGTTGGAGATATTAATACATTTAGGACAACCCTTAATGTAACACTAGAAATGTCAAATTTAAAAGTTGCAAACCTTTGAAGCTTGATATGAAAACTATCAGACATGTTCAAATAACTGTAACACCAAGCCTTTTTGGAACTTCAAGACACAATCTTTGTAGGAGCAAGTCGTAGTTTGCATTGATCAAAATCTAATTCTCATTCATACGAACACATTTTAAAACTTTTATAATGATCTGTAAATATTTTTCATAAATTTTGCATATCTCTTGGGTGCAAAAGGGCCCTTATTCTAACTCATTCTTAGAGATAATGGAGTTTATGTGTATGTACCTTTTCATCCTCCAACTGCTGTTTTGCTCTTTCCTCTTCAAGTCTCTGAACATAACAACAAAGACACAGAGCAATGAAGGATATATAACAGTTATGATGGCCACCACTGTAGCCTTCAGTCAGCTAATGTGCTGTAACTTATCATGCTGATACATAGAGTAAACTAACCGAATTCATTGTCTTCAACAAGGTTCATACCGGTATGAAACACTAAAATTCATGGCTTTTTCAAAGCTTTTCAAGGCTGCCAACTGTCATTTTCAAGACTTATTTAGTTTGGTTATGAGCCTTAGTCTTCAATATTTTAATAAATCCTGCATACTATAAAGACCTAAAAAGCAATATGACCATCACACAATTTCCAACATGAGTTCTTCAAGGTCTTTAGCACAAAAATCTTTCACTGTGATAAATCTCACTTAACATCTTTGGTACATTCTTTTGTGTGCTGTAATACTTTTATTAACAAATATATGTCATCATGTACAAATTCAAGTCTTTTCAAGCTATTTTGGTGATTTTCAAGGCTTTTCATGGTTGCCACTAAACATTAAGGCTTTTCAAAGGGATCTCATAAGTCAACGCTTTTTCAAGCCTGTACGAACCCTGTTCATGTGTCAGTTTCATGAGGAAGAAAACCAAGAATCATGATCAGGCTAGATTTGGGATTCAAACTGAAAAAAGATCACATATTTCTGGCACTCCTACCGCATTGTAAGGGATGCAACTAGAAAAAAATATTATTTCACCTTTCTCTCTTCTTCTTCCTTGAGTTTCCTCTCTTCTTCCTCCAACCTCCTCTGTTCAGCTAGCTGTTTTTCCTCTTCTTCTTTTCTCTTTTTTTCTTCTTCATTCTTCTTTTTTTCTTCTTCTTTTTTCTTTTTTTCCTCTTCTTCTTTCTCTTTTTGTGCTTTTCTGTCCTGTTCAATCTTAGCTGGAGTTTTAACATCCTTTGTTTTAGTTCCATTGTTTGGTGTACTGAAGTAAAATATATTGATTTAATACATAATCATACAACTTTGAGCTTGTGAAAAGAATTTAATTAGTGGTCATCAAATGTTTTACAAATCATAAAGATGAATTTTAACTCTTTATTTCAAATGAATAATGATTAATCACAATATAAGGTACCTTGGTTTTTTATCTAGTTTATCAGGTTTTCCCACAAAGCTGCTGCCTTTTCTTGAATCTTGCCTACGGTCACCCCGATCTGGTGGCGGTCTGCCTTGGCCAGAACTTCTGCGATCATAGTAGTCATCATACCTACAGTAACAATGGACTTAAATTTCTCACTGTTCCAATAATATGAGGAGTCAGTGTCAAATCCACTGAAAGAAGGAAACTAATACTTCTTTCAAGTCATTGATATATGCTATTTACTGTAGACTCAAGCATAAAACAGTCAAAATGACTTTTAAAAAAAGGTCTTAGACATATGTATGTCTTTACCATGCTTACTAAGAATAAGAAACAAAAGTATCAACCAAGGATATATAACTAAGAGATAACATGCAACAAATGACAACATCTAATTAATAACATACAGGTTTCCTGCTAAGTTAGATTATAAATATATAACATACACTTTTCACAAGATTTACCTGTCACGACTATCTCTGTAGTCTCCAGGTCCATCCCCTGCCCCCTTCCTCACAGATTTGTGGGGAGGAGGTTCCTTCCTTCGATCACCATTTCCCATCCTCCCTCTATCTTTTCCTCCATCTCTGCTGCTAGTTTTTGAGGGATAATCATCTCGTCTCCTGTCACTCACATCCTTCCCTGCATCTTTACTGTCACGTCCTGCCTTGGAGCCACCATCCTCTCGTTTACTTGGGCCATCTTTCCCACTTCCATTACCTTTGGTACTTTTTGATCCTTCATCTTGTTTGCTTTCATTTGAATCCATCTTTTTGTGCTTTTGGCTATCCTTTTTTCAACCTCATGTTTTGTTTCATCCCTTTGCTCCAAACCTCACAAGCAGGGTTTGGTACAAAGGCCAGGATACTGAAACTGATAAGATAATAACAATTTAATACATGATAACGTGAATAGTTTCATCACTGCAAAGGAGTAATCCTCACATCATACTACTCTGATTTTGAACCATAATATTCATTTGTTCATTTAAATATGCATTACCCCAGTATACAGGTACATGGCCCAGATCCTTTTATTGCTTTTTCTTTCATCAAAACAACATCTTTTCAAAAGATTATGAAACTGTATAACTTATTCTTTGGTTTTAGAAAAAACATAACATATACACCAAGAGATTCATGATTCTTAGACATAATAGGTCTCCAGTTCCTCAAACTTGTTGTAAGTGTTGGCTGAAATGGGGGAATGTGTGGAGCCGATTAAAATGTGGAACAGTGGTCAGGCTTTGTGACTAAGCTGATTGTAAGTCACCATCACACTATCATTCATTGATCATGCTTTCAAGCAATGATTGGCCTTGACTTGACTGGTCCAGGAGCACCTTTAGAATACAGTACCACAACTTCTCGTGAGGACGATCTCTGCTATAGGTCACATGTCTCAAAGACAAGCAACCAGTTTTTGTGAGAATCAGTCGGACACAAACCTGCGACCTTTGTATTGTTAGCCAGACAGCTAACCGACTTGGCTACGTCCACACTGTGGAACTTGGTGCAAATTTACCTGGTCATGCCTACAATGTTACGGAACTGAATGAAAAGGGTCGAATAGGTGACAGACACACGGGTAGGCATGGTGTCCTGTGACTTTAGTCTACGGACACTTACAAATGATCCCGATGCCATTTGGCACACTAATCCCATTCCGTAATCTACAAGATACTGAGTGATGAGGAATGATCCGATATGTCACAAACATAAAACGGCTCCAGGCATCATATGTCAGACATCGAACTCGCGAGTATGCAAGAATGACATGGTATCTAATAATTCGTCGGGTGATTTTTGTGACAGAAAAGTGTGGTGGGGAACACAAGAAGGATGATGTGGATAATAGTAAGACACGAGGGAGGCATGAGCATGACTAGTGAGGACACAAGGGTGAGTTCACCTTTGATTCAGTACTGAAAAAATGTTGCGGGTGAAAGTGGTTTGTGTGAATGTTCCAAGACAGTTTCCTGTAGCCAAAATATTTGACACAAAACCATTTCATCCTTTTAACTCACCATTTTTGTGTGAAGAATATTAGGAGCCGCTATAGAATCCATAATAGCCACTAAACGGGTACCTTACCAGAATGATCGTGAAGGGGTGATTGATCGTAAAGGGGATCAAAGGGCTAAGCATAGAGTTCAGGTAATCTAAGAGCCAATAAACGGGAACCTAACCCTAATGATTGTAAAGGGGTGATTGATCGTAATGAGGATCCAAGGGCTAAGGATAGAGTTCGGGGTAACCTACCCTAACACTTGCGACATTTGGATGTGTTCAGCGCCAATATAATATCCCTAATAAACTGCATTCCTGTGCATAATAATGAAAATTAATGAACCGAAAAAATAATATATGTATATTAGTTCCCATTTATAACCATTTTAGCCACATGAATAACGAGAGAAAAACGAAATAAAAAGTATATAAAAACTAGCGCTTGCTATAAAATGTACCGCCACAGTCTATATTTAGTAAACAAATATTCAAAAGTCTCAACACCGCTGGCCGTATTCAATGATATTGCGTGTAGAGATGATAGATCACTTGGAAGAGCTTATGCACACTCGATGACCCCTGACTTCACATGGCATTGTTTCGCCAGTGTGACTGGCATCAAAATAATACAAATTACGTCGTAAGGTATTGTCATGTGTTTGAAAAGTTTGTGGTACTGTATTCTAAAGGTAGGCCCTGGTCCAGATTTGATTATTATGTTCTGTTGTCACACGGCTTAAAAATTGCTGACTGTGACATTCAACAACATTCACTCACCTTACAGATTTTCACTTTGCACAGTGTAGGCCTAGATGCAGTGCCAAACTATGTTCGTTTGTTAAAAAATGTAAGTTACATTGAAGAGTCTGACACACATCAATACTGATACTGAATTTGGCTCTGAATCGTTGCCTGTTGGAGAATACATTAGGCTTGTATGTGAAACTTGTAGGCCCACCTCATAGCCAAACCGATATGACTAGGCCTATCTGAAAGAATTTTTTTTTGTCATTTGAAAATGAAACCATCACATATAGCGGTGTTGACATTTATTGTTATGAAACGCAGTACCAGTACATTCATCCGACAACAAAGATTTTTTGGTATTCTTTGATTAACCAGTAAAACGTTCGCTGTAGTTAAATTGTTGATCATAGGCGTTCTCGTGGAGTCGTGTAAAACGTAAACAACATAGGAAGTGAAATTACATAAAACCTAACACTGTGCTTACAAATTAGCGTTAAATTCAGTATGGTATTCAAAAGTGGAAATGTATACGTACTGTTCCTTTGAATGAGAATATCACATCTTACTAACGACTGTCACAGTCTTTAAAAACACGTATTTACTTCTGTTTACGATTGCCGAATATGGCGTCTGCAACGTTCCCTCTCTCGGGTATTTCCGGATTATTCCGTTAAAGCGCCACATAATATATGTTTTACAGCTAATCGTGTTATATTCATGCGTGGAGGCGTCAACCGAGCCCAATATTTGTTTCTGCTTACCTAATATGACACCGTTTTCTGAACAAAAGACACAATAACGAATTTATTAGTATGTCAGGTCAAAATGACAACTTGACACGTACAACAGTTGAAATTTCAAGTTAGATCTTTTGGATGTTAAGTGTTTCCGTCCTGCTGCAAAAGGGCCCTGATTGATTGATTACTTTTGTTTGTTTGTTTGTTTGTTTGTTTGTTTAACCCCGCTCTCAGCAATATTCCAACTATATGTTGAGGGGTCAGTAAACAATCGTATCTGGACAACATGCGCATTGATCCACGCAATTGGGATAATTATGGCATGTATCAACCAAGTCACCGAGACTGACCCGGTCCCGTTAGTTGCCTCTTACGGCAAGCATGGGTTGCTGAAGGCCCTATTCTAACCCGAATTTTCACGGGTCTTATTGATTACTAGTTATTGGATTAAATAGCAGTGTAGTGAGTTAGTGTGTTGGTTTAACGCCGCTATGAACAGTACATCAGAAATCACGGCGAGTCAGCTTGATAGGGTATGAGATCTTACATACACAGTCACCACCTCGGTTGCTTACAAACATAGAAAAAAAATTGGGCGATCTGAGATTCGATTTCCCTATCAGATTGGAACCAGAATATTAGAAGGTAGCAAGTGATATTCGTCTGCTATTAGCAGACGTATATCATTGGTTACCTTCCAAAATAAAGCCACATTTTATTACCTAGATAAATCTTGCAATAAATCAGTACCCGAATTACAATGACTCGGCAGTCTCATACACACACGCACGCCCACCAAAACCCCTCAGTTTGGTTTTGACTTTCCGAAGAAGTATATTAGAATATGAATTTTCACACGTTTGAAGCATATACGTTGGAGGTCTTCACGAACGTGATACATATATAGTTAGTTGTGTGGATACTAGTACAAGGTACAAACCAAATCTTTAGTTTCGAATTTGTACAATAATAACAGTTGTTACGTACACATTATGGCTTAGGGGCGGCATATTTATTAATAATGGAAGGTTGTTATTAATTAGTGATAAATATGTAAAATGTGGAAGAGAGTTGTGTGAAAATACTGTAGATACGTTGAACGAAACGAATACCAGTCAAAACGGACCAACGACAAAACGGACCGACCTATTTGATCATAACGGCCCACGTCTCTCGTCGAAGGGCCGGACAACAGTTGGTCAAAATGGACCAGTATCATAACTTTATATCATGAAATATCAAGGGGTTTTTTTATATTTATGCTCGTTTTATATTCATTATCCTTTTGCTTACGTGTTATATCTAGAACTATAAAACTAAAAACCTTCGATATGGTTGTTTGTCCGTGTGGACGGGTTATTGTTGAAAAAGGAGATGCTGACAGGGGGAATATACAGTTGTGCGGTCTCTACTCCACTGTCTAACAACATGGGTGTCTGACAAATGGGGTACTAGTTGTACACCCACTGTCATCTCGTGTACTGCACCAGCTGAAGTATCTTGCATGGCTATAGCCCGTGCTACAAGTTCATATTATGTATTATTATTATTATATGGTCTCTGATCAAACTTGTCAAAGTGGGGACGTATTTCGCTCGATGGAAGGAATAACCTCATTTAAGTGACATTTTACAAGTTTTAGCAACAATGAGGATGGACTTGTACAGATGCTAATATACACTTGCTTGATAAAGGTAGAATCAACTGTAGCAAGTCAAGCCAAGTTTATTCTCATAAATAACCAACATGCGATACAGATAGGATATATAAATATGTGTGTGTGTGTGTGTGTGTGTGTGTGTGTGTGTGTGTGTGTGTGTGTGTGTGTGTGTGTGTGTGTGTGTTTATACATATACAGATATACGTGGGAATGCGTTGATAGTAATAATAATAGAGATAATAATAGTACAAGATTTGTACATAGAAAGTGTGAGCATTTACATGCAAGTATATACAAGTAACATTATTTATACAATTTCATTGATGCATTGATAGACTGGACAAGTTTATGTGGATATGCCTATACTGCATAGACATGAGTGATATATATTTTTCAATTCTAATAGTATTTTGGAAAATATCGATTTCGGGGGACATTTAGTTTGGGCAATATAACATGAAATGTAACTCGTCACTTATTCCAAGATTACATAATGTAGAGATTCTATTTTCTCTATGTACCCTCTACCATAGACCGGGGGCACGGGTGGCACGGGTGGCACGGGTGGCCCAGTCGTCTATAAGGCGCTGCGATTCGCTGTGCACAGTTGCGTCCCTTGTGCACGCCGGAAACCTATGATTGTGGGTTTGAATCCCGGTTCGCCCCGATTATGTTTCTAGGTTTGTCAGCACCATACCCGTGCTCGTGGGTTTCACCGAAGTGGTAAAGTCTAAGACCTGCATCACTTCGGGCTTTCCTCCCACATTAAGCCGACACGCCGTGATATAACTGGAATACTGTTAAAAGCGGCGTTAAACTCAACTCACTCACTCACTCACAGTACCATAGACAATTTGGCCATACCCCAGTTGTCAGACACCCCAGTTATTAGACAGTGGAGAAGAGATGGCTTGTCAAAACATATGAGATTTACCTGTTGTTTAAATGGACCAGTACTAATGGACTTAATCCTTTGTATAATTAAAACCAAGTAAATAAAGTCCTCGCAGAGAGGTACACCCCAAGTACTATTTCAACATCAACTCTACAGCAAGAAAAAGATGTGGAAATTATGTGTTCAGTGGAGATGTGTAATTAAGACGTGCACAGGGAAATGCGAGACAGTCGGTGACATTGTGAGGTGACACAGTGAACACAACCATCCATCAGCTGACACAACCCGTGCCACGTTCATCAGCACAATGTGGGGGGAGCAAGCCCGAGAAGAACCCTGCTCATGCCAGCCCTCTACCAGGACGCACCTTCACTTCCATTATATTCCCTTGCCAGCGTCTTCTACAGACAAAGAAGCAACATCATTCCCAGACTGCCAGAGCCGTGTGTGTTGATGCCTTGGCAGACTCAGACCAGTTGACTCATAGGGCCAAGATGTGCCCAATGCAGTATTTGGATGAAGTGAGCCGACTGGGGAAATTGGGTTGACTCTTGTAAAAGATGGTACTTGTTTTTACCCTGCCTGGCGCTAGGCATTAAGGGACTAAAACAAGGACTTGTCGGGTCGGAGTCAGAAAACTGTGTCTGAGTGGGGTATTCATGTTAAACTGCGGCATGGTATCTCAGTGGGCTTGCACTATAAAATCGGGATTAGTCCGGACTAGTTAGTACAAAGAGCCACACCCACAAGTGCATGCACGTCGCCATATAAATGCAACAATCTTGAACCCGACGTTTAACCGCATTCAAGCTCACCTCACGTAGATCCATCAGAGGCATCCGATTCGACCACAACTGCATGCTGTTTGCTCTTTACAGTATTGCTACATTTAACAAAATACGTTTGTAATAAGAATAAGAATATTACAAATAAAAAAACACACACCATAAAATAACCGGCTAAGAGACGCATGCAACCAAAAGAAACTTAACTTTATGCTGAGATATTTTCATACTTTTATTCCCAACAGTATTTGCCTTTTAAAAGCCATGCTAACATCTTAAGGACGTGCGTTTTTTAAATCCTGTTATGTTAAATAAAGCCACTATTTTAAGAAGTCATATACTTTTATCCATAAGTTGTTTTTCAATTTTCTATTTGTTTATCGCCATGTTAACGTCTTAAGAATTAACCTTTTTATCTTGTTTCTGGTAAATATGGCCACTATTTTAAAGAAGTCATACACCTTTATTCATAGGTAGCTATTCAATCATTTATTGTTGACATTATACCGTTTAAAGTGCAGTGTCAACGTCATTGTATACTATTTTATGTCTTTTTACATTTCATGTTAACCAGTATTTGTGTCGGTATTTATGTTTCATGTATCTATGATCTTTTCTTAAATGCAAACCAAATTCTCAAATCGGGTAATTTCTTAAATGTAAACCAAATTCCCAAATCGGGTAATTTCTTAAATGTAAACCAAATTCTCAAATCGGGTTATTTCTTAAATGTAAACCAAATTCCCAAATCGGGTAATTTCTTAAATGTAAACCAAATTCTCAAATCGGGTAATTTCTTAAATGTAAACCAAATTCCCAAATCGGGTTATTTCTTAAATGTAAACCAAATTCTCAAATCGGGTAATTTCTTAAATGTAAACCAAATTCCCAAATCGGGTAATTTCTTAAATGTAAACCAAATTCCCAAATCGGGTAATTCTTTAAATGTAAACCAAATTCCCAAATCGGGTATTTTTTTAAATGTGAACCAAATTCCCAAATCGGGTAATTTCTTAAATGTGAACCAAATTCCCAAATCGGGTAATTTCTTAAATGTGAACCAAATTCCCCAAATCGGGTAATTTCTTAAATGTGAACCAAATTCCCCAAATCGGGCAATAAAGTAGCATCTCTTCTCATCTTGTATGAACAATGGTTCAAACAAAGACCATAAAATCTTTTCTTTGGTCTCTGGTTCAAATATGTAAAGTTGAAGTAGCCATCTAACGCCTCAGACTCGTTCACAACAAAGCACAAGGACAAGGTCTGCTCATCTTGCTCAGCTTGAAATCAACCTGAATCCATTGCTTACTTGATACTGGAATATCAAGACTATGTCCGAGCCAGGTCTCGGTTAAAAACAAGAATTGCAGTTAGATCCGCTGTCTGCCAAGAGATGCAATAGCAACGGCCAAACTAATTCTAGAAGGTCAGCTCCACGAACGTATATATAACAGAGCAGCCAAAGAAATTCTGTAAATTTCTAAAAATCAAAAACGAAATCATATCAGTAGGAAAATAGAAATACCAACACTAAAACTCCCAATAGATATGTGTACCCTACTTACACACATGAGACCCAAAGAGGGACAGGTCAAAGTTGCTGATGCAGAGGATTACTCTAAAACCCTTAAAACAACAACACGTGAAATCCAAGTTTTAACGGTTCAATGTAGTTGTATTTTGTACCACCTGCATACATACTTTCTACATAACTAAAGATATGGTCTCTGTTTTAGACATATTTCATTGGTCCGTTTGAAGAAAAGGTGGTTCGTTTTGAGCGGACATTTGGCCGGCCCGTTTGGGCGCTGTTCCATTTTGACTGATATCCTACGAAATAAGAATAAAAAAAAAACATACCACAGTCGTGATTATATGCCAAGTTTATTTTACGCAAAGAAAAGGCGTGTTTATTAATAATTATAAAAGCATCATCTTGCCATCTTTCGTCTGAAAAGGACAAATATTATATTATCCACATATATATTTCGTTTTAGGTATTCTACATTTATATATAACCATTTCTACGAAACTACCAGCACACATAACTTTACATGTGCTGGCGGGAGTCCCAAACATAGGAAATCGAGGTAACGCACAACGAAACAACAATATATCTAATACATCTTTCAAAAACAAAAGATCGTTGTGAGTATTTGGTCCTCCGGATCGCTTGATGTGATCGTATGTAGGTTGTTGTCATTAACAAGGTTGAAAAGTATTCTTTGATCAGAAGAATCTGAACTTTCGCTTCGCTCCTTGTCCCTGGCTTTACTCGATTATCTCCTTTAGGTCTATATTGTGTCAGTATCTGTCACTTTCCCGGATCAAGCCTCAATGATTGATGCCATTTTCAAATCAAATGCTGTGAATGTGCCCTCGCCTTCTCTTGGGTTACTTCTATTGTTTCTTAATGAGTAGGTTAACAGAACAGTTTGTATTGATAGTCTGATTAATCCCTAGGCCGATACGTGACACTAGCAGTTTGCAATGTTTTCTTTGTAGAAAAGTAGAAGGACGCACGCCAACATAAAGACAAGTGCCAAGATCAGGAACAATGACAGGTAAATGTAACATCCCATATTATGGACTGTTAGTCCAAACTTTGTTCCCAGCATGATTGTCAGTAGCTTTTCGTGTTTTTGTGTAGACGATTAGAGTCAGTTCTCCGAATATCGTACACTTTTGGTCGCCGGTCTCAACCACCAAGCTTTGTATGCAGATACTGCGTCATGCGGCATACCAGACGAAAGGTTATCCAACCATCTTGTCACCCCATTAAACCGGTTGTACATTCCGATTTCCGTTTTGAACACACGTTCAGTCAAAGGAGGCTAATAACGATCACTTAAATTCGTACAGTGTGACTGTAATATCGTACGCAATTTCTTCTAATATCATACATGTATTTTAATTCCGTACAGCACCTGAACGGTACTCCCGTAGCTGTTATTTCTTATGAAAATTTGTATATATTGGTTGAATCAAAATTCGAATTATTGCACGAAAGGAAATGCTTAGGTTCAAAAACTATATTAATTTGTAGATCTATATCCCAGTATTATTAATCATTAGTAGAATTTATTAATTTATTAATAAACTCCAGGGCCTGCTTAGAGTACTGGCGTCTTTTTCCCATCTAAAATATTAAGCACAAAACTAACTTTATAAATTTTAATACTGCCCCGTTTGAATCAAAACAGACAAACAAGTTGGAGCATTGATGAAGTCCATTCTTTTCGAAATATTCGAGAACACGTCTTGCCAAAAATGTGGCAGACACGGGGTCGTTTATTTCTTTCTGATATGCCATGCAGAACACGACAAACAACGTTTGCCACTGCAGACCCTTATTTGGGATGATCTAAGGATTTCTGTAGCAAACCAATTATTATTTCAGCTTCATTTTCAAAATAAACATCATCCAGAGTTAGGGTGTTTATAGTTGAACGTGCGACCGCGATCACTATTTCATGTCCGCTTCCAAATATTTCACGGCGCTGAACGGATTTGAAAGTGCCATTTTCTGTAAAGTTGACAGAAAACGTATAAACAGCTGAATAATTGTAATTAAGACAGACATATCTTTGTATTGGGTTAAAACGTATTCCTAATGTTTTATTAGCTACAGTATGAATAATACAGTTGTACCTCGCTGATACCGATTGTTTTACCGATTTTGCTCATCAGTTATCAATACTTACACAGTCAACACTTATTAGATAGAGTTTTGGTGTTGACTAGAAATTTTCTACATGTTTCTTTAGTCGTTAGGCCATCTATATTATTTTATGTGTTTGTCATCTCCAACCTCAACCAACAAGGAAGCGGGCGGGCGAAATTTAAAAAATAAAATGCTTTTCACTAATTTTTAACATATTCTACCTTGGTACCAGTCTTCAAATTAATGTTGGACGTATTTCGAGGTGGGTTTTTTTCGGAAACAACTTTTTAATACACGTAGTTGAAGAAAGATCTAGGCATTTTATGAATGTGCAATGATGGTGGTACTCTTGTTATTACGTCGGGGCAAAATTAATACAGACAGCCTGACAATGTTTGTAGTATCTTTTTGTAATATATCTTAAACCAGGTACAGTTACTAGGTGTATAGTCTTTGTGTTGTCGTTTTACTTTAAGGCTGCGTAGTAATGTGGCACTGAACGCGTGATAAGAGATAAACAATGTTTTCGGATAGATCTAAATGAAAACAGGGATAAGGTGTGCTGATGTCTGTTACTTAATATTTCATATAAATAAGCTTATGACAGTGAGCGACTACTTCAAAATGGACTTCAACAATGACCATACACTAAGGTGACAATATATATTCTTTTTGTCATTTTAATTTGTTTATCAATGCTTATTCAAGTGTTTCATAAGAGGGTATATCAAATGGAAAATGGAAAATTTCACTGTACGAGATTAGAAGCATAGCAAAATATTATAATATTTTGGGCATCAAATATCGTATGTCCCACATTTTGTTAATTTTGAAAATAACTTTTATGAACCCTATTAATAATTTTCAATATGAAATGTTTATGGCAGCTGATATGCATAATTTCGTGTTTCCGCACCGTTCGTGCTTTTTAAATTTACTGCAATGACCTGTAACATGTAGAGGTTCTCGAATCGTGACCTTGACGTCAACCCAGCAAGAAATGGAGAGAACCGCTTCTGCGCAAGTGCACTTCGCGATAACCAATCATATCTCGTAAGAGAAAACGCATGACAAATACACGTGATAGCTGAAAATAGAGTTGGGGATTATCACATTTCAACCAACGAAAGTAGTTTGACGCCGCATGAAAGCATTGAAAGCAATCAAGGAAACATCAAAGTGTACGGAACTTAGGAGCCTGTACGATATTCGGAGACCTGACCAACTGTTTACAAAACAGAATGTTGGGCCTACCTTTAGAACACAGTACCACAAACTTTTCAAACACGTGACAATACCCTATGACGTAATTTGTAGTATTTTGTTGCCAGTCACACCGGAGTTACAATGCCCTGTGACGTCAGGGGTCATCGAGTGTGCATAAGCTCCTCCCAGTGATCTATCATCTCTACACGCAATATCATTGAATTCGCCAAGCGCTGTGGAGAGTTTTGAATATTTGTTTACTGAATATAGCCTGCTGCGGCGCATTTTATAGCAAGCGCTAGTTTAGGAAAGCACTTTTATTTTTTATATATTTTTTATTTCGTTTTTCTCGTAATTCGCTAAAAGGGTTATACATGGGAAATAATGTATATATATTATTTTTTCGGTGCATTAATTTTCATTATTGTGCACAAGAATGTAGTTTATTTGGGATAATATATTGGCGCTGAACACATCCAAATATCGCTAGTGTTAGGGTAGGTTACCCCAAACTTTATCCTTAGCCCTTGGATCCCCTTTACGATCAATCACCCCTTTTTGATCATTAGGGTTAGGTACCCGTTTAGTGGCAATTAGATTACCCGAATTCTGTCCTTAGCCCTTGGATCCCCTTTACGATCAATCATCCCTTCACGATCATTAGGGATCGGTAAATCTATCCGTTTAGTTTCTATTATAGATTCTATAGCGGCTCCTAATATTCTTCACACAAAAGAACGAGTAAAAAGAATGAAATGGTTTTGTGTCGAATACTTTGGCTAGATTCTACTGGAAACTGTCCTGGAACATTCACACAAGCCACTTTCACCGGCTACATTTTTTCAGTACTGATTCAAAAGCGAACTCACCGTTGTGTCGTCACTAGCCATGCACATGCCTCCCTCGTTCCTTACTATTATCCACATCATCGTTACAGTGTTCCCTACCACGCTTTTCTGTCACAAAATCCACCCGACGAATTATTAAATAACACGTCATTCTTGCGTACTCGCGAGTTTGACGTCTGACGCCTGGAGCCGTTTTCAGTTCGCGCCATATCGGACCATCCCTCGCCACTCGGTATCTTGTAGATTACGGAATGGGACGAGTGTGCCAAATGGCATCCGGATAAGTCGTAAGTGTCGATAGGCTAAAGTCACGAGACACCATGCATACCCGTAACCTTCGTAAGGGTCCGTCACCTATTCAACCCTTTTCGTTCAGTTCCGTAACGTCGTAGGCATGACTAGGTAAATTTGCACATTGTTTCACAGTGTGGACGTAGCTCAGTCGGTTAGCTGTCGGGCTAACAATCCGAAGGTCGCGAGTTTGCGTCCGACTGATTCTCACAAAAACTGGTTGCTTGTCTTTGAGACATGTGACCTACGGCAGAGACCGTCCTCACGAGAAGTTGTGGTACTGTATTCTAAAGGTGCTCCGAATGTTGATACTCAGGCTTTGGACAAACGTCTGAATCTGTCTTGCAAACTGGACTTCTGTGAACATCTGCATGAAATGTAGATCAATATGATTTTCCATAAATTGCTGAATAATTGGAAATTGGTTTCATCACTTTTTTTCCACAAGGTTTAATATCTAGGTTTAGTTTTATTCCAAGGAGGAATAAATCTCATTCATGGAACTAACCAAGCTTAAGTTTGAACTGGACAGGCTACAACTGCGGGCCATATATTTGATTTTGTAGATGATTGTGATTTGGATGAGCTGGCAGCATTTCTTGATGAGGATTCCAATGAGGCTTTTGGCGGATCACAGGAATGTATGACTGGGGGAGGCAGCAAGACTGTTGAGACGGAAGAGATGAATGCTGAGACTCTGGCTGCCTTTCTTGAAGAAGATTCCTGTGAAGCAGAAGTCCCTGGCACTGCTCCTGCTAGTGACATGAGTAAGCAGGGGTGGAAATCAGGACCAACTCACTGTGCCCCCAACAGTTTTGGTAATGTTAAAGGTATCCTAAGGGCTAGTAGAATTTCAAACATTTGGGGTGTATTGCTATATAAATGTTGTCACTATTCAGCCAAGTAGACACTCTTGGTTAATTTCCATTCCTTCAAGGCGTGTGTCGTTATCATGATGTGGATTTGTTGTCGCTACACTATTTGTATGAGATATCAACATTATATACAGCCTCTTTAAAGACATTAATAACATGTTCAAGCTTTAAAAATATTTACCCGTTTTTAAAAAAATGATGACTCCCTGAATACAATCCAAACTCGGCAATGTCAAATGATTCTATTTTATGATCTGGAGGTTGAGTTCGATATTTCCAAGATATTCTCACAATTTTCACGTCAATGATATGTACCTTCTCTCCCAATACTGATTGTCATATCTCTCCCACTTTTGGTTGCAATCATTGCGTTTATCTGCCTTGTCCAGCCTCATCTATAGGGAACAATTCACTAAACACTTCCCTCTCAAAAAAGTTTGTTGTCCAATCTACGACGTCTTCAAGTTAGCGAAGTGAGTGTATGTTCGAATCTCCAGAAATGGCGTCATGATAGAACAATGTTTTATTGTGAAATAAACCACACTTTGTTTTTCATTGTTCTTAGCGATTTATGGTGTAGCTATCTTAAAATAATGCTGACCACAGATTATTGGGATATATGGATGTAATATTGCTGACAAAAGGTACTGGATATAGCTATAATATTGACCCTATGTATGATGTTTATTGATGTTTGAGTTGCCATTCTCTATTTACTCAGTTCCTGAGGAAAAGGATGAGTGTGATCCTGAGTCTATTGCTGCATTTCTTGGAGAATCTGATGACAGCGATGAGGAATTTACACTGCACCCGGAGGAAATTACCAATGGTTATTTTATCATTGTTTACCTATTTGAAGACAAATGTCACTTGTTTCTTTAATAACAATGGGTCAAAGGACATCGTCCAAACAAATGGGTTCTTTTCTAACCAATTTTGAATGGAGGTAAGGGTTCTTTCACTTCCAAAACATTCCAAAAACGATCATAAAAAGGTTAACATGTATACCGGTACTTATGAGTAGCTGTGACATGCTGCAACGAGTCCTGCATTTGATCAAGCAATGAAATATTGTGCTTAGATTTGCATAAGTAAACAGTCGACCGGGGGTGTGGGTTAGGAGATTTACCAATACCACGATAATATAGAGTTTGAGGTAATATAGAATCATATTTTACCACTAACAGATAATGATTTTCTATTTTGCCGTTTCTGTTGCAGAACAAGCGAAGCAGCCTGATGCTGTAGCCCCGACTGATCCCAACACAGCATCTCTGCAGGGTTGGTATATCTCTCTCTCATATCTCTCTCACTCTCTCTCCTCTCTCTCTCTGTGTCTCTCTCTCTCACACACACACACACACATACACACACACACACACATACACACACACACAAAATTTGGGGTGTATGGAGGAATGAAGTCTACTTAGCCTGAAATGATTGAATGTGTGCTTTTCCTGTGATAAACATATGCTACTTAGAAAATTGTGATGTGTTTTGTTTGTTGTAGCGGAGCTTGCAGCCATGCAGAAACGTATGATGGAACTCCAGCAACAGCTGCTGTGTCAGTCCCCAGCACAGACACCACCGACAACACAGACTCGGCTCATACATGGTGTGTACAACTCCTTCATATATACTTATTCAGTTAGCTTCCAGCTTTTGTAGAAATTGTAAAACAGCCTTGTAAAGAAAATAGGTGATGTCCCCGTGGCAATACTGGAATTGAATTTGTCCCCAGTAACTTGTATTTGTTTAATGCTGCACATATTTCAGCTATATGACAACCTCTATAGAATAACGTCTGTACAAGACAAACCAGTGATTGATATTATGACTAACATCCCATACGATCAATGTACGGTGACACTCAATTAATCATGTTACCTTTTATGGAATGGGTAGGGTACCTATTCTATAGTGGAATCCCTAAGGTGTCAGTACTTTAAGCTTACCTTGGTGTTTAGGCGACCTGAATGATTGCTTGTCATTGTGCCGTGGTGCTGGGATTGTTGCTTTCAGTCACTGGTTTTTCTGGTCCGTAATCATTAACAGCCATTATGTACATTTATTGTCTTGGGAATCGACGCACTACATTGATCCGGATAATTTCTTATAATGAATAACATTGTTGATGTGATCAATTGGTATTAGACCCGTGAAGATCCGTAAGGAATAGGGCTTTAGCAACCCATGATTGCTGTAACTGGCGACCAACAGGATCGGGTGCTCATGATGCCAATCATTGGATTGTCTGGTCCAGACACGATTGTTTTGTTTGCTTGGCCTCATTCTATGCAACATTCATGGTACTACCAGTAACCACTGTCGTGACCTTTGTTTGTGTTAAAGTATAGGCGATTTCTAGGCACTGTAGTAGCTGTCAAAATGATCAGACTAAATACAGTCTGTATTGAGCTAGGACATTGTACACACAAAATGTCATAAATGTTCCATAACACCTATATGGGGCTGGCTAAGAAGACTGATGATCGGAATTATCGTCAATGGGACGAAATATTAACAATTATTGATATGAAAATTGTGTCATCGATAACAGCTTACCTAAACTATTGTGATGAAATATAGTTCAACTTTACTCAAAGAGACTTGTTATTGTCAATCATGTCAATTGCAAAAGACGGAAAGCAACTGTTTTTGTTATATATCTCAAATGTCCACAAAGTAATCCCTGCATAAATGTGCCACTGCTCACCAGTGGCATGAAATATGTTAATTTCTTTCGGGACTTTGTTGAATACTTGCTCAAAGATACTTCTCCATTATTACATTAAGTAATACGTTACCACTGATATACCGAGGCTGTTGTCTCCCACAACTGCTGCTATAGCGAAATCTACCACAGAGATCTCAATTACCTCATGCAGCACGTGCGTAGCCACCTACCTGCCATGTGACACCCTTCACTCTTGTCTCTTCGCTTGCGCTCACAAGACGTGTTATAGACTGCTGAAGCGTTCCTGTTTCCTCGACCAATTCGGTGATATTTATTATGGTTTATTAAACTAATAAACTGTGCTTGTACGGGGCGTTTGCGGTAGCTACGCTTGGATATAATTTTCCCGTAAAACAGAAAGTTCTTTCCCGCCCTTTTTTCTATATACTCGCAGGGTTCTCATATGCACGTTGTGTCTTACGTTCCCCTGCTATAGTATGCTTTGGGGGTTAACATCACTTATTTCTCCATATGTTCTATGTGTATGTTCTATATTCACATTGCTCGTTTATTTTCCTTGTGAAAATGCTCGTTTGTGAATATTTGTGGTGCATATGTTGTAACCATGTTTTGCTCTTTGTTCATAGTACCAAAATGTCTGACATGGATGTGTCGCCGTTGTCCACCCCCTCTACCCCTGCAACCCGGAGTTGCGGGGTGTGTCACAAGTTCTTATCGTCACGGGATCCCCACGATTGTTGCCCGCGGTGCAGGGTTCCTTGCAGGGACACCCGGTGCGTCCTGTGCGATGGTCTGGGGCCTGCGGCGTTCAAGCGCTACCGGCTGTATGTGCAGTCCGTTTCCACCCCTGTGGTGGCCGGTTCGTCCGGTCGGGGTCCCCTTGCGGGTACCCCCTCCACGGCTGCGGCGGATCCCTTGGCGGCCCTCGGGCTGTCCGGGGATTCCGTCGCTGCATTGCTTACTAAACTTTAGGACTCCAAGCTGGCGGCCTTATCTCAGGTATGCCGCTGGCTGTTCCGTCCCCGGCCTCTTCGGTGGCCGCGGGTTCGGACGCGGGGTCCACCGGTATGGCGGCGGCTCCCGTGGTCACCGGTCCTTCCCCTGAACCGTTGCTCCCGCTATCGGTTAAGGACCGCCGGACCACGGATGCTTACCAGCGCATTTCTCAAAGCGGATCCGCCGTTGCCCCGTCGGCAGGTTTCTATTCGGAAACCGATATTCCCATCCTCGCCGATGGCACAGACCGGTGGCACAAGATTCAGGTGATGATTGCCAAAGTCTTAGCCGTACCACAGACTGTTCACTTTTGGGAACAGCTGTTAGGGCTACTTGTGTCAGCCCAGGACTGCACTGATCGGGGTCGTCTCAAACTCCGCCCGCAGCAACGGTTTTTAATCCAGTTGTTAGCACAGGAGGAGAACAGTGCGACTGTCGCCCTCCCGGATTGGCTCCGACTGCATCTGGAGTGGTGGACGGTCCCTTACAATGTCTTATCAGGAGTCTCTATGCGGCACTTCCGGGCCACGTTGAACCTGTATACAGACGCCTCTCTAGTGGGCTGGGGCACGCATCTAGAGGGGGAGGGGAGCTCGGGGCTGTGGTGCATAGACGAACTAGGTCTTCACATCAATTGCCTCGAGTTCAAGGCAGTGATAAACGCAGTCAATCACTGGAAGCATCGTCTAGTCGACACTCAGCTCATGCTGGCGACCGACAACACGACGGTAGTGTCCTATGTGAACAAACTGGGGGGAACCCACAGTCACTCGCTACTCGATCTCGCGTTCGAGTTTTACACTCTGGTGGACAGTGTCCCGTGCCAGGTACGCGCCCGTCACATCCCCGGTGTGTGGAACATACTGGTCGACGCTCTATCGAGGCCTCGTGATCCGAGCCCCACGTAGTGGATGCTAAACCCAGTAGTGTTTCAGTGGCTGTGCGAATGTTTGGGTCGACTGATGGTCGACCTGTTCGCAACCAGGTTCAACAATCAACTCCCGTTGTTTGTATCACCAGTCCCGGCCCCGAGGGCCATCGATCACGATGCTCTCGCGTTAGACTGGACGGGCATGGACGCTTATGCTTACCCGCCGACGGCGTTAATACCACACATTCTAAGCCGGCTCCGAGGAGTTCGCTGTCGAATGTTACTGATCGCGCCCATGTGGCCGAACAGATCGTGGTACCCCGACTTGCTAGCCCAGGCCATGCAGTCGCCACTTCCACTGCCTGTGAGACTGGATCTCCTGATCCACCCTCACACCCGTCAGTTTCATCCAAACGCAGGGCAGTTCAATCTGCACGCGTGGATGTTGTCACCGAGCATCTGAGGAGTAAAGGTTTTTCTCGTCGGGCGTCTCGGGCATACGTTAGTATGTATCGTGATTCTACCCAGAAGGTGTATAATGCACGCTGGGCTATTTTCACGAAGTGGTGTTGTAAACATCAAATTCATTCGCCAGATAAGGTATCTGTGCAGGATATTGCTCGTTTCATGTCTCACTTGCGAGAGACCCGGAAACTCTCCGGGGGTTCCATTGCCAACTATGTCTCGTCCGTTGCTATGGTACAGGACGTTGCTATGGGTACCAGTCTCTCAAAAGAGCCAGTGATTCGGGGTATTATCAAGGGTTTCAAACAGCAAGATCTTAAAAAGGGCCGCCTTCGGGCACCGGCCTGGGATCTCTCCTTAGTAGTAAAATCACTTACGGAGGCTCCGTATGAACCCTTGGGTAGTGCTTCGTTCCGGCATGTGACTTGGAAAACAGCATTTCTCCTCTCCTTTGCCACGGCGTCACGTGTGTCTGAGATTCATGCACTCGATGTCGCTAAAGTACAATTCGATAGGGGTGACGTAGGAGCGGTCCGCCTGGGCCTGCTCATGGGCTTCGTCGCCAAGAATCAGAAATTTGGTCAAACGGAGAGAGAATTCACTGTAAGATCACTCAAGGAAATCTTACATCCTGCTAATACTGAGGACAGATCGCTGTGTCCGGTTAGGGCCCTTAAGTATAATCTTAAGGCTTCGAATGAACGCAGACAAGGGCGCGGTCATTTTCTGTTCATATTGTGTAACCCTAATCGCACTGCTGACATAACTCGCAACTCGATTGCATTTTGGCTTCGTTCTGTCATCAATCTGGCGTACCGGTCTCGGGGGTTACCGGTAGCGGGGTCAAACCCGCACGAGATCAGGGCGCTAGCGGCAACATTTGCCCTACACTCGAATATCTCTGTTCACAGAATATTACGAGGTTGTTACTGGCGTTCTGACTCGGTTTTTGCCAATCATTACCTCAGAAAGGTTTCTGATGAAGACGTGGAGGGGGTGCACCGTCTTGGGCCGCTGATCACAGCACAAGCGGTCATCTAAGGGGTGTGTCCAGCGCAGTTCCGAACTCCACAGGCGTCAGACCTTGCACGGTGGTCAATCTGGGTCGTCTCCAATGTTCCCATCGCCGTGGGTACAGGAGTGGGGGTCCCGCAAACAAGCACGCTCACACCACAGGTGAGGCGGCTTTTTGTGTGTTTTGTCCTTATTTGTATTTTGACAATTATGTATTTAATTGTCTGTCGTGTATTCCAACCTTGTGATACATGCTTACGAATACTGGAATTAGGTCAAGCGCCTAATGCATACTTTAAGTAGGCTTGCATTGGGATATACGGTCCGGATGAAATTAATTTCCCTCTTTTCGACTGTTTAACCTGATCTAAGATTTAGCTCACACGGATACTGTGTTCTCATCCGCTGCGGCGATGAAATACCTATCCAGTGGGGCCGTTTGGAGTCACCAATCGTTTGGCAATGACGATTGAGCCTTACGGTATGCGCTTGACAGTGCTTTGGTATTCCTATAGGGTAATGCCTAGCTAGGAGCACGCGCATCGAGTGCTTCCGCCATGTTGTTTACTTCCGCTGGTCGGAAGGAACACGAGCAGTCAGGTTCGGGTTGTAGGTGCTCCCCACCGCCTACTGTGGTAGTCAGCCTCGGTATATCAGTGGTAACGTATTACTTAATATAATTTGTAGAATTTTCCTATTCGGAATATTCTATAAGTAATACGTTACCACTGGGCTGCTGCCCGCCCACCCGTCCCCCGAGCACTTGCTCTCGCAAGAGACAAGAGTGAAGGGTGTCACATGGCAGCTAGGTGGCTACGCACGTGCTGCATGAGGTAATTGAGATCTCTGTGGTTGATTTCACTATAGCAGCAGTTGTGGGAGACAACAGCCTCGGTATATCAGTGGTAATGTATTACTTATAGAATATTCCGAATAGGAAAGTTCTACAATTTTTTTAATAATTGATCGATATTTAGTCGATTATTAATTATATTTAGCAATTATCAATCTCTATGATCTATATTGATAGTCAGTTCTACACCTATATTATGAGTTGTAGCAGGATCACGAGGGGTACCTGGGGTTTTATGCATCCCGCGTTAGGATTTATACCACAAGATGGAGGTGACGCCTAAAACCCCATGTACCTCTCGTGATTCTGCTACAACGAATTTATCTTATTGATATGTTTTAACATGGCATTGAAAAAGAATTAAAACAAATTCAAAATTGATAGAAAACCGCTGTTTGATTGAGCTGCATTTAACTTGTGCTATGTTGCGTGACTTTCATTGCCTCTGAAAAGCGTGCAGCTTTTTGGTTCAAAGTGAGATATGAGGGATTTATTCTGCCTCTCAGAAATCCATGTGCAGTCTGACTTGCTTGTGGTGGGGTATAAGGGATTTATTCTCCCACTGAGAAATTTATTTCCTGGGATACATAGTACATGTAGTACTTTATCAAGAGCTCATGGACCATCAGATTTCATCATTCTGACATGGAGGTATGCTATGTGTTTCATTTCATTGATGACCAATACTCTCTTCAGAATCTGAAGAGGTGAACCCATTCTTTCCTGCCAGCACTTCAAAGAAAGAGAAGAACAGTTCTAAAACTCCTGGTCCCTCAGGCGGCCAGCGGCAGGGGGTGAGCAATAGACAGACCCCCAAACAACCTGCCGGCAAGCCGTCCTGTATAGAGCAGGCCAATCGGCAGGCCATGAAGAGAGATTTGTTTGGTGAAAGCGACAGTGAGGGGGAGGATATGGATGGTGAGTTTCAGAAAATCTTTTTGTAAACATGTTAAAATCATAACATCACATACATGATATAATAGGAAAACAATGTTGATAAAATGTACAAGCTTTAAAAATAGTTACCTGATTTTTAATAATGATGACTCCCTGAATAGAATCCCCCCTCGGCATGGGTACAATGTGTGAAGCCCATTTCTGGTGTCCCCCGCCGTGATGTTGCTGAAATATTGCTAAAAGCAGCGTAAAACCTCTCACTCACTCACTCACTTTGCGATTTATCGTGAAACTATCTAATGTTTACTAATAATTAAGTCTTTGTAACTAAAATAGTTGAGCAACAATTTTATGGTTTTATTGCTCCTCAAAGATTCTAAAGATATTTTTCAAAGTTGGTAATGATAATTAACATTGTCTGAACAAAAGTTGATAAAATCTTGAAAATATCCCATTTGTCTCTTGCAAATTCATTGGCCTTTGTGATCTGAAATTGAGAAAGTGCTGTATCAACTAGCAAGGAGTGGGTGATCTTTGTGGTCTATGGCACTGCATTAGAAATATGTGGGTGATGAATCCCATGTTGCCAGATCTTTGATCAATAAGGCCCGCTTATTGTCGGTGTCCCCAATTCTCCCTACTTTTGATCCGATATCCCCATACCCATGTTTGTGGATTTCACTAATTATGTAAATGCATCATTAAGAGATAGACAAACCATATAATATACATCTGGAATATTGCTCAAAATGACATTGTACTCTTCTCCTTGTTCCCATCTGATTTGACTCCTGAGAAATGAACTTGAAGAAGAAGGTGTTGGTATGAAAGTGTTTGTATTGGCAGGTGAGAAGACTGGCCTCAGTGCACAGGGCAGGGAAATCAAGACTCTCCTGAATGCAGGACCGAAACACAGGGAGGCACATAACCCTAGCTTCTCCCTTGAAGCACAGAATAAACCAGCAGTCAGCTGTAAGTACATGACACGGCTTCTAGTTTACTAGCTCATCATGATGGCATGTGATCCTGTGCACAGCCCACAGGTCCCAAACCTGGAGAAGTTATTGATTGTTGATTGATTGTTGCACTCAGCAAAATCTAGTATCTATATTTTTTAGAATCAAATCACTGCACTGAATATTTTCCTTGAATGTTGCCAGGGAAAGCAAAGAATGTTGCAACCAAGGACAGCCTCCATCGAATATCATCTCCTGTGTCTAAGTCGAGTATCAAGCCAGAAGAGAAGTTCATTGTTGACCCCTTTTCTAGCATCAGAATAGTGTGAGTATTGACTGACAGATTTTGGTTGGCATTTGCTGGATGCAGTGTATATGGAATAGGGGTGCATATAGGTTTCACAACTGTAAATGTTTAGACATGCATCACTTTGATGTGCCTGGATTACTGTTCACATGGATAGAAATTAGCACTAGCCCGTTATCGTATCTCATCTATGCATTTCTCTTTCTTCTTTCGATCCTAAGTGGAAATGTGTCTGAAATAAAGTTTTCCAGTTTCTTAAGTTAATTCATCCGTACATACCCAGAGCTCGAAAAAAAAATTCAACCCTACTTGTCCTGCAGGGCAAGTACTTTGTATTTTGTACTTGTCCTGCCAAATTTTCACTTGCCCTATTGCTCAATGCTGAACAGACAATATCATGTATCATGTACCATGTAACCACTGAAAACAAAGTAAATAAATTGTTTCAAGATTTATTTTGTGTTTTTATTTCCACAGTAAGACAATATTGAATAAATTAAGGAATAATAAGTCAAGTTATTTTGAACAGTTAAGTTATGATGAAAGACACATCAGTCTGTCACTGTCAGTGTGATATTAATAAATTAAATGAAGCTGCAGGGGAGTTACAATAAACAGTACTGTAGACCCCAAAGTTCAGAGCCAAAGTTTCACATCAGCCTGTCACTCTGTCAGGGTGATTGTGGAAGAGGAGACTCCTGGAGATGATTCTGTAGAGCATGATGTAATGGTTGATGACTTGACTCTTGGTCCTGGACATCTGTGTCCGCTAACATGCCTGGTACCTTTTCCACTCTGCATCCAGTGTAGGATAGACTTTTGAGGATTGAATTTATCCAGAGAGGGACCATCAATGCTAACATGCATCAAATTACTCAAGGTATCCTGAGTCATACATGTTCTCAGATTGGTTTTCAGCATATTAATCCGACTGAATCCTCTTTCACATTCAGCTGTACTTGGTGAAATTGTTAGCATGATTGATACCAGAGGCAAGATGTGTGTCATGTTGCTTTGTGACTTGTAGTTGTCCAAAACACTTTCATAAGCATCAACCACTGGTCTGTCATTCAAATCTTTTATATGCATCTTGAGGTCAAGCCATTCATCAAATGCACTGGTCTTCTCTTCATCTGTAAGGAGGGGACTGTATATTTCAACAAGCCTCTAAATCTCTTCATCTCCATACTCTCTAAATTTCTCTGCTTCTGTTTCATAATTTGGCCACATTTTGAAATCAAACATGTTGAATAAAGAATGTGGTTCCCCACCAAGTTTTTGATGAACCTCTCCTGGAGATCTATGTCAATTGACTCCAACATGCAGTCAATGTCCCTGTTAAGGTCATCTTCTCCTTCATCTTTCTTCTTTTTTCAAGGGGCGGTCGGGTAGCCTAGTGGTTAAAGCGTTCGCTCGTCACGCCGGAGACCCGGGTTCGATTCCCAACATGGGTACAATGTGTGAAGCCCATTTCTGATGTCCCCCGCCGTGATATTGCTGGAATATTGCTAAAAGCAGCGTAAAACACTACTCACTCACTCACTCTTTTTTCTTCCCTCCTTAGTTGTTAGTAGTAATCTGTTCTCCTCTGAACTTCCCTTCTCTACTTTCTTCTAGGAATTTCTGAAACATTTTCCCTCATCTTGTCTTCATCTTGAGAAACTTCTGTCTTAAAGCCTCAATTCGTCTCTGGACCTCTGGTATGAGTGTCTTCTGTAATTGGAACACTTTGGATACTTCACTCACAAGATCAGTAAAGTCTATCATAAAATGCAGCATTTTCAGAAATCTTTCACTTTTCATTTCTGCAAGGTAACTTCTGGCTTTTGCAAAAGAATCATCCCGCCCAGATACAATTTCTCCCAGGTGCACTATGGTAACTTCATAGTTATCCAGTAAAGATTTGAGTGCTCTGTTTTTTGCTTGCAACCCATCTCACCTCTTTCACCCCTCCATAGTGTTTTGACTCTTTATCCAAGTTTTCAGCAATAGCATACAATTCCCTTCTCCTTTTAGGAGACTAGTAATAAAGTTTAAAGATTCCTTTCACAACATCCTCAAAAGTTTTCAGGTATTTAGATTCCTTCTTTGTGTCACAAACTACCAGCTCCAAGTTGTGGGCAATACAGTGCACAACAACAATGTAATTTTCACAGGATTTTGCATTGTGATTCTCCTTTAACTCATCAATAATCAGTTTCACTGCCCCTCCTTTCTTTCCAAGATTAACATTAGCACCATCTGTGTTTATACCAGGGGTCCGGAAACCGTCATATGCACCGGACATGTCCAATTGGGAATCTCAAATGTCTGGTTTAAAATATTGGTCTGTCTGGACATTTTAAAAAGTATTGTCCAGACATTCTTAAATTTTGACCGGACATGATCAACAGTTAGGACTGAGCAGTTTCTGTCTGCAGTTGTAACAAAATGAAGATTATCTACACTGACAAGCTTTGTTTCTTTGATTGCTGTAAATACATCGTACCTACATGATAGTCCAATCGGTCAATCACTGTAATAGGTAATAAACTGAGTTGACGCTGATTAATCGAGGATGAATTACTGAGAACATCTTGTTAATTTGAGTGAAAGGTGTTTACAACTGTACATAAATACCTTGCATCATTGATGTACCTCATTATCCTCACAATGCTACGATACGTAACCTCAGACAAGTAGCGAAAGCATGACGACAGCCAGTCGACCGATGCAGATCAGTCGAACGGATCTGCCAAACCCTCAAAGTCTGGACGATCATTTGTAAGTCGTGGCTAATGACTTTCACTTGGTTGACATACAATGAGGATTTGCAGATTTTATTGTTTTCAGTAGCTAGTCGTATATTGAATCTTGTTTGACCGCCATTTTGCTTTCTGTGACGATCGATATAATTTTTTTATGGTCAATAATTAAGTACAGATGAAAAAAGTATTCAAATAACTATTGCTATCAACGATATTTTAGTATTTGTGATTATATTATCTGTCTTGTTTTTAAATAATCTTTAGTTTAAAAAAACCCTTTTCCCGTGAGGTCACATGATAACCAAATATGGGATAATAGTCTCGATCCAAATGTTACAATGCGTACACTTGAGCAGACTCATGAATATAACTCATGAATATTAATTAGACCATTCACTACGTTAACAGATCGTTATTATAACAGAAACAAACGTAGGTTTTCCATGTATATCTAAAATGATATTATTTGTTATTAATTGTCTGGTGAATTAACAATTTAAATTGAAACAATTCATAATTCATCATATTATGAATACGTAACAACTTGTAATGTGTGTGAAAAGTTGTCCTAAAATACGCTATTTGAAGGGGGCGTGGCCTAAATGCAAATGTCCGATTGGGATTTTAAATTTTCCGGACCCCTGGTTTATACCAAGTAATTTCTGTGAGGAACTTTCTCCAGTTAGACCTACAGCATTCAGTCCATGAAGAATTCCAGCTTTGACTCCCTTTGCATGACCATGTTCCAGATCAACAATATCAGCCAGCTTTGTTTTCACCTGACCATCTTCACTCAAGTACCTAACATATACTACTTCTTGTTCAGTGATACCTTTGTCTGTTAAACCATCTGCTAAAATACTGACAAACCTACTGTTTTCCAAATCCTGAGCAGTTTCTTTCTTCAACACATCTGCTATAGATTGGGTGAATGCCTTGCAAGCATGATCATTCAAATAATTTGTACCAAGTATTACACCATTCTTAGACTGCAACTGACAAAAACTTGGAAATTTTGAAAATGGTTCCCCTTCTATTGCAACATAGTAGGCTGTTGTGAATAGCTTTTCATAAACTTCACTTTTTTTCCGTCAACTTTTTACATTGACTTGGCAAGTTGCGCAGTCTGGGGTTTGTCAATTTTTTTATCATGTTCACAGCACTGAATATGCCTCCTACTTTTGGGGTCAAATTTCAAAGTTTCTTTTCTGAAATTATGATGTAAACCAGTTACGAGTCCACATTTGGGATCAGATAGTTTGGGGTATTTTCGACAGACAGTGCAATACAACTCGCTGTCATCATCGTCAAATTTTGCCCATTCAAATTCACTCAACCACGCAGATTGTACAACACGTTTTCGCTTTTGTGTATCGTATTGTTTCTCCGCCAGCTTTACCGTTCGTTGTTCTCTTGAGTGTCAATCTCCGTTTTGTGGCCAGATCTTTACCTATATCCCTGTCTGGATAGTTGGTTTACTTTTTTCATCATGGACTAGCAGTGACCAGTATGTATGACGTGTCAGCACATCTTCTCCTCCAGGCCCTCACTTCAAGTATACTTAATGTGTACCATTTCAGAGCGTTGAGAGCTCCGCGTCGACTTGCCAGATGAATCATTCAAGTGATATCTGCACAAGTGTTGGCGCCGTGTATCAGATTACTTATCTAAGACTACAGAAAAAATGACAAAGAAGAAGAATACACCTATAAAGAATGCTAGATCATCGGACTGATGCTTCTCGCCAGTGGCCCTGATACAACAAACCCCATTGGTCCTATTATTTTGCTGCATGACAATGGAGATTCTGACTCCTTTCTCACTGATGACATGTCGATCGACTGCATTCCAGCCAACAAGGATTTGAACACTCATCTCCGACACATCGATTTCACACGGCATCTACTTTACCAACTAACTTGGATCATCAACAGCAAAAGGTCTGAAATGATTCCTACAGTGTCCTCAGTTCACTGGAGCCATCTTCGACACACCCCGGGGCTCCTAACGTCAGCACAGGCTCTCACCAATAGAGGTCAACTTCAGTTACGTCCAATTCAGTGCTTCCTTCAGGACAAATATTGTCAGGCTCTAATCTCTCGCCAGAACCACTTCCATCCACATCTCCTATGATGGCTAGTTCCATCGAACGTCTGTGAAGGAGTCTCCTTGAGGCCATTCATCCTGACCATTCATCTCTTGGTCGACATATCAACTGTTGGTTGGGGAGCTCATTGTCAGGTTGATTAGGACTTACAAGTTGGCGGACCAGTCATCACAGTTCCGACTACTGATCTGGGATCTTAACATCGACTTCAGCTGATTATGAACCTCTGGCCGAGAAGAACACATCATGTTTAAGACGGTGTTTCTTGAACTTTCTTCCTGACCTTGTGACGGTAGCTTGAGTGAGTGAAATTCATGCTTTATCTTTGCAGAGAAACCTCTTCCAGGATTACAGAAGAGACTATTCATCCCGCTTTCCAGGACAGCTGCTACAACAGTGTCTTGTACTACGATCTTGTTTTGGATATGCTCGGTCATCCTTCTATCCTACACCTTTGCTGGCCTACCTGCTCCGGTCGCATCCAACCCTCATGAGACACGCTGTCACCTCCACTCTGGCTCTACACTCCTTGACTGCAATAATGGAGGGAAGCTTCAGGAAATCAGATATGGTCTTCGCAAACCAATACCTCCGAGACATATCTGTGACGGACATGCAAGGTCTTCACCAGTTCGGACCCTTGGTTTTCGCCCTAGACTCCAAGACACATCTGCACAGATAGGGATGTACAATCAGTTTCCATTGTATCACATCTACCTCTACATATAATAAACCTTGTCATGATTGTTTGTGTTTATTGTACTCATTTGGGCTTTCCAGACTAGGTATCTGGTTGGAGGATAGAATCACTTGTCTTTGGTCTCCAGCTACGGGATAAGATGCATAGTGTCAGAAATTTTGCAATAAATTGTTTATTTATATACATATGCTTTCTCACACATTATATGCCCACCCGTCCATCCCCGCAGTACAGGTCCTTAGTCTATACTCTCAAGAAAAAGAAAGTGTTGGCACATGTAGGTCAACCAGCATGCAAGTGTGCATGACCCAGATCTGGGAAGTGATGATAGCGATGTGAAACTTGTACAGGTGAATTAACTTTTGATGCTGGAAACTTTTATTGCGACTTAGGATCGAAAGAAGAAAGAGAAATGCATAGTGTGAAATAGGATAAGTTTATTAAGTTTATACAATTTATTGTAAAATTTCCAAAATTAAAGCCAGACATGCATACTGGTCACCACTAGATGATGCGTGGATGGATGCGGACTATTCATCATCAAGTTGCAGGCATTCTCTCTCATTCTAATTCTGTGTATGATAGACTTAGAACTACCAAATGAAAAAAAGTACTGGTGACGGATGAAAAGTCAAGGTTTTTTTTAGAAAAGTGTAATTCACGGGAGCATTACAGAACATTTGTTGCCCTCTACCAGGCTTCCCTTATAGTAAACTGAGAATTGAGTACCTGCACCTGCTGGGAATATGGGATCACATCATGTCTATTGTGACACAGATATTTCCGCATCACTTTCCACTTTAAACTCCCCTTATGATTCAATCTATTGAAGACTATCCTATGTGTCACCTTTCCAGACGACCTCTCGTGTCATCAGGGGAGATGGAGCTGAAGATGAAAGATCGCAAAATCATCAAACTTTCCCGCCTTCACCTGAAGGTCAACACTCCTGACCTTCAAGGTGATTGGGTCACAATTGGAGTAGTTGTGCAGAAAACCGAACCAAAGACGTCTTCAAGTGTAAGAATATGATCTCTCCAAAATCTAATTTGTCAGATGGAGTGCCAAGGAGGTTAAAGTACTCGCTTGTCACAGTGGAACCCTCTGTTGGGTACCCAGCATGGATGGAATGTGTGAATCCAGGGTTCATACCAACTTGACAAATGCTTTAATTAAATCCTGTTGAATGATTTTTTCTTTAATTTCCTTCTTCGGAATGGAAGTACTTTAACTTTGCTTTGACTATATTAACAGTCCTTAAAAATGCTGGGATTTATATGGGGAAAACAATCTCCTATTGAAAGATTTACAAACAGAATTTTTTTAATGTTATGTTCATACTACCATCATAAGAGTTGGTTTAATGTCTTTGGCAACACTTGACACAAATAACAGAATAAGGCTGTATGGTCATCTCGACCTGACCCGACTCGCTTAGTTTGTTTTGAAGACATTTTGAACAGAATAATTGGGTATCGCTTGTTTTTCTGTGTATAGTGAGAGTTACAAGTAGAAATATGGCACTGACTTGCAGGTTAAACATTAGTCTATAGGAAAGCCCACTGACTTGCAGGTTAAACAATACTGTATATGAAAGCCCACTGACTTGCAGGTTAAACAATACTGTATATGAAAGCCCACTGACTTGCAGGTTAATCAATACTGTATATGAAAGCCCCCTGACTTGCAGGTTAAACAATACTCTATATGAAAGCGCACTGGCTTGCAGGTTAAACAATACTCTATATGAAAGCCCACTGACTTGCAGGTTAAACAAAACTGTATATGAAAGCCCACTGGCTTGCAGGTTAAACAATACTGTATATGAAAGCCCACTGACTTGCAGGTTAATCAATACTGTATATGAAAGCCCCCTGACTTGCAGGTTAAACAATACTGTATATGAAAGCCCACTGACTTGCAGGTTAATCAATACTGTATATGAAAGCCCCCTGACTTGCAGGTTAAACAATACTGTATATGAAAGCCCACTGACTTGCAGGTTAAACAATACTGTATATGAAAGCCCCCTGACTTGCAGGTTAAACAATACTGTATATGAAAGCCCCCTGACTTGCAGGTTAAACAATACTCTATATGAAAGCCTACTAACTTGCAGGTTAAACAATACTGTATATGAAAGCCCACTGACTTGCAGGTTAAACAATACTGTATATGAAAGCCCACTGACTTACAGGTTAATCAATACTGTATATGAAAGCCCACTGACTGCAGGTTAAGCAATACTGTATATGAAAGCCCACTGACTTGCAGGTTAAACAATACTCCATATGAAAGCCCACTGACTTGCAGGTTAAGCAATACTGTACATGAAAGCCCACTGACTTGCAGGTTAATCAGTACTCCATATGAAAGCCCACTGTCTGTTGCAGGGCAAGACGTACTGTATTTGGAAGTTGTCTGACATGGACAACTGTGAGCAGGTGGTCAGCTTCTTCCTGTTCGGCCAGACCTACAAGGAACACTGGAAGAACGATGTCGGCTCCGTTGTTGGAATACTCAACCCCAGCATCATGGACAATGCAGAAAAGGTCAGTCCAGCATCTGATAAAATCAGTCCCCCATCACCTCGTCACATCTACAAACACTTGGTGTATAAACATTAAGTTACTTGTGGACATTGTATAGACAACAGATTGTGGTAGTGTTCCTATTATTGCAGGGAAACAAAGATGTGGCTTTCACCATCAACAACCCCAAGCAGCTGCTGCACATGGGCAGCTCGAAGGACCTGGGATGGTGTTCTGGGAGGACGAGGAAAGGGAACCGGTGTAACCACTTCATAAACAAGTAGGTTCTCGTGCCATAAACACTGCATGCCATGCCCTGCTTGGCAAGATATGTACTAGGGTGTTTATAGGGATGTAGTCTTTGATGACTTAATTTCCTCATGGGTATTCTGGGTTAGAACTGGCTTCCAGCAAACTATGCTTGTCATATAGAGACAACTTAACAGATCAGGTGCCTATGCTTGCTGACTTCATTGCATGTCGTCATTGTTGTTCATAACATCGATCACTTGTCTTTCTGGTTTGTTTGGTGATGAGTGGCATCACTCGGATTTCATTCCCCCACATGGGTGGTGTGTGAAGACTGTATGTGATATCACTGGAATATTACGAACCGTCCTCACTAAGTAACTGACTAGTCCTGACTTTGTACAGGCTGCAGACTGCTGTAAGATGACACTCTACTGTTTTGATGTTTTAAGTTTGAAATTCTGTTAAACTGTTGTCTGATTTATTATGAAGTTCAACTTCTTGTTGATGTATGGAATTGACTAGAATCTGCCTCTTAATTGTCCATAGTGGATGGTGTCAACCTTTGTTTGCTTGTTTGTTTGTTTGTTTGTTTGTTGTTTAACGCAGCACTCAGCAATATTCTAGACCAAACAGTCCGGTGTTGACATCATGAGCATTGATCCATGCAATTAGGATGCGATGACATGCATCAACCAAGTCAGCAAGCCTGACCATCCGACCCCATAGTCGCCTCTTTACGACCTATTCTCTAGTCGACCTTTCTAGTGAAGGTGCACTGTATAAAGACAAAGGAGACGTTTCCTGTAGACATCACCTCACACCTAAATAGAAAGTGTGACTGCAGGAATGCAAACACGTATAATATATGCTCTGGACATTTAACACTGTTCAATCTCTGTTGGTTACTGTGACTCGTACTTCTCAACATAAATATTTAACATCAATAGTTTGTGCTTGTATATGGACACCTCAATAGACTGATTTGGAATAGATGGTTACATGGGAGGTTTTAGGGTCCTTTTCTCCACTGTTAAGATGGATACATGTTTTGCCTGTTCCAGGAAATATGGCGACTTCTGCAACTACCATGTTCAGTCTGCCTACAAGAAGACGTCTGCCACAAGGAGTGAGCTGCAGGGCAGGTGAGATGTGGCAGCCATTTTGGATTTCTTGATTCTTAGCTCATATATATATATGTATGCATTATGATTTATTTCATTACATTGTATTTAGAAGTACTTCTACCTGCTTACATTGCCTCCTAAAGGAACCTAGTCTGTCTGCAAGGATGTGTTTGTGATTTCAGTGTTACTGGTTTGACCCCAAAATCTTTTCAAGACAAGCTTCTCCCTAAGAAAGGCAGCCACTTCTTCTATGGTGGACAAACATTTACATCCTTGCCGTGAGTTGCATAGAACATTGCTCTATAGGAGCGGAATTCACGTTCAAAGGTCCTGTCTTTATTTATGTTAAAATGATTAAGAAAAGTTCTCTCTGTATTTTTTTGTTAAAATGGTTAAGTATTTTTTGTCTCAGTCTGCTGTGCATATAAAGTTTGTGTGTTTCTGAGTCATCTGAGGCTGTGCAGAGTTGTGTCCCTTGGGCATGCCAGAACCCTAGGACTGTGGGTTCAAATCAGAGTTTGCCCTGTGCTCTTGGGTTTCACCTAAGTAGTAAATGTCCGTGACATGCATCACTTCAGGCTTTCTTCCCACATAGGGTTGACACGCCGTGATATAACTGGAATACTGTTGACAGTGGCATTGAACCCAGCCCACTCACTGCTGCCTTAAAAACAACCACTTACCAGCAGGAAGGTCAGTTGGCATTGTTCACCTGTTGACTGGTCCTCCTGTTATAACACACACCATGGATGTTGCAGAAATATGAAAACAAGTGCTCCCAAGAAAGACCGTGTGACTCTGGGAAAACTGCAAGTTGAGCAGAAATTAACAAAGAGCAAGGTGACAACAATGTCCCTCCATGAACTCAAGACATGTGACCCTACCACCATGAAAAAAGCATCAACATCAGAAAAAGAACAAGCTTTGTGAGTTTATTGAGGTTGTTAATTAACAACACATTTTATTGATTGGTGTCAATAATTGTTGTAATTGCACTTGACTACTTGACTCTCTTGTTTTTGTTTTCATTGCAGCATGGACATGATTTCCACTCCCACTGTGGGGTCCATGAATCTGGTGAAACACTTGGTGAAACAAGAAAAAACAGAAAAGGGTAACTGAGAACTTCCATAGTTGCCTTGTGTGACATCGCAGCAGTGAGATAGCTAGGTGACTGTGTGACATCTCAGCAGTGAGATAGCTAGGTGACTGTGTGACATCTCAGCAGTGAGATAGCAAGGTGTGACGTCTCAGCAGTGAGATAGCAAGGTGCGACATCTCAGCAGTGAGATAGCTAGGTGACTGTGACATCTCAGCAGTGAGATAGCTAGGTGACTGTGTGACATCTCAGCAGTGAGATAGCTATGTGACTGTGTGACATCTCAGCAGTGAGATAGCAAGGTGTGACATCTCAGCAGTGAGATAGCAAGGTGTGACGTCTCAGCAGTGAGATAGCAAGGTGTGACGTCTCAGCAGTGAGATAGCAAGGTGTGACGTCTCAGCAGTGAGATAGCAAGGTGACTGTGTGACGTCTCAGCAGTGAGATAGCAAGGTGTGACGTCTCAGCAGTGAGATAGCAAGGTGTGACGTCTCAGCAGTGAGATAGCGAGGTGACTGTGCGACATCTCAGCAGTGAGATAGCTAGGTGACTGTGTGACGTCTCAGCAGTGAGATAGCAAGGTGTGACGTCTCAGCAGTGAGATAGCTAGGTGACTGTGTGACGTCTCAGCAGTGAGATAGCAAGGTGTGACGTCTCAGCAGTGAGATAGCAAGGTGTGACGTCTCAGCAGTGAGATAGCGAGGTGACTGGGCGACATCTCAGCAGTGAGATAGCTAGGTGACTGTGACGTCTCAGCAGTGAGATAGCAAGGTGTGACGTCTCAGCAGTGAGATAGCGAGGTGACTGTGCAACATCTCAGCAGTGAGATAGCTAGGTGACTGTGACATCTCAGCAGTGAGATAGCTAGGTGACTGTGTGACGTCTCAGCAGTGAGATAGCTAGGTGACTGTGCGACATCTCAGCAGTGAGATAGCTAGGTGACTGTGACATCTCAGCAGTGAGATAGCTAGGTGACTGTGTGACATCTCAGCAGTGAGATAGCTATGTGACTGTGTGACACCTCAACAGTGAGATAGCAAGGTGTGACGTCTCAGCAGTGAGATAGCTAGGTGACTGTGCGACATCTCAGCAGTGAGATAGCTAGGTGACTGTGACGTCTCAGCAGTGAGATAGCTAGGTGACTGTGTGACATCTCAGCAGTGAGATAGCTAGGTGACTGTGTGACACCTCCGCAGTTAGATAGCAAGGTGACTGTGACATCTCAGCAGTGAGATAGCTAGGTAGACATCTCAGCAGTGAGATAGCTAGGTGACTGTGTGACATCTCAGCAGTGAGATAGCTAGGTAGACATCTCAGCAGTGAGATAGCTAGGTGACTGTGTGACATCTCAGCAGTGAGATAGCAAGGTGTGACGTCTCAGCAGTGAGATAGCTCGGTGACTGTGACATCTCAGTAGTGAGATAGCTATGTGACTGTGACATCTCAGTAGTGAGATAGCTATGTGACTGTGACGTCTCAGCAGTGAGATAGCTAGGTGACTGTGACACCTCAGCAGTGAGATAGCTAGGTGACTGTGTGACGTCTACAGCAGTGAGATAGCTAGGTGACTGTGTGACATCTCAGCAGTTAGATAGCAAGGTGACTGTGACATCTCAGCAGTGAGATAGCTAGATGACTGTGTGACATCTCAGCAGTGAGATAGCTAGGTGACTGACACCTCAGCAATGAGATAGCGAGGTGACTGTGTGACGTCGCAGCGGTGAGATAGCTAGGTGACTGTGTGACATCTCAGCAGTGAGATAGCAAGGTGTGACGTCTCAGCAGTGAGATAGCTAGGTGACTGTGACATCTCAGCAGTGAGATAGCTAGGTGACTGTGTGACGTCGCAGCGGTGAGATAGCTAGGTGACTGTGTGACATCTCCACAGTTAGATAGCAAGGTGACTGTGACATCTCAGCCGGGAGATAGCTAGGTGACTGTGTGACATCTCAGCAGTGAGATAGCTCGGTGACTGTGACATCTTAGCAATGAGATAGCTAGGTGACTGTGACATCTCAGCAGTGAGATAGCTAGGTGACTGTGTGACATCTCAGCAGTGAGATAGCTAGATGACTGTGTGACATCTCAGCAGTGAGATAGCTAGGTGACTGTGACATCTCAGCAGTGAGAAAGCAAGGTGACTGTGTGACACCTCAGCAGTGAGATAGCTAGGTGACTGACATCTCAGCAATGAGATAGCTAGGTGACTGTGTGACACCTCAGCAGTGATAAAGCTAGGTGACTGTGTGACATCTCAGCAGTGAGATAGCAAGGTGACTGTGTGACACCTCAGCAGTGAGATAGCTAGATGACTGTGTGACATCTCAGCAGTGAGATAGCTAGGTGACTGTGACGTCTCAGCAGTGAGATAGCTAGGTGACTGTGTGACATCTCAGCAGTGAGATAGCTAGGTGACTATGTGACGTCTCAGCAGTGAGATAGCTAGGTGACTGTGACATCTCAGCAGTGAGGTAGCTAGGTGACATCTCAGCAGTTAGATAGCTAGGTGACAGTGACATCTCAGCAGTGAGATAGCTAGGTGACTGTGACATCTCAGCAGTGAGATAGCTAGGTGACTGTGACATCTCAGCAGTGAGATAGCTAGGTGACTGTATGACATCTCAGCAGTTAGATAGCAAGGTGACTGTGACATCGCAGCAGTGAGATAGCGAGTTAAATGTTACATTCATGACCATAATTTGTTGATTGTCTGGTCCAGACTTGATTGTTTACAGACTGACGACATATAGATGGAATATTGCTGCGTTCAACAACTAAAAATCCATAAAAATCTCTTTCTCTTCCGAATAGCAGTGTAAACGTCCTGTTCTGTGTTCCTGGAGAACAGAGAAAACATCTCACCTCAAAGCACCCTGTGCCTGCATAGGCGCACCAGAAGCACGTGACCAAGACCAGGAACTTGTCACTATTTTTTCGCGCCATCTGTGTAGTTTTTCTGTTCTCAGTTATCCAAGCCATTCATTCAAAATTAACCTTTTTTCACAAAATTTGTTCCTTGGATAACCCTCTTTAACATTCTATTAACATAATCTGACTATTATTATTTTGAATTGGCTTAAATTTTTGTCATAATTTGGACTTAAATTTTACCCCTACATGTGTGATGAAAACATGTAACATCTGTAAATATCGTGTTTCGGACTTCACCCGCTATGTGCCAGTTGCATCAATGTTATACTTATCCTGCAGTGCTCCTTAATACATTCACTGCTTACCTTACGACAATAAAAGACAGTGCTCAGCGATGGTCTTTTGTGAAAAAAAAAGATGTTTCCGTTTTCAACTCCTGCTTTCAGCATGGACCATTGCCTCATGTGAGCTTGATGACAAGTCACCTCACATCACTGCCTGTTGCGTAACAGCAAGGACATCTCTCAGCTGATCTCTTGAAATTGGATTATTATTTTTTAGACCCTTAGCTTCGGCTATCACTCTAAATTATGTCTGTGATGGGTGATGTAGTCTTTTCATATTACTTCACTATTTTGTGTTTTAATATTTGGGTGATTTTGGTGTAAAAAGACATTGCCTTATTTCCCAGCAATGTGGCTAATTGTTTCCCACCATTTTGAATTTGTGCTCCAATTGTTTACCTGCAAGGGTAGTCAAATTGACTGCAATTCATAGCTGAGTGTTTATAACATGTTTATGTGTATTTAAATACTAGTAGCTTTTGTGTTACATAGAGTTTGCATGTATCACTTCATTGTATACACTTTCAACTTGTAAAACATTTGCCGATAGATATTTGTAAACTTCTTTGGCAATTCTTCAATCAACTACTCCCTATTTGCATAACATATGCTTGCACGGCTGCACAGTGTACAAATTGTCCTGGTAAAAGATCCTCCAAATTTCCTCATCCCCGCTGTTTGGCAGATTTGCACTGATCCAGTGAACACAGATGGGCGTCGCTTCTCAAGGGCTTGAGCTGAGTGTCTTTGATTACTTCAGCCTGAGGGCTTTCAGTGTACCCCATTACGTCAGCAATGCATGATCAGCTTAGCGCTGTTCCACCTACTTATCTGTCAGCGCAAAAGTTGTAAGCTCAGCCATCAGCACGGTACCAGAACAGCAATTGGAATCAGAATTTTATGCAATCCATGTGGCAGCAGTCTATGGTACAATTGTACCCAACACATGCACCTATGTACCAGACGCCAGCGTCAGCTACAACTTATACGCATGCTTAGGCATCTACACTGGCGTCTAACATTTACCAGACGTCTGATGTGTGTTCTTTTACAACACATACGCCTTAGTTTTGTGCCAAGTCGATCTTCTACTAGGAGAGCACATCACCATCGTTCCAATTCTTCGGACTTATCAAATGGTGAGGATAGAGATTCCTCCGTTGAGTCGAATGCGCATCTTATATGTCTTAGCTTAGCACAAATGCCTGAGTGGGTAGCAGACCATCTCTGGTCAGGTGCGCCTTCCCCTGGTAATGAGGTTTTTTAAGAAGTAACCCATATGGTCACATCCCACCTCGATTCTGGTGGATCCGATGTTGAGAGAAATGGTTAGGGCACAGGACGATGATTTCTCAAGACTCACACTTGCACCATCATTCAAACTGCCAAAAGTTCAGGAAAGATGCTTTTCCTATTCAGACTTTTTCAGTAGGAGATCAGGCTCAAAGTTTGGATAAGGATTTACAAAGGATGATGGGCTTGTCCAGCCATGCTTATGGTCCAAGATACCAGATTTGTGTTTATTGAAACAGAAATCAGGCGTGTACTAAAACTTTTGTCAGCACTGGTATCTTCAACCCGTGCTATGGAGCAGGATCTTACGGAAGATAATCCTAAACGTATAGATCACTTCCAAACTGTGGTTGACTTACAACAGAGTCTAATTGACCACATGAGGAACCATCATAGGACGGCACTAGCTGAGATTACCATGACACGCAGGCTTGGGTAGTTAGCGCTTTCAAACTGGGATTCCAATTATGCTAGGGACGAGACCGTGCTCAAGGCATTAGAGCATGTTTCTCACAGTTTTTCCCAGCAGGCAGGCAGGTCAGGTAATTTCAAACCTAGACGCTCTTCTGTCAAAGAAGGTCAAGACCAGGATTCTTTTCGGGGAAGAGACTTTGGCAGAGGTAAACCTCAAAGTTTCTATCAGTCCCACCATGGTAAATTCCAGGGCAGGGGAAGTGACAAGAGGGGTAAACACTAAAGTGTTGGACAGTCACAACTGGGAACTCCCACCCACAGTCCTCCCAGTTGTCGACAACCCCGTAGGCAGGAGACTGGCCCAGTTCTGCTAGTACAGGTTCATTCTCAAGGACGATTTCGTACTCAACTTACTAAGTTACGGCTACCGACTGAACGGTAGTTCCACCATTGACCACAGCTCCTGCCTACTTCAAAGTACCCAAGGAAGCAACATCTGCTACTAAAAGCCAACATAGACGTTTTGTTGATTAAAAAGAGCTGTAGAGATTTTACACACCCCAGAGTTAACCCTGGGTCTATATTCTCACATCTTTCTGGTACCCAATCTGCAACTGGTTTTGGTCTTGCCTTACTGGCTGGTGAGAACTTCCAGATCTTGTCAACCAAGCAGGAAACCCGATACTAAAACTTGCAAACTGGCCAAACCTCCTACTACATCCTCACGCAAACCAAGTTCATCCAAGACCAGAACTTTTCGAGCTCCACGTAGGGAACATATTAAAAACATGCTCATTAAACAAGGTTATTCCATCAGAGCAGCTAAGGAGGTCTCCTCAGCACTTCGCAAGTCTATGAGGAATCTTTATGATGATAAACGGAAGAATTGGACCAGTTCACAAGATCTAAGGGATTTTCCCCTCTCCCTCAAGTATCAGACTACCTAAGAAATAAAACATCGCAGAAAATCAACCAACACTCCCATGGGGTTTATAGAACAGATCGACGTCAATCATACATACAGGTGGACACCACCACCTCAGTGGGATTCAAGCAATAAGTAGGAGTCAGGATAAGACAAAATATGTATATATGTTTTGGTAAAAGTATTACCTTTGATATACTTATCCTGACTCATACGCATGACCACCGATCCGGCCTCCCCTCTCTCCACTGATGTGTTTTCAGACCATTAAGTAGGGTAAAAGAGAGAGTGATGTTGTACTGGTCTTGGTCACATGGTTCCTGTGTGCCTGCGGACACAGGGTGCGTTGGGATGAGATGTTTTCACTGTTCTCCAGGAACACACAACAAGGGCATTTCCACTACTATTCGGAAGAGAGATAAGCAATAAGTATGAGTAAGGATCAGTATAAATAATATTTTTACTAAAACAAATTATTTTTTTCTTTCCAGTGATAAAAGAAAAGTCTGTGGTAATATCGGTAACTCCTAAAGAGCTTATCCAGCAACACAAGAAGGATATGATGGAGAGGAGGAAAGCGAGGGCGGCACAGACAGCAGCAGCAGCTCCATCCTCTCGTCCCACCGTCGACCCCCTGAAGGCTACGCCCTCTATCGGGAAAGGTCTCCTGAGCGGGCAGGATGTTTTTCTGGATTTTTCATCCAGCAGGAAACCTTTTGCAACGTCAACAGCTAACAAGAAGGTGGAGATTGCAAAGGTTTGTGTAGTTTGTTTTAGAATATACGCCCTGTACTTTCACAAGGCAGTGCCGATGTTGCAGTCATTCGTAGCTGTGATCCTTCAGCTCATGCGAGTATCCAGGACACACCTCGCTCAACGTGCTCGTCGACCCCCACCTACGTTGACGGCAGCAGCGCTCAGCGGAGCTTCACGGCGGCTCCCAACGTAGAGTCTGCCTCCCATGGCACGACATACGACCATTCACGGTCTCCTACTCCAAAGGCGGCTCCAGCGCTCCCAACGTAGAGTCTGCCTCCCATGGCACGACATACGACCGTTCACGGTCTCCTACTCCACAGGCGGCTCCAGCGCTCCCAACGTAGAGTCTGCCTCCCCTGGCACGACATACGACCGTTCACGGTCTCCAACACCGTCAACGCTGATGTCTCCGGCGCCCCCGGCACCCCCGGCGCTCCCGGCGCCTCCGATGACTCGGCGCTCACGGCTCACGATGACTCGGCGCCTCTGATGACGCGGCGCTCACGGCGCTCACGGCGCTCACGGCGCTCCCGGCGCTCCCGGCGCCTCTGATGACACGGCGCTCACGGCGCCCACGGCGCCTCCGGCGCTCCCGGCGCCTCTGATGACACGACGCTCACGGCGCTCTCGGCGCTCACGGCGCTCACGGCGCCCACGGCGCCTCTGATGACACGGCGCTCCCGGCGCCTCTGATGACGCGGCGCCTCTGATGACTCGGCGCCTCCGATGTCTCGGCGCTCCCGGCGCCTCTGATGACTCGGCGCTACCGGCGCCTCTGATGACTCGGCGCTGCTGATGTCTCGGCGCTCAACAAGCTTCATCACTTGTTCATGACAAGCTGATGACTCGGCGCCGCTGATGTCTCGGCGCTCAACAAGCTTCATGACTTGTTCATGACAAGCTGTTGACTCGGCGCCTCCGATGACTCGGCGCCACCGGCGCCGCTGATGTCTCCGCGCTCCGGCGCCTCCGCATCCTCTGATGTCTTCGGCGCTCAACAAGCTTCAGATCAACAAGCTTTATCAAGCTCAGATCAACGAGCCGACCATCCGATCTTCTACTGCGGCTTAAGGGGCATCATCGGCAATCGCCTCCCCGGCGCCACTGCCCTCTTCTCTTGCTGCCGTCTCATAACTCGTCACACGGAGAAGCATGGTGAAACAACTGTCGCCGCTCCTTTCGCTACTCTCCCGTCGGTCTTCGGGATCGTAAATATCGTTCTACTTCCTGGGTGGAATCATTTCAACCAATAGACAGTTGGTCTGATTCAACTTGCCCACTGAGACGTTATCCATAATCCCGTCGTTTAAAGCGCTATGATTCCGGAGAGATGACCTGCGGGTTTCCATCGAAACAGAGCGTCATGTGAACAGCGTCTGTATCAGATTCGACGACGACATCCACTTACAAAGAGTTTACTTCGTCGACATCGCAGACATCAACGCTGTTCTACCCTACCCTAGCGCCAGCGTTCCCGAGAGAGACTCTTCCTCGGCGCTCCCCGGGTTTTCCACGACGCCCATGGGGTTCCGTGTTTTATCGCAAAACTCGGGTACACCACTTGATCGTCTCTCACACAGTTCATTGAGGATTGTCTGTGTGTGGAGTTTGCACCTCAGTTCCGACTCCAAGGCGGTTTTTTCGGCTACTGCGCAGAGTGATTTACATGTCACGTGTCAAGTACTCGGACTGTCAACAACTCCGACCGGATTTAGGTCAACTTACCATGGCAAGGGGTGCCATGTATTTCTACAGATTGGTTTCCATGTCTACCTGTACGCTTGGTGATACCACTCAACCAGGCGCCTGTCGCAGTCCATCCATGCACGGATGTTGGAAACAATAGACCTCCTCTACCAACACGGCTGTCACGAGGAACCTTGTTTCATCAACCCTTCGCTATAAGAACGATAGCGCCTATAGGCGTTCAAGGGATGGAAGAGATAGCCTTCCTTCGTCCGGTTTGATCTTTTCGACTACGACACCTTCCTATCTTCCGCCTTGACTACCGGACACAGTGTCGATTTGATACTTAAAGTCCCTCGGCCGTCCCACTGACCCCTGTTGCATACCTGCCTCGTATCGTGTTGTCGTCCTCCATCGTCACCTCGATATAAGAACAGGAGTACTTATACGCCGCTTCAGGGATGAAAACGATCTCATTACTTCGTGCAATGGCCATATTGCCTCGACTTCCTACTACCCGGTTACGTCGATGCCCCGGCGGTCGATTGTGAAGCTGGTTTACTTGGTCTACTTGAGGTTGGCTCGCAGGCGATCACACCTTTTTCCGAATCGTACCGACGGTACGCAATCGCAGACCCCTGTTGCTGACTACCTCCCCTGCCACCTTGTCAGTGGCTAGTGGCCCACGCCAGCCCACATTGTGACCACCTGTGATCCAGAGATCAACACCATTGGCACAGCAACAGCCTCGAGATAAATGCTTATCCAGGACGGCACTTGCTGACAGTGCATTCTCGGTCACGCCCTGTTGATCGTGTCCACTGACGACGTCACCGTAGTGTGGTGTTTGCGGACCCAGAGCTTTCGCCCCTCTCCCGGCGCCACAAACTCGACCGGCGCACCCGAGAATCACCATCTTCGGCGTTCCAGGCGCCTCAAGCTCTCCGACGCCTCACGCTCTCCGGCGCCTCGGGCCAGACTATGTGAAACGGTCGACACCCCAACCCTAGATCTGTTTGCCTCATATCTGAATGTGGCCAGCTGTCGTCTTCCATTCCACCTGTGCCGGATACGACCGCTGTGGCAGTCGAAGCCTTCCATCGTTCCTGAGAAGGATTACGCGCGTACGCTTTTCCGACTCCGGTTCTCCCTCCCACGGTTCTTCAGAGATCCAGGCCACTCGACCCCTGCCATTGACTTTGGTCTCGCCTTATTGGTCAGCCAGAAGTTGGGTTATCGACCTCCGAAACATAGCCAGAGACAACCCCTGGAACTTCCGGTGTGGTCCAACCTTCTGCTCCATCCACACGGTCTGTTAGAATGAGAAGCCACACCCTCATACCCGCATGTTATCGTCTGCACGCCTGACACACATGCAGAAAGCCAAGGGCTATTCGGCTGGAGCGACCAAGGCTATTGCTTCAGCCCACCGTCCATCTACAGGGGGACTGTATGCTGATAAATGATGCTTGTTCCAGGCATTTTGTTCTGACAAACACCAGGATCCGATGACAGCGTCACCGCAGATCCTGGATCAGTTCCTTCTGTACTTGTGTAGCACCCATCGGTTGAAGGGCTTACCACCCCTACATACCTGGTCGCCATCTACTCCGTTCTGGCCATCCCGGACGATCGGAGAAAGACGAAAATTCCCGACCTACGGGTCTGGCTGCGCTCGTTCAGTCTTGAAGACCTGAAGACCAAGTTCGGACCGCCTGCGTTGGATCTGAATGTGGTCTTCAACGCCCTTCGAACCACTCCCCTCGTCTTCCTTCTACGACCTTAAGTAGAAGACGGGTGTTTCTACTGGTTTTGACTACTGCCGCTCGAGTCCATGTACAGCACGCCCTCGACTTCTCCCATGCCCGGTTCGAATGCGGTACCCAGGGCGCCGTTCATCATGGACCGTACTGGGACGTCAGCGTAAAGACTCAACTCCCAGGACAGCCTGATAGATCATTCCTTGTCCCCTCCCCCCTCGTCCAGTGTGGGTGCCGAGGATGAGGATGAGCGTCATTATGCCCAGTAAGGGCACTGAAGGTTATTCTACGATCTAAAGACTGCCGCAAGTCTAGGAAACACCTTTTTCTGCCGGTCTCCCCTTCGTCGCTGTCGTTGGTCAGCCGGAATACTTTTCCCTGTGGCTCCGGGCGGTCATCCTTAAAGCGTATGAGCCGCCGGATTGGACCCTCCCCCCAAAGGCTATTACCTGAAATAAAATGAGATCAGGGCGATCGTATTTACACTGGTTCTTCACGGTATACTGTTCCATCCCGTCGTTCAGGGAAGCCTGTTCGTGGCGATCGGACACCGCCTTCACCAACCACTACTTCCGTGATGTAGCCTTGAAAGTTGTCGCCGGCGTTCACAGTTTTGGTCCCTGGTTGTAGCCCAACAGGTCATCTATCTCCGACGCCACTGATTCTCCGATACCCTGAGCGGGGCCCGTCGACCTCTCTGGTGTTTATCACCCCAGACGAGACGGCTCTCTTGCGTTCCGCATTCGCTCTTAGGTCAGTTTTAGTTTTGGGTTACCCGACTCATTCTATTGCTGTCACCTATCCGGGTTTTACTTTTTGCATCAACTCTCGTTTCCTGACGACAGGAATGGTAGTAGATGTGGACACCGGCGCCGACGCCAACGCCGCTGCTTCTCTGGTACCTGAGCGGTGCCCGTCGACCTCACCGGTGTTACTTGCCTCCAGCCTAGAGGGCTCTCCTGCGTTTCGCATTCGCTCTTGGGATTGGTCGTAGATTTTGCCGCCGATGCCGCTGATTCTTCGATTCCCCGAGCGGGGCCCGTCGAACTCTCTGGTGTTTATCACCTCAGATTAGCTCTAGGTTCTACTGCGTTTCGCTTTCGCTCTTCGGTAAGTTATATATTTTGGCTACACGCCTCATTGTATTTCGGTTACCTATTCGGGCGTTTCGTTTTGCATCGACTCTTGTTTCCTGAAGACAGGAATGGTCGTAGATGTTCCGGTCATCACTTGTATGCGGTGCGGATTCATCGGACCTTGACGAGGGTTTAATATGGTTCACATCTGCAAGTATGCCCACCGGCCAAGCCGTCTGATAAAGATGCAATACGGAGTAATGCAGGATAAGTTAAAAAATTTAGTAAAATCTAAATATTTTTTACATTTGTATACTTATCCTGCATTACGAAGTCTAAGTGCCCTCCCTTTCGCTACGCTACCTCCCCACGAAGTTTCAGATGTTATGTTTAAAGCAGTTATGTCTTTTTGTGTGACGTCATGACTTCCGGGTCACGTGCCGACTGTGAGAGGGCGCTGCCTCCTGGGCTGGTTGGGACAACTTTCTTCAGCAGCTGGATCTCACACAGTTCGTCTCTCTGTCAAACATAGCAGTAAATGCAATACGGAGTAATGCAGGATAAGTATACAAATGTAAAAAATATTTAGATTTTACTAAATTTGTTGTACATGTAGTTTGACAATTCTATGTCGACATGTAGTTCTCGCGATCACATGCGTGGAAGCCTCGACGGTGACTGGTCAAATTGTTCCATGTGAAAAAAATAACCGGCAATAGCACCGAAGTGCTACGCTTATGGATATGATTATTTTAAATATAATTAGTAAAAGCTGCAACTAAAATAACAAGATATTGGAATATATTATTCCTGATAAACAAAAAAATTCAGATACAATTTCTCCTGATCCTTGCATCAAAATCCTGTAAAGTTATATCATTTAGTAAGTTTTGACAGAATCCCAGGTAGATTCCGAGAAAACGTGTGCACAGCTGATTGCTGTGTCCGGCTTAGTTTACAAGAAAATACACAAGGTAATCTTAATCCCTGTATGTAAAACAATGCCTAGCAGAACAAAAAATACAATTTAAATGGTAAATCCACATATCTGGTGATTTTTTTTATCTCAGATTTGTTTACCATTCGCTTAAGGGGTGGTTGTAATTTTTTTCTGTGCATAATATTCGAAAATAATTTTTTTCTCCAAAATACTGAATCTGCTAGATGGGGGGTGCGCATTATACTTGGGTGTGCACTATACTCAAGAAAATACGGTAATTAACATTTTTCTCTTTCTCATTTTGAAAATATTTCTTTAATTTACAAGAAGAAATAGGATGAACACTTTGAAGTCTTTACTATTGGGCTTCTTCGTTACATACGTGTTAGGAACTTCTAGTTTCTGTGAACAAAGTAAGAAAGTTTTGGGCGCTAAATCAATAAGAAGGCTGTAGAGTGTAGCAAGTATTTCAAAGTTGTTACAATACCTTGAAAAGACCTTTAAAATTGATGAGCCCTGATTTTTGCATTTGTGATGTATTTTGGACTATATTTTCAAGCATATGGTAACTTTAGACATCCTATTTACTTGACTCAAGGAGATCTTTTTGATGCATATGATACAGTTTATATTTAAACTAATCTTGATATTGAGATTTTTGTCCATCTTTTATTCAGCGCAAGGCAATAGAGAAGATTCACGCCAAGGGTGGAATAACTAAAGAAGACCCAAATTCAGTGCTGAAAAAGTCTCCAAATGCTGAAAAAGTGAAAAAAAGAGTGCTAGAAAACTCGTTATCAGGTTAGCTAAACTATGATGTCAGTCTTTAAATAATCGAGTCTGGACCAGACAATCCAGTGATTGGCATCATGAGCATCGGTCCATGCAATTGGGATACGATGACATGCTCAACCAAGTCAGCGAGCTTGAGCTCCCAATCCTGTTTATTGCCTCTTTTGACAAGCATGATCACCTTTTACCTCAAGCATGGGTAGCTGAAGACCTATTCTACCCCGGATCTTCACGGGTCTATGACAGTTTGAGTGAGTGTGGTTTTATGTTGCTTTTAGCAATATTCCAGCAATATCATGGCAGGGAAACCAGAAATGGGCTTCACACATTGTACCCATGTCAGGAATCGAACCCGGGTCTTCAGTGTGCAGAGCGAACTCTTTAACCACTAGGCTACCCGTCGCCGCTATGATAGTTTGAAAGTCGTTGGGAATAAACTGGTGTAGTAATCCAACCTCAAGACAATGTCTCTACTGATGCTTCCACCCTTTCTGTACAAATAGTGCAGTTTTATCTTACTGCTACATGGTACAATAGTATTGGTAGTCAATATTCCAAACAATAAGCTACCTGCCTAGACACACATTAACAAATATAGAGGCTGCCCACATGTTTAAGAAAGAAAAAAAGAACAAAAAAGGATTGCCTACACGCATACATATATTTATTCAGATTGTATTATCATTCTTCATTCTCACTCTAATAAATCAAGTTCTGAATCATCTCAAAAGTTGTCCGTGACCAATATCAGGGTGCCCCCAAACTGAGCAAGCATTACTGAGGCATTTGTGTATTCCATGTCGGCTAGGCTTGTTAGACCTGATGATAAATGAAGGAAGAAAACTGTCCATTGCTAAAACTAACAGGTTGTACCCATTGTGTAATTCAGCAAGAGAAAATTTTTTTTGCTTTTCCTTTGTTTGTTTATATCATTGTGATCTGAGAAGTATGTAAATCTCTCAAGACTTTCTCTTCTATCTTCAAACGATGACTCTTATTATATTAAAAGAAATAAGTTGTTGTAAGTTAAAACGATCCTTATCAATAAAACCTTGTATTCATTTTATTCCTATGTATGGAGGCCTGTATTACAATAAATATTGTTGACACTGCCGACAGCGCTAACTGCTCTTATTTTATTCACAGAGGATCAACCAAACAAGGATGACGAATCCAAGGAACCGCCCAAAAAGCGGTCCAGACTTCTTGGCAATGTTGATATCAATTCAGCAGAATTTAAGAAGCTGTTAAAAGTAAAGTCTGCTCATAAAGGAGCTTTGGCTGAAGTAAGTATGCAGAAAGTATTTTCTGAGGTACACTATTGAGTACAGAAATTAAAGGTAACACAATTTAGTTTTGACAAAGCATAACAGCTCTTTCTCAATAAACAAACCTTGGCATGAATGAATTCTCACTGTAAATGTTTGCATGTAAGGTATGGAGCAGTGTCATGTTGACTGTTGGTGTCTATGTTGGTGTGGACATGTCACATGTAGGGACTGTTTAGGTGGACATGTCACATGTAGAGACTGTTGGTGTTGACATGTCACATGTAGAGACTGTTGGTGTTGACATGTCACATGTAGAGACTGTTGGTTGTTGACATGTCACATGTAGGGACTGTTTGTGTTGACATGTCACATGTAGAGACTGTTTGTGTTGACATGTCACATGTAGAGACTGTTGGTTGTTGACATGTCACATGTAGAGACTGTTTGTGTTGACATGTCACATGTACAGACTGTTGGTGTTGACATGTCAAATGTAGAGACTGTTTGTGTTGACATGTCACATGTAGAGACTGTTGGTGTTGACATGTCACATGTAGAGACTGTTTGTGTTGACATGTCACATGTAGAGACTGTTTGTGTTGACATGTCACATGTAGAGACTGTTGGTGTTGACATGTCACATGTACAGACTGTTTGTGTTGACATGTCACATGTAGAGACTGTTTGTGTTGACATGTCACATGTAGAGACTGTTGGTGTCGACATGTCACACGTAGAGACTGTTTGTGTTGACATGTCACACGTACAGACTGTTGGTGTTGACATGTCACATGTAGAGACTGTTTGTGTTGACATGTCACATGTAGAGACTGTTGGTGTTGACATGTCACATGTAGAGACTGTTTGTGTTGACATGTCACATGTAGAGACTGTTGGTGTTAACATGTCACATGTAGAGACTGTTTGTGTTAACATGTCACATGTAGAGACTGTTTGTGTTAACATGTCACATGTAGAGACTGTTGGTGTTAACATGTCACATGTAGAGACTGTTGGTTGTTGACATGTCACATGTAGAGACTGTTGGTTGTTGACATGTCACATGTAGAAACTGTTGGTTGTTGACATGTCACATGTAGAGACTGTTTGTGTTGACATGTCACATGTAGAGACTGTTTGTGTTGACATGTCACATGTGGAGACTGTTGGTTGTTGACATGTCACATGTAGAGACTGTTGGTTGTTGACATGTCACATATAGAGACTGTTTGTGTTGACATGTCACATGTACAGACTGTTGGTGTTGACATGTCACATGTAGAGACTGTTGGTTGTTGACATGTCACATGTAGAGACTGTTTGTGTTGACTTGTCACATGTACAGACTGTTGGTGTTGACATGTCACATGTACAGACTGTTGGTTGTTGACATGTCACATGTAGAGACTGTTGGTGTTGACTTGTCATATGTACAGACTGTTGGTGTTTACATGTCACATGTACAGACTGTTGGTTGTTGACATGTCACATGTAGAGACTGTTGGTGTTGACTTGTCACATGTAGAGACTGTTGGTGTTGACATGTCACATGTAGAGACTGTATGTAGGGACTGTTGGTTGTTGACTTGTCACATGTACAGACTGTTGGTGTTGACATGTCACATGTACAGACTGTTTGTGTTGACATGTCACATGTACAGACTGTTGGTTGTTGACATGTCACATGTACAGACTGTTGGTGTTGACTTGTCACATGTACAGACTGTTGGTGTTGACATGTCACATGTAGAGACTGTTTGTGTTGACTTGTCACATGTAGAGACTGTTGGTTGTTGACATGTCACATGTAGAGACTGTTGGTTGTTGACATGTCACATGTAGAGACTGTTGGTTGTTGACATGTCACATGTAGAGACTGTTTGTGTTGACGTGTCACATGTAGAGACTGTTGGTGTTGACATGTCACATGTAGAGACTGTTGGTTGTTGACATGTCACATGTAGAGACTGTTGGTGTTGACTTGTCACATGTACAGACTGTTGGTTGTTGACATGTCACATGTACAGACTGTTGGTGTTGACTTGTCACATGTACAGACTGTTGGTGTTGACATGTCACATGTACAGACTGTTGGTTGTTGACATGTCACATGTACAGACTGTTGGTTGTTGACATGTCACATGTAGAGACTGTTGGTTGTTAACATGTCACATGTAGGGACTGTTACATGTAGGGACTGTTGGTTGTTGACATGTCACATGTAGAGACTGTTGGTTGTTGACATGTCACATGTACAGACTGTTGGTTGTTGACATGTCACATGTACAGACTGTTGGTGTTGACATGTCACATGTAGAGACTGTTTGTGTTGACATGTCACATGTAGAGACTGTTGGTTGTTGACATGTCACATGTAGAGACTGTTGGTTATTGACATGTCACATGTAGAGACTGTTGGTTGTTGACGTGTCACATGTACAGACTGTTTGTGTTGACATGTCACATGTAGAGACTGTTGGTTGTTGACATGTCACATGTAGAGACTGTTGGTTGTTGACATGTCACATGTAGAGACTGTTTGTGTTGACGTGTCACATGTACAGACTGTTGGTGTTGACATGTCACATGTAGAGACTGTTGGTTGTTGACATGTCACATGTAGAGACTGTTGGTGTTGACTTGTCACATGTACAGACTGTTGGTGTTGACATGTCACATGTACAGACTGTTGGTTGTTGACATGTCACATGTAGAGACTGTTGGTGTTGACTTGTCACATGTACAGACTGTTGGTGTTTACATGTCACATGTACAGACTGTTTGTGTTGACATGTCACATGTACAGACTGTTGGTTGTTGACATGTCACATGTACAGACTGTTGGTTGTTGACATGTCACATGTAGGGACTGTTACATGTAGGGACTGTTGGTTGTTGACATGTCACATGTAGAGACTGTTGGTTGTTGACATGTCACATGTAGAGACTGTTGGTTGTTGACATGTCCCATGTAGAGACTGTTGGTTGTTAACATGTCACATGTAGAGACTGTTTGTGTTGACATGTCACATGTAGAGACTGTTGGTTGTTGACATGTCACATGTAGAGACTGTTGGTTGTTGACATGTCACATGTAGAGACTGTTTGTGTTGACATGTCACATGTAGAGACTGTTGGTTGTTGACATGTCACATGTACAGACTGTTCGTTGTTGACATGTCACATGTAGAGACTGTTGGTTGTTGACATGTCACATGTAGGGACTGTTACATGTTGGGACTGTTGGTTGTTGACATGTCACATGTAGAGACTGTTGGTTGTTGACATGTCACATGTACAGACTGTTGGTTGTTGACATGTCACATGTAGAGACTGTTTGTGTTGACATGTCACATGTACAGACTGTTGGTGTTGACATGTCACATGTACAGACTGTTGGTGTTGACATGTACAGACTGTTGGTGTTGACATGTCACATGTAGAGACTGTATGTAGGGACTGTTGGTTGTTGACATGTCACATGTACAGACTGTTGGTTGTTGACATGTCACATGTACAGACTGTTGGTGTTGACATGTCACATGTAGAGACTGTTGATTGTTGACATGTCACATGTACAGACTGTTGGTTGTTGACTTGTCACATATAGAGACTGTTGGTTGTTGACTTGTCACATGTAGAGACTGTTGGTTGTTGACATGTCACATGTAGAGACTGTTGGTTGTTGACATGTCACATGTAGAGACTGTTACATGTAGAGACTGTTGGTGTTAACATGTCACATGTAGAGACTGTTTGTGTTAACATGTCACATGTAGAGACTGTTTGTGTTGACATGTCACATGTAGAGACTGTTGGTTGATGACATGTCACATGTAGAGACTGTTGGTTGTTGACATGTCACATGTAGAGACTGTTGGTGGTGACATGTCACATGTAGAGACTGTTGGTTGTTGACATGTCACATGTAGAGACTGTTGGTGTTGACATGTCACATGTAGAGACTGTTTGTGTTGACATGTCACATGTACAGACTGTTTGTGTTAACATGTCACATGTACAGACTGTTGGTTGTTGACATGTCACATGTAGAGACTGTTGGTTGTTGACATGTCACATGTAGAGACTGTTGGTGTTGACTTGTCACATGTACAGACTGTTGGTGTTGACATGTCACATGTAGAGACTGTTGGTTGTTGACATGTCACATGTACAGACTGTTGGTTGTTGACATGTCACATGTAGAGACTGTTGGTTGTTAACATGTCACATGTAGGGACTGTTACATGTAGGGACTGTTGGTTGTTGACATGTCACATGTAGAGACTGTTGGTTGTTGACATGTCACATGTACAGACTGTTGGTTGTTGACATGTCACATGTACAGACTGTTGGTGTTGACATGTCACATGTAGAGACTGTTTGTGTTGACATGTCACATGTAGAGACTGTTGGTTGTTGACATGTCACATGTAGAGACTGTTGGTTGTTGACATGTCACATGTACAGACTGTTTGTGTTGACGTGTCACATGTACAGACTGTTTGTGTTGACATGTCACATGTAGAGACTGTTGGTTGTTGACATGTCACATGTAGAGACTGTTGGTTGTTGACATGTCACATGTAGAGACTGTTTGTGTTGACGTGTCACATGTACAGACTGTTGGTGTTGACATGTCACATGTAGAGACTGTTGGTTGTTGACATGTCACATGTAGAGACTGTTGGTGTTGACTTGTCACATGTACAGACTGTTGGTGTTGACATGTCACATGTACAGACTGTTGGTTGTTGACATGTCACATGTAGAGACTGTTGGTGTTGACTTGTCACATGTACAGACTGTTGGTGTTTACATGTCACATGTACAGACAGTTTGTGTTGACATGTCACATGTACAGACTGTTGGTTGTTGACATGTCACATGTACAGACTGTTGGTTGTTGACATGTCACATGTAGGGACTGTTACATGTAGGGACTGTTGGTTGTTGACATGTCACATGTAGAGACTGTTGGTTGTTGACATGTCACATGTACAGACTGTTGGTTG